GATACTAAGTCATTAGTAAATACACAGCTTAGAAATGATGCCTGAATGCTTTAAAGAACATTAAGAGTACTATATAATTCACAACATGGTAGTATTAAAATCAATCTAATTTTAATTAAGTACATCACAGAAATGAACAAAGAGCAAAGACTCATGAGTCAAAACAAATAAAAGATTTGTGCTCTGGGGCGCCTGGGTGGCTCAGTCGTTAAGCGTCTGCCTTCGGCTCAGGTCATGATCCCAGGGTCCTGGGATCCAGCCCCGCATCGGGCTCCCTGCTTGGCGGGAAGCCTGCTTCTCCCTCTCCCATCCCCCTGCTTGTGTTTCCTCTCTCACTGTGTCTCTTTCTGTCAAATAAATAAAATCTTAAAAAAAAAAAAAAAAAAAAAGATTTGTGCTCCAGTAAAAAATGAATTTGGATTCGTTATATCCAATAAACTTTTGGTAAAACTTAGTAAAAGTGCTTGAATCTCCGGCGCCTGGGTGGCTCAGTTGGTTAAGCGACTGCCTTCGGCACAGGTCATGATCCTGGTGTCCTGGGATCGAGTCCCACATCGGGCTCCCTGCTCGGCAGGGAGTCTGCTTCTCCCTCTGACCCTCCTCCTTCTCATGCTCTCTGTCTCTCATTCTCTCTCTCTCAAATAAATAAATAAAATCTTAAAAAAAAAAAAAGTGTTTGAATCTCAGTAAGTGTTCGAGGAAATACATAACACTAACTTACCTTACAATAGATATTCCTTTTAATGGATGATCTAACACAGTACTGTCAGAAGTAAACTTGCAATTTTTCACCTTTCCACAATGTAATCAAGCAAAATAGGCTACCGAGAGAACAGAGAGAACAAAAGATGCAAGTCAATTACTCACTAAACTGCCATTTTAAAAAGAACTGGAATATCACTTAAGAGTGCTTTGTAGCAAATTGGCTATCTCTCAGAAAACTGTCTACAATTCCTGAATAATCTAATTGTAGGACAAAGGGCCTGATTTGTCACTTTGACTATGACAGTTGACTATACTGAAACAATAATTTCATTTTTTCAAACCCCAAATTGGCAAACAGAAGGACTACCGCCATACTTACAAGGTACTCATGTATACCTAAGATGGGAAAAAAAAAAAATCCATGCTCTCAAATCTTTTAAATCCAGAAGTTATTTAATCTTACTAAAGCAGGCATCCTCCTTCAAAAACCAACCCAAGATAAAATTTAACATTCCCTTTCTAGGAGATCATGAGCTGTGTTCAATGAGACCAGTACATGGACACATATGCACAAGGGTGAGTGATTTACCCTAGGCTGAGCAAGCAGGGATATTGCAAGACTATCTGGGCTTGGACATAAAAACTGCCTCACTCTGGTCTATCACTCTGCTCCAGGCCTGGTTTTCCAAACCTCCAGACCAAGGTTGTTGGTGCCCTCAGACTTAATACACCCTGTTCTCTCTTCTTGCATATCTTTTCAGGGATGGCTCGGGTCTCAGCCCCAATAAAACTTTCTCAGATAGGCCTTCACTGATACCCAATGGAAATTTACCCTCCCACCACCTTATACTGTCCCTCAGGGTCATATTCCATTATACCACCCTATGATCAAAGCAATAAGCATTATATTACTTTCTTATTTATTGTACTTCCTACATTAGAATGTTAACTTCCAAAAAGCATGGATCTTGGGACCTTATCTATCTTGTTCATAACTGCATTCCCACAGCTTAGGTTAGGACTTGGCATAAAATAGGTGAATGAATGAATGAAAAACAAACTGGTTTTAAAAGTCATTAGGACAGGGGCGCCTGGGTGGCTCAGTAGGTTAAGCATCTGCCTTCGGCTCAGCTCATGATCCCAGGATCCTGGGATCGCTGGGCTCAGCCGGGAGCCTGCTTCTCCCTCTCCTTCTGCCCCTCCCCCTGCTTGTGCTCTCTCTTTCTGTCAAATGAATAAATAAAAATCTTAAAAAAAAAATCATTAGGACAGTATCAAGTGTGGTAAAGACATAGAACAACTAGAACCCTCATACACTGCTGGAAGGCATGTAAATTGGTAAAACCACTTTGAAAAACGGGCTGTATCTACTAAAGCTGCACATCCTATGACTCAGCAATTCCAACACAATACACCCAACATAAAAACATACATACCATCAAAAGACATGAACCAAAATGTTCATAGCAGCACTATACAGCAATGAAATTAAACCAACTACAACTGCACATATGGTGAAAATCTCAAAAAATAACAGTGAGTGAAAGAAATCAGACACCAAAAGAAATCATACTATATTGATTTCATTCATATAAAGCTTAAAAATAGGTTAAAAGTAACCCATGGTGTTATAAGTCAGAACAGAAGGTAACCTAAGTGACTGAAAGAGAACACAGTGGGGAAGGGACATGTTTCTGGGATGCTGGTCAAGTTTCTTGATCTGGAAGCTGGTTACACAGTTATGTTCTCTTGGAGAAAATTCCTTGACCTGTACATTTATGGTAAGTGCACGTGTCGGTATAGTTATTTTTCAATGAAAAGTTCAAAAAATTAATCAAGAATCCTTCCACAGAGGCAGCATAAGGATGTCAAGCCTCTTTGTACTGTTACTCCACTTTTTTACCTTCGACCCAGCATTTCATCTCACCCACCATTAGCAGAGAGATTACCCAAGAGGGACGATGAATGGGGTGGAAAGGCAGGCCTGACTTGGTGGAGCAAAGGCTTTGGCTCCTAGGAGATAACCACCACAGGCTCTTAATTGTTGCAGATACCAGAACTCTGGAACATACACACCACCCAGTGCAGGGTGCCACACCCAAGGAAAATATAAGGGAGTTGCGGTAAAAATGATAGCAGGTATGTATTGAGTCAATACGACAGAAGGTGGAGCCAAAACTCTATACATTTATCTCATTTAATCCTCAAAATAATCCTAGTACAATGCTAGTACATACTAAGTGCACAACACCTCTCAATAATAAATATTTGCTGGGCGCCTGGGTGGCTCAGTTGGTTAAGCGACTGCCTTCGGCTCAGGTCATGATCCTGGAGTCCCGGGATCGAGCCCCGCATCGGGCTCCCTGCTCAGCTGGGGGTCTGCTTCTCCCTCTGCCCTCCTCCCTCTCATGCTCTCTCTATCTCATTCTCTCTGTCTCAAATAAATAAATAAAATCTTTAAAAAAAATAAAAAATAAATAAATATTTGCTAAATGAAAGGTAAGTGCTATTAGCACTTCAAAATGATTAACTTGTCCCAATGTTACACAAGATGGTACAGCCTTAATTCGAACCCTGACCAGCCGGGATTCCAATGACTCTAAACCTTACAACACCTGCGTGAAAGCGGATAATGTTAATATATGCCTGAGAGAACTTGCTTCTGGTGAGCTTACTACAGTAAGCCAGGCTTCCCAGCCACTAACTGGGAAATCAAATGGACCTCAATTTCCTTACCCACAAAATGGATATAATAATAGAATCTTCCTTTTATTCAACCAATATATATTAATCACCCACTGTATGCCACGCACTATTCTTGGATTAAGTGAGAAAATGCAAAATGGCAAATTCACTTCCTCACTCCCTTAATCCCTTGCATTTATTTGTAAGAGACAGTGGATCTTTAAAAAAAAAAAATTAGAGGAATGTTGGGAAACTCGCATACAATTCACACAAAATTTTGCACTTAATTTCAGGGAATTCATAAGCCTTTTAACATTCACATATTGCCCTCTGTCTCGTTAAAAACGGTTGCAGAAAGACTTGGTAAACCGTGCTCTCACATCAGAAACCTCCGCTGGCATTCACAAGTACCCAATTAACAGCAGGGAAGAGGGTACCATTTTTACAGACTACTAAAATCGAAAACTGACATATCTTAGCATCGCAGTTTCGTAGCCCAGGATAAGAATCTCACATCTCATGCTTCTAAGTCCAGTGCTTTTTCCAACTATGAAAATCAGAAGGCGCTTCTACTCTGGGGTTAGACTAAAGGAAGTAGATAGAAGACATGCCATTCGCTCCTAGAAAGGTGGATGAGAGTCCCGCAGTTAAGAGCAGCGCAGTTAAGAGCAGCTCACCTGGGGCGGGAAGCTTGGGCGGGAGCCAGGCCTCTTATTCACAAAAAGCGACCTAGATAAGGCTCTCTGGGCTCAATTGTTACATCCGTAAAATGGGGTAATAACTTATGCTGTTCTGCCTTCCCTGTGGTGCTTGGTTCACGACGCCTCAAAGAGGGAAAAGATGGAAAAGCTTCCCAAGGGCAAAGCAAATAGGGATGGTTAGGATCATTAATGAGATTCTCAGGGCGCTGAGGGCAAGAAGGCTCACGCTTCTTTGCTGTTGGCTTCCGGTTTCCCCAACTGCAAACTCTCAGTCCCTGGCGGAGCGGGAAGCCTTTTACAAATCGGGATGTGGAAAAGAAAAATGCTCCTAATGGGCTTAGAACAGTGGTACTTAACAGGCGCTTTGCAAATAATCTGCTGAATGAATCAATGACTGAGTCCACAGAGAACTTCTCCAGTCTCCCCGGCCGAGATCCCCCTCCAGCCCCGGAATGCCACACTCACCGGGCGCCGAAGCCCTCTGTTCCCACCGTCTCAGCTCCAAGAGTTCGTGGAGCCGCAGCAACTCTAACCTGTCCCAGCTGGACTCCTCTTACAGCCACTGGCCGCACGCCGGAGCCAAAGCGGGCGCCGAGCTAGGAAAGAAGGTGGGGAAAAGAAATTTTCGCGCCAAACGTCGTGGCTCCGCCCCCAGGCTGTCCCCACAGCCCCGCCCACCCAGGAGGGGATGCACGTCGTACGTCCGCCAACGTGTAGCGGCCATCATTGATTCGGTCGGCGACGCAGTTCGCGGAAGAAGTTCCTTTCCTTGCCGCATTCCGGGTACCAAGATGGTGGCCTGAGCTCTTTAGAGAGACTTCCTCCATCCTTCGCCGTCCCTCTCAGATTTTTTTTTTAACCTGGATGTGACGCATTAAAGGACCCGACGGAAATAGAATTGAAGGCGTTCTAAAATGGCGAACCGTACAGTGAAGGATGCGCACAGTATCCACGGCACCAATCCTCAGTATCTGGTGGAGAAGATAATTCGGACGCGAATCTATGAGTCCAAGTACTGGAAAGAGGAGTGCTTTGGACTGACGGGTGAGCGGCAGCGCGCGGACCCCCTCCCGCCGCCTTGTAGCCCAGTTCTCCTGACTGGGCGTCGGTGGGACTGGTCCCCGGGCGTGAGACTGGAGGGGAATGTGTCAGTCATTCAGAAAAATTTGAGCACCTACTATGTGCCTAGTTTTGTGTTGGGCTTTGGGGACACATGAATCTGCTACAGCCTTATTCCGAAGGGTGTCTGTGTTGGGTTCTCTGGGTGTTACCATGTTTAATATAATCTGCTGAGTCCTCAAACACTGTTAAGCTCAGGGAGTCTGAAGTTCTTAAAGGAACTTTAACATACCTGAAACCCAATTCAGGGTATTACTATCCCTAAATCTGGACCATTTGCACTATTTCCACGTTCGGGTCCTAATACAAATACCAGTCCTTCAGAGAAGGCTTCCAGGTAGTCTTTAAATCTTTGATTTCTGGCTTCTCATTTTAGTAGCTCTTTTACCCCAGTGAACCATGTCGTCCTCTACTGTAAAACGAGTATCATAATGCCCACCCCAAAGGGTTGCTCTAAGGATTAAATGCAATAATGTATAAAAAGTATTTGGTATGGTTACAGGTATATATTTTAAGATGCATTCAGCAGTTGTGGTGGTGCTAGTTGTTACCACTGTTAACTACTCTGTGCCATTGTTGTTGCCACCACCACTGTGTGTCCATGGACACGTCATATTGTTTCTCTCTGAGTCACTGTTAAATTTTGGATAAATTTTGGGACCTTTTCTCATTACATACAGTTCTCTCCTTGGATGATCTCCACACTACAGTTACATCTTATATGTAGATGCCTTGATTTCTCTCTCCAGCCCAGGTCTCTCTCTGAGATCTAAATCTCTAATTGCAAGACATGCCAACTCAGTATGTCCAAAAGTGAACTCATGACCTTTTCCCTCCAATGCTAGATTATGTTCCCTTGTTGTATAATTGTATTGCATTCTGCATCTTATTTCAACTATTCATCACACTTTCAATTATTTTTCAATGCTTTCTGCCTTGCCAGTCTGTAAACTCTGTAAGTGTAGTTATTTTGTCCTTTATCCCTCTACCTACATCTCCAGTATTTAGCACCTGGCTGTAAGTTTGACTCTCACTATAGCCCTGAAACTTTGTACCTTTATTATTCAGATTTGTACTGATAGTCTAAAAAAGAAGTAAGGTAAAATGACTTGCCCTAGAGTTCACACAGCTAGTGTTTGCTTTTGAAAACAATTGTGGAAGGTTATTATCCCCATTCTGTAGATAACATTTGCTCAAGGGTATGTAGCTATTGATTCCTTTGCTGTTACTGTTTCTTTTCACTCAGAATCTGGCTGTTTTTCTCCAAACATAATGGTGACAGGCATGGACTCTGAAGTTAAGACTGCTTACATGTAAATCCAGGCTTGCTCCTCTGGCTGTGGACCCTGAGCAAGTCACTTAACCTTTCTTAGCCTTCATTTTCCTTAGCTGAAAACAGCCTCAGTGCAGGAACTTCATGGCTAATTGTGAAGATTAAATGAGATAGTATGACATGCTTAGCAGAGTACCTGGCATATAGTCACCTTTCAGTGTATATTGGCTGCTATTATTATTTTTACTATTAATACACAATTGTTCTTCTCATATTAAACTGTCAGTTAGTATTCAGGAGCACCAAACCTTGAACTAGCTTATCTCCACTTCAAACTGGGAAAAGCTTGCTCCTAATATGTCTGAGATGCCACTTTGTTTTTGTTTTTTTTTAGCTGAACTTGTAGTCGATAAAGCCATGGAGTTGAGGTTTGTGGGTGGTGTCTATGGTGGCAACATAAAGCCAACTCCCTTTCTGTGTTTGACCTTGAAGATGCTTCAAATTCAACCTGAGAAGGATATCATTGTAGAGTTTATCAAAAATGAAGATTTCAAGTGAGTGAAATGTTGACTCGCTAATATAAAAGCTTCAATTTCAGTGGTCCGGAATTTGGCTTTGGTTAAGAGGAGTGAAAGCAGTGTATCTTGTTATTTTGTCTGTTCTGATTATATTGATCTTCTCCTTCACATTCTCAGCCCTGGTAACTACCCCTCGTGCCCAAAAAGCATTTCACAAATTCACTGAACATATATCAAGCAGAAGTGAGTACCTCGTATGTTGGTAGCACTGGATGCTCAAAGATGAAGAAAACTACATAATGTGGTTAGATAAGCGGGAAAACTTTGGTGTATATGGAAGTTCATGTCCAGACTCATGTCTAGTCAAGTTCAGACTTATTGTGACCTTGGAGAAGTTACTACATTTTGTGAGCTTTACTTTCTTTACTTGTAAAATGGAGATGATGATACCAATTCAAGACTGATGTGACGGTTAAAGAAGATAGTGCTGTATATCTCACAACACAGTGCCTGTTGCATGGTAAATACCCCCAAAATATCAGCTGCTCATATTATTTTATTCATTCTCAAGGAGTTCACAGACAAGTGTAGGAGACAGATATAGTAGCTTATTATATGCCACCCTCTAAGGCATTTACATATAATAATTTATTTAACCTTAACGACAATCCTGCAAAAAAAATTTTTTTTTTAAGAATTTATTTATTTATTTGACAGAGAGACACAGCGAGAGAGGGAACACAAGCAGGGGGAGTGGGAGAAGGAGAAGCAGGCTTCCCACGGAGCAGGGAGCCCGATGCCGGGCTCGATCCCAGGACCCTGGGATCATGACCTGAGCCGAAGGCAGACGCTTAACGACTGCGCCACCCAGGCGCCCTAACCCTGCAAAATTATTATCCCTGTTACACAGGGGAGGAAACTTAGGGACAGATTAATTTCAAGGTCAAACAGCTAGTAAATGGCAAAGCTGGCTTCAGTGTTCAGATTCTTTTCTACTCCATTCTGTTTGTCATATAAAGAAACTGTTGAGTTTCAAATGCCTACTAGTTATTCCAAGTGAAGAATCTGAGTGGGTAGTCGGATATAGGAGAAAAGAAAAAGGAATCTTACAAAACATTAACAGCTAGAAAATAGCTTTTATTAGGCACTTATATGTGCTGTATGCTATGCTTAGCACTTTACACACGTTTCTCACTAAATAAACCAAGCCAGCAAATTAGGCACTATTATCTCCATTTTACAAGGATTGAGAAAGCAAGTAATTTGCCTAATGTAACAAAGCCAGTAAGTAATGGAATCAGAATTGTAACCCAGAGGACTTTGACTTTTTTCCAGAACCAGTACTCTGTGCTACCTAGCAACAATTTATATATTCACATCTCTATATATATATTATTTCTTGTATTTTTAGTAAACATATAGTTTATTGTTAAATTCGGTATCTCATTTGATTCTTACAGTAATCCTATGAGGTAAATAGATTCTGTCTTCATGTTATAAATGATATAATAGACTTTGAAAGTTGATCAACATGTCCCAAGTTCCTGCAGCCAGTAAGTGATAGAATGGGAACTTGTAACCAGGTCTTCATATTTTACCCTTCTGCTGCCCCATGTTGCCTCTAAAATTGCAGTTCTTTCATCTGCCAAAGAAGAGAAAGAACTTGAACATCCACTACTGTCCTGAGAAAAGCCAGGTGTGAAACTCAAGATTAAGAACTTTTTAGGATGGCCTATTGTTTCACTGTTCTCTATTTGTCAGATATGTCCGTATGTTGGGAGCACTTTACATGAGGCTGACAGGCACTGCAATTGATTGCTACAAGTACTTAGAGCCTCTCTACAACGACTATCGAAAAATCAAGAGCCAGAACCGAAATGGGGGTGAGTATGGTACCAAGTGTTTGGACCTTCCTCCCTGAACCAGTTCACCAATATCTCTACTTTCACATTGTAACATACATTGTGAATGCTCTTCATCCTTGTTGTTACTGTCTTCATTTCAGTTTCTCCACCTCCTGCATGGAGTACTCCATTAGACTCCTAGCTTCCTTTTGGCCTTACCCAGTCTACCTACCTTTCCAACTGTATCTTTTTTTTTTTTTAAGATTTTTTATTTATTTATTTCACAGAGAGGGAACACAAGCAGGGGGAGTGGGAGAGGGAGAAGCAGACTCCCTGCTTAGCAGGGAGCCCAATGCGGGGCTCGATCCCAGGACCCCAGGATCATGACCTGAGCCGAAGGCAGACGCTTAACGACTGAACCACCCAGGCGCCCCTCCAACTGCATCTTATGTCAGTCCCAGCCTTGCCTCATGTGCTCCCTCCACATGTGCTCCATCCCATATGACCTACCTCCAGAATGACCTCTGAAAAAACATTCCCCAAACCTCACAAAGTTTTCTGTATGTTACATCATCACAATTATTTTTATTTATTTATTTTTTAATTTTTTTTTTTTTAAGATTTTATTTATTTATTTGACAGAGAGAGAGATAGCGAGAGCAGGAACACAAGCAGGGGGAGTGGGAGAGCGAGAAGCAGGCTTCCTGCCGAGCAGGGAGCCTGATGTGGGACTCGATCCCAGGACCCTGGGATCATGACCTGAGCCGAAGGCAGATGCTTAACGACTGAGCCACCCAGGTGCCCCATCACAATTATTTTTATTTTTATTTTTTTTTTAAGATTTTATTTATTTGCGAGAGAGAGAATGAGAGACAGAGAGCATGAGAGGGAGGAGGGTCAGAGGGAGAAGCAGACTCCCTGCTGAGCAGGGAGCCCGATGTGGGACTCGATCCCGGGACTCCAGGATCATGACCTGAGCCGAAGGCAGTCGCTTAACCAACTGAGCCACCCAGGCGCCCCCACAATTATTTTTAATGGCCTCTTCTCTAACACTATACTTCACACTGCAGTATAGATTAAGTGTACTCATACTTACGTAGGAATCCCACTGAAAAATAAAGTATATCCAAAGGGGGCAGCTCCATACATTTTACAAAGCTATTTTTTTGTGGTAGAGGGGGATTCAGGGTAACGCAATAAAAACCTTTTTCTTCTCACTTAGTGTCGTAACAGAAGATTAGTAACATTTGCCTTTTACCTCTACATGTAACATTAAGCAGTAGAAAGTCAAGAATTTGGTATTTTACTGTAAATTTTTATTAACTTACTAGTTTATTGATTAATAAATAATTAAGTGCCAGTGTCATGCCAGGTACTGTCCTTTGTACTGGAAATAACATGGTGAACAAGATGGTCATGGGCATCATGGAATTCCTTATTTATGTTTATATTATGTTAAACTAAGATGGGGTTTTTCAACCTATTGACAGTTTGATCCAGATGATTCTTTGTTGTGGGAAGCTGTCCAGCTCATTGTAGGATATTTAGCTGTATCCCTCGCCTCTACCCACTAGATGACAGTAGCATCCCCACTAGTTGTGGGTGGCAAAGTTAACCCCTGTTTGAGAACCACTGAACTAAGGTTTACTTTAAAAATTCTGGAAAGGGCGCCTGGGTGGCTCAGTTGGTTAAGCGACTGCCTTCGGCTCAGGTCATGATCCTGGAGTCCCTGGATCGAGTCCCGCATCGGGCTCCCTGCTCGGCGGGGAGCCTGCTTCTCCCTCTGACCCTCCCCCCTCTCATGTGCTCTCTCTCTCATTCTCTCTGTCTCAAATAAATAAATAAAATCTTTAAAAAAAAAAATAAAAATAAAAATTCTGGAAAGCTATTACTTTATTTACCATATAAGATATATGCTCTATATTTAGAAACATGGTTCACATGAGAAATTGTACTTGAGTTATATGATCTGTTCAAGAACATCACCCCTGGGCACCTGGGTGGCTCAGTCGGTTAAGCGTCTGCCTTCAGCTCAGGTCATGATCCCTGGGTCCTGGGATCAAGTCCTGCATCAGGCTCCCTGCTCAGCAGGGAGTTTGCTTCTCCCTCTCTCTCTACCCCTCCCCCCGCTCATGCTCTCTCCTGTGTGCTAATAAAATCTTAAAAAAAAAAAAAAAAAGAACATCACCCCTATACAATTCAGAACTGTTTGTGCTTGCTTTTGTGTTGTGTCTCCTGCTAATTGGGACAGCTTCATTCATCCCTTTATCCCCAGCTCCAGGAAGAGGCCTGGCACATAGATGGCCTCAGTAAAGGTGAGCTGAATGAATGAAGTGATGATGACAAGGCTATGAATGGCTGTAGTTTGAGCTCAGGTCTGTCAATAATCCCTTCTCTGTAACTGCCACACTGAATGGCTTTACTAGTAAATGTGCAGGGAAGGGAGGCTGCAGAGGATTCACACTTTGTATACCAAGTACTTTTTACATATAGATATTTTACGTATAGTCTTACACTTCTTTTACTTGTTGGCTATATAAATTTATTTCCAAGTTGCCTGAGCTTATGATTGTTCTTTCAGAGTTTGAACTGATGCATGTGGATGAGTTTATTGATGAACTGCTGCACAGTGAGAGAGTCTGTGATATCATTCTACCCCGGCTACAGGTAAGAGATAAAGGAGACGTCTCTTATCAGAGTTGCCCTTCTCTCCCCAAGACAAGGGAGACAGACAGGTACACATACACAATAAGACACTGAAGCCCATGGATCTCAGGGGTCCTTATCTTAATAACTAGTCTTCATATGTATGAAAAAGGGGATTGGGAGAGGAAAACATAAAGTATTTGAAGGGTAGGGCTTTAAAAGTGAGTAAAACAGGAAGACTTTCTTCTTTAAAATGATATATGAAGGAAATTGTAGGATGTAAAACAGATAAAAGGAGGGTCAGGACTGGTAGACTGAGATCTTAACCCCTTAAATGTCACCTTTATAACCCTGCTCCTTTTCCTAGTGATAAATGATTATCCATGAAGCACCTTTCAGGAATGGGTTTTGCAGAGTATTATTTTAGAACTACTGTTAATAAAATACAAAGGGAAAACAGATACAGTAGGTTGCCTAAAGAGAAAGGGAATGATCTATAATGGAGAGCTGATGAAGCGCAGGGAATTAAGAGATTAAGTTTCTCTTGTTAAAGCTGACTAGCTATGGAACCTGGTTTTATTTTCCCATCTATAAAATGGGGAAATTAGGCTACTCCAGTGGTCTTTAAACTACTCTGTGGGACTGTTTTAAGGCTGCTGAGAGGAGTAAGAGGAGACAGCCCCACATATTCCAACCAGAGTAGCTCCTTTTTTCTCTAAATTACATATTGGGCTTGAGAGTGAGATTTCATTTGAACAAAGGTTTTTTTTTTTTTCTTTTAAATGGCTTTATTAAGGTATAATTGACATAAACTACATATTAAGTGTGCAGTTTGGTAAGTTTTGCCATATGTATACACCCTTAAAACTGTCACAGTCAAGAATAGTGAACATACCACCCCCAAAGTTCCCTTTTTTCCTTCTGTGTAATCCCTTCCTTCCCTCCTCTCTCACCCCTAAGCAACCATTGATATGCTGTCTGTCATAATAGATGTGTTTTGGAATTAATACAATACATGCTTTCTTTTTTTTTCCTTCACTCAGCATAGTAATATATATTGCATGATAATTATTTCAAAGTAGGGAATAGAATGAATTGCAGATATCTGAGTCTTAAAAAAAAAAAAAGATATCTGATAAATGGTTCAGATGAGGCAGCAAATCAACCGAATAAAAAGTAGTTGGGACATGAGTGCTCACATTTAAATGCAATGAATCAACTCTTCTCCACATTGACCCAGTTATAAGAATCTATAAAATAAAAATCCTGAAAATGAGTGTGGTATATCTTTCCTATTCTTTATTGGCTACTGTACACTGTGTAGTGAAGAGAGTAAGATTTCAAAACTGAAAATCTGCTTTCAGGGCCCAATTTTCACACTTCATTATGGTTATGTTAACTATCATTATTACTAGCTGCTCTCATTTTTAAAAATGCTCTAAGAAATGGATTATTTTGAAGTGCAATCAGTTTGTAGCTAAGGGTTCATAAGCCCATTCAGCTTTAAGCAAGCCTATTGGTGTAAATAAGATGGTCTTCGTAGAGTCTAGAAGACCATAAAACATGCCTTACTGAGAAATTGAAATCTGACTGATGTATATTTTATCACCAAGAAGTGTGGTCTGTTGTGGGCCTCTTTGTGTCCTAAATGAAGTGAGACTTCCCTTCTGCTCTAATGCTGTTTTTTGGTTTGTTTTTTTTTAAGATTTTATTTATTTATTTGAGACAGAATGAGAGAGAGAGAGCACATGAGAGGGGGGAGGGTCAGAGGGAGAAACAGACTCCCCACTGAGCAGGGAGCCCGATGCGGGACTCGATCCAGGGACTCCAGGATCATGACCTGAGCCGAAGGCAGTCACTTAACAGACTGAGCCACCCAGGCGCCCCTGCTCTAATGCGGTTCTTATTAAGGACTTCAGTGCCCTGACATTGGCAAGGAGCTGCTCTGAAATGAATTCTAATTTCATCAAACACAAATACTATGAATTAATATATTGATTTTGGTCACTTCTGAGTCTGGTGAGCATTAGGAATTTGGGATGCCCTGTCTGATGCAGTCCTAGATCCCAAACTGGTGATCCTGTAACTGGAGAGCCTTTTTCCAAGGAGCTCTTTAATGAGGGATTGACTTCACAGAGCAGCATCTTTGTCTCATTTTCCCAACCTTTATAGAATTTTGTTAGGGATGACTGAGATCTAAGCTAAATGTTACTATTTATTCTAGGGCTGTCCAACATTTTTTATGTCTTGGGCACAAGAAAATGATAAGGGATCTCATGACCCAGCCAGTCCCCATTTGGCATTTTTGAACTCCTCTTTGCCTTGCAGGTCCTTAATCATGCAGTAAGCCAGCGAAGCCACATCTCAAAAGAAAATGGAACCAGGAGATGGATTGTTTATATCCTGTACTTGGTTCAAAATGCATGACTCTACTAGACAGTTCCCTAAATCCCAGGTCAAGTAGAGCTGGTGCTACTCCATACCAGTACCCAAGGCACTCTTCATCCCCCAAACTGGGCTGGGCCTCAGTGGGTCTCTTAGGGTAGATTTGCTCTGACACCTGTCTTGGAACTAGCAGCCACCAGAGTTACAACTGTGAACTTACTGGCCTTTGTAGATGAAGCTCCATTTTTATTCAAGGCTACACCTATACTGATTGATATTTTAGTGACCTTAAGAGTAAAAGATTACAGAGAATAGAGCCAACAGAAAATGAAGTTGTTCCCTTCAACTTTGTATTGATCTATTTACAGGGGGATGTAAGAGTGAGTATAGATGAAAAGTATGTTAAATTCCTTCGGAAAATCTTGAACTGTCTAGCATGTCTTTGAAATGATACTGCCTCAGCTGTTGCTCACCAGTTTTCCTGGCAATCCCAGAGGCCCAGTGTTGGGGCTTCAGGGCATAGAGAACAAGGCCGCCTGACTCTCATTATGTTTTCTATAGAAACGTTATGTGCTAGAGGAAGCTGAGCAGCTGGAGCCTCGGGTCAGCGCTCTAGAAGAGGACATGGATGATGTGGAGTCCAGTGAAGAGGAGGAAGAGGAGGATGAGAAGGTCAGGCACCTGGGAGCTTAAGGGTTGAAGGAGGGATAATTATGGGGAGGGGATGGGGGAATGGTCCTTCCTTGTTTTGTTTTCAATTTTTAACTTTAACCAAAAAATACAGTATTTATCATTAAGAGTATGGGCATTGGAGTTAGACTTTGATTGGTATCTCAGCTCTCCATAATCTTGTGCAAATTAATATCAGTCTTTTCCTTTGTAAAGCAAGGAGAATAATACCTTTCTCTTAGGATTATTATGAGTAATAAATCAGATGATATATATAAAGCCCTTTGCATAGTATTGGGACATTATAATTGAATATTCACAGTTGGTAGCTATTAAAATAAATACTTGGAACAAAAATAATACTGTTCATAGTTGAACCTATCCTAAGGAGTAGGCCTAGTTTAGGGGGAAAAAAAACCTACTGCATGCTCATGTTATTTACTAGTTAAAATGCTGAAAAGCTGAAAGCAACCTAGCTGTCGGAGCAGTCAGGTAAACTGTCATCAACTCAACAGACTATTAGACAGCCATTAGAACTGTTATGAAAAGTATATGATAATATGGTTAGAAAAGAAGGATCTGAAACTATTACATGTATCCAGAAAGGATCTAGAGGGAAATATAAGAAGTGCTGGTTTATGGATACTGAGTGTAAATGGAAGTGTACCTCTGAGACAGTAGGCTCCCTTTAGGGTGAGTGCAAAAGGAAGCATAATGTTAGTTCATGAATTTAAAGCCAAGCAAGCAAGGCTGAGGTGCTCTTTTGTAGTGAGTGAACCAAAAGTAGGCATTCTGTTTTTCCTTTTTATAATGGAAAATTTCAATCACTTACCAAGTGGAGAGAATGTGTCTCCATTTGCCCATCGTCTAGCCTCTATACTTCTTTTTTACTTCTTTTATATCTCTATACCAAATTGTCCCCACACCAATTTTCTTGACACAGATCACAGCCATCATATATTTCATCCATATTTCAGAAAAGGCCTAACCATACATACCACTGTCACCTCCACATCAACAGTAATTTCTAGTATCAAATATTCACTGTTGAAACTAAAATTACACTGTATGTTAACTAACTAGAATTTAAATAAAACTCGAAAGAAGTTAAAAAATATTCAGTATTCACATTTCCCCAATTGTCCTATATTTTTTAAGTTTCAATTAGCATTCAAACAAGGTCCATAAATCAAGTCATTATTATTCTACACAGATTTTTCAATATGTATTTTTCTGATTGTGTCCCTGTGAGGTCACTTAACATGTTCGATGGTCCCTGTGTATCTTCTGTAAACTAATTCTTAGATCTGGAGGCTCAGTTGGATTTGAGGTTTTTGTAGGCTTTGGAGTAGAGCAACACTACTTCACAGGTACTGGTGTGTACCCCCTGCCCCAGGGTGAGCAAAGTCAGGCTATCTTCTTTTTGTCGTATTAGGAGCCACTGTGCCTAGATGATCTCTGCCTAGACCCATTGAGGGGGTTGTAAAATGGTGATATTCTTTGTTTTTTCATCATTTGTTACCTATAACACTGCTATAGAGAGAAGTCTCCTAAATCAATATTTAATTTTTTTTTTTTAAAGATTTTATTTATTTATTTGACAGAGACAGAGATAGCGAGAGCAGGAACACAAGCAGCGGGAGTGGGAGAGGGAGAGCAGGCTCCCCGCGGAGCAGGGAGCCCGATGTGGGACTCGATCCAGGCGCCCAGTATTTAATTTTTCATAGGTACAGTTGATATAGAAAAGATAAATATTGGATTATTTATTTCTCTTTTTCAGTTTTTAAAATGAGTTGACTCCACAGTATCTTCCCAATGTGATGAGCTTTTGTCCTTGGTAACATTGTAAACTCATGGATTTAAGCAAATTGGATGTGTTTTAAACCATCATAGTCCTTGTTGATGCTGAAATTGTCCCCTCTTTGGTCAGTGGGGGGGGCCCCCAACTTGACTCATGAGACTGATAAAATCATCATGGTCTCAGCGCCTTGTCTTCTGATATGATAAGTTCTGGTCATGTTTTGTAAGCTTCTGCCCCCAACCTGAAATTAGTCATTTTTCCAGGGAGCCCTTGGTTTCATTTATAGGGAAAATGGTATTTAGATACCATAATCTGGGTACTGTAAATGCCCATTGCTATGGTTTGGTCAGTGTTTCTAGGTCTTTACAGTTGGCAGACCTAGAGGAAAATTTTAAAGATTAAAGTACACTTTAGGGGCGCCTGGGTGGCTCAGTTGTAAAGCGTATGCCTTGGGCTCAGGTCATGATCCCAGGGTCCTGGGATCGAGCCCCGCATCGGGCTCCCTGCTCAGCAGGAAGCCTGCTTCTCCCTCTCCCACTCCCCCTGCTGGTGTTCCCTCTCTCGCTGTGTCTCTGTCAAATAAATAAAATCTTTAAAAATAAATAAATAAATAAAGTACACTTTAAACTTAATTTTACTGATCTTAAATCTGTATCTTTCACATTGGAAATCTAGCTTCTTAAGGAGATACGCATAATTACTTAGCTCTCACTCTTCTCACATAGTCCCAGAATAGTGGTACCAACACTAGAACAGTGGTGGGATTATTGGAAACAGTTGGTTTTTTTTGGTAGTTCTTGTTGTCCTTAGGGTTATCTATGTATTTACTGTGTTTAAAGTCACTTGAAGGTAGAATTTGGGACAGGATAAGGAGGGGAGTGTATATACTGTCCCTAAATGGTTCTCTGTAAGTCTGTGCTCATCGCTGACCTACTGTCCATTTCTTTTCCAGTTGGAGAGAGTACCATCACCTGATCACCGCCGGAGAAGCTACCGAGACTTGGACAAGCCCCGTCGTTCTCCCACATTGCGCTATAGGAGGAGTAGGAGCCGGTCTCCCAGAAGGTAAGGCCCTAGTCTTTGGCCTCTTACAGGGAGACTTTAAGCATGGTAGCATAGAAGTTTGGAGTTCAGGGAAGGAAAAAGTCCAGATTGTGGAGAATGTCTGCCCAATGTAGTAATTGCTATAAAACAACCACCCGCAAAATGTCCGTGGCAGACAATAACCATTTATTTAGTCTGCTGTCAGTGATTTAAGCTGTGCTTGGATAGGCAGTTTAAGTTCATGCACCTGTTTTGTGGTCAACTGTATACTGGCTAGTATAGGATGGCTTTTAATGAGGATGACTGGAGCAACTCATCTCTTCTCTTTGTGTATGTGTATCTCATTCTAGGCTGGGTTAGGCATGTTCTCAGGGCAGTGGCAGAATTCAAGAGCACACCAGCTCAATCATCAAATTTCCTTCCAGTATCTGTTGGTATCACATCTGCAAATACGCCATTGACCAAAGCAGGTCACATGACCGATCCCAGACTTAGAGTAGGAGGGTGCTAATAAAAGGTTACAGGACAAAGAATCATGGATAACAGAAAGGGGTAAAGAACTGGGGCAGTTTTTGGAATCTACAAGTGCAGTGCACCTACTAAGGTTCTTCCTTTTTTCTTTCTGTATAGGCGGAGTCGGTCTCCTAAAAGGAGGAGGTAGGCCTTCGGTTGATTTGTAATGAAAGATAGGGCCTTGGAAGGAGGGGGGCGTGCTGCTATTGTGGTGAGTACAATGTCAGATAAAGGGATCTAACCAATCATTTCCACAGCCCCTCCCCTCGCCGAGAAAGGCATCGGAGCAAAAGCCCAAGACGTCACCGCAGCAGATCTCGAGATAGACGGCACAGATCCCGCTCCAAGTCCCCAGGTATAGCATTTGGGCCTTTTGCTATTGGTGGTCTTAAAGAAATGTAGTAAGTGCTTAGCCTCCTCCAGCACAATAGCCTGGCTATATTATGGCTTAAAAGAAAAGGAAATGAGAATATGAAAATTTAAGAGTTCACATCTTCACTTTCTCTTACAAGCTTTGGTGAAAGGAGGATGAGCTTCCAGTTTTTTTCATCTGAAATTATAGGAATAAGACCTTACATAGTGGTAAATACTCAATGTGATGTTTGTAAAATTAGCCATAACCTGGAATGCTTTTGAGGTAGGTTCAGTTTTTCTGACACTCCCCCATAAACACACACACAGTTCAGATCTAAGAGGTGTGTCTAGCATAAGCCAAAAAAACATCACACCAATGAAAGGGATTGGGGGAAGTGAAAATGATAGTGGGGGAGTAGGTGGGTAGAATAACATTCATCCAGTGGCCTTTTCTTTCCCAGGTCATCACCGTAGTCATAGACACAGGAGCCACTCAAAGTCTCCTGAAAGGTATGGATTGACCTTTAAGAATTTTTTCTTTATTCAGAAATTAAAGTCCCAATCATACAACTAAGGTAGACCTGAACTTTTGTTTTGATGGGGATATTTAGGAATTTTCCTTTTTTATAGGACAAAACTGGCCCATTGCCCTGAGAATTACTAGAATTCTGTATCTGTTTCGTGTTTTGTTTTTTCCTTGTAGGATTGCAGCTTTGGTCTCAGGAGATCTGTGGTTGAGTTGAGTGACACTGGACAAGCCACTTTCATTTGATAAACTTTAATTAGAAATTATTGCTATATGCTGTACACTGTCAGGTGCACTCTTAACCTCTCAGAGATCATTTCCTCAGTGGTAAATTTCGGATAGTAATATCTCAGTGTTGCTCTAAGACAGAACACCAAGTACATTTAATGAATATTGGGTATCCTCTCTATCCCCATCAGTATCAGCATACCCCGTCTTCCTCAAAAGTCCTTGCCTTGCTCCTTGAACAGCTGTTAAATTTATTATGGTTTATATGTGTTACCATTTCAGATCTAAGAAAAGCCACAAGAAGAGCCGGAGAGGGAATGAGTAATGGACTCAGTTTGGTATTAGTCCAAATGACCACCTGTGGATCCGAAGGCATCTATGTGGAAGGATTAAGATCTACTCCCCAGGCAGCTATGAGAATATTTTAGGTCTTTTTAACCATATTTCTCCACTTTTCTTTTTCTTAAATGAAAGAGGTGCTGAGTTTTGTATCTCTCTTTGAGTCATACTTCGCATTTGAGGGATAGTGCTTCCCAAGGGCTGCTTTGGACCCCATTGTGTAACCAACCTTGACTATACTCAAATTTATAAGGGTAGAAAGGATCTGAGGGGTGGAGAGGATGAATGACAAGGACAGGATGTGGCTGGCTGTTGACCTTTTTGTTATTAAATTTTATACACCCATTTTCCTGTAGTTTAGTTGTTTTGCTCCATGATGGTAACTGTTCTGAGAATCCTGAGATCTATGCTGCTGCTATTACACTCAAAAATCAAGTCAGTAAAACCTATTACCTCTGTTTTTCCCCTCCCCCAACATGTCCATGTAGTAATAATAGCATGAAAACTGACGAGTTAGCAGCAGCTTTGTAAGAAGAAAAGAATGCATTCAAATGTAAGACTTCCTTCTCTGGATCATTTAATCCAATTGCATTGAACAGTTCAACAATGAAACTGAAGCTTAATACCTTTTATACAACATTCTTATACAATATTTCTTCTTCCCCAGGAGCCTTGAATTCTAGGTTATGGTGCACAGCCTTTATCTTGTAAGCACTGACATTATCCAAGTATAGTCGGTAGCAGTAGGGCAACAAGATTGAAAAGAAGAGGCAAGTATCTAATACCACTCGGGGTTTTGACCTGAATTGCTGGAAAATCGTGCCATTCATTCATAGAGCTACAAAATACAGCAGGAAGAGGCCAGGCTCTACAGGGGCATGTGGTCAAAGTTGTGTTGGTAGTAAAAAGTGATGCATTCAATTTATCCTAAAGTGTAATTAGAGGCTGCCATGGTATAACTAGGTAAAGCCCAGGTTGTTAGGAACTGGAGTTGAACATAGTGATCTAACCCTGAACTGACAACATTTAGGTAACTGTGGAATATGCAGAATTATATGGGATTGCCCAGAAAGTGTTTATGTAAGAAAAGCCAACAACAGAATCATTGACAACACTCAACACTGGTGAGAGGAAGCACTGCAATCAACCAACTGAAAATGAACCACTCAGAAAGGAGACAGTATGGCAAAGAAGCTAAGGGTCTGAGGATTCAGAAGCAAAATAAGAAATGCAGAGTGTCCATGGGCACTGATAATCAAGAGGGTGCTGGGATCTTTGCTAGAAGAGTTCAGTCTACCAGTACTTAACCTTTCCTCCTCTAAAAACGGAAAAGTGAAAAAAAGGAATGGGGGAGGGGGAGTGATTTGACTTCCTGCAGCTCGGGACTCAGCAAGAATTATGGAGACCAACTGCCTCATAGGATCCAGTTTCTTGGGAAGTTATATCTGGTCATATGATAATTATTCTTTTGCTTGCTATTGAACTGAAGGACTTTTGCAATATTAAAGCATTTTGAGATATTTGAGATTTCATGTTCTTCAGTGATTCCTGATAATACTTGAGCTAATAAAAGTTGACCATAAGAGCTATTGTTATCCATTATACAACTATATATAGGACTGCCTTTAAGAATTAAATATAAGCGGGCGCCTGGGTGGCTCAGTTGGTTAAGCGACTGCCTTCGGCTCAGGTCATGATCCTGGAGTCCCGGGATCGAGTCCCGCATCGGGCTCCCTGCTCGGCGGGGGGTCTGCTTCTCCCTCTGACCCTCCTCCCTCTCATGCTCTCGGTCTCTCATTCTCTCTCTCTCTCGCAAATAAATAAAATCTTAAAAAGATAAAAATAATAATAATAATAATAAAAGAATTAAATATAAGCACCTCTATATTTGTTATTGAGACCTAGCAGTTATTTCTTTACCAAAGTGATCTAGATGGAAAGAAATGCCTTCTGGCTTAAGGACCTGTAGACCAACCAAGTTATCATCCAGTATTATTGTTAAAATATTCACTTTAAAATATAAGATTCAAAAATTCAAAACCTGCCCCCCAAAAACCTGAACAACTTTTAATAACAGAAATAAGCCTCCCCAAACTATCAACTTAATGTGTACTTATTCAGGTATATGGTGAAATCTGAACCGAATTTCTAGTAACACAGCCAACCTATTGCAGGAAGCAGGTTGTTCCTATTCTTTCATTATTTCAAAGAGCTAAGAGTTCTTGAGTGGGATATGTTGAACATCTCTAGAGATTGGTGTAGTAAATTACAGAAATGCAGAGGAGATGGAGCTGAAGGACAAATTTGGCTGAGAGCGATTTCTGTCATCTATGTGCTAGCCTAACTAGATGAGGCTCTAGAACTATAGCTTTGTAACTTTGACTAGCCAATATTAAGGAACATTTTATATTTTACTTCTGTAACATATAGTCTGTAACTGTTGAAACAAATTTCAGGAAAAAAAAATTCCTTATGCAAAATATTTCCTGTATTTTTTTTAAGTTTTTTTTTTTTTTTTTTTAAGATTTTATTTATTTATTTGAGAGAGAGAGAATGAGAGACAGAGATCAGGAGAGGGAGGAGGGTCAGAGGGAGAAGCAGACTCCCTGCTAAGCAGGGAGCCTGATGTGGGACTCAACCCCGGGACTCCAGGATCATGACCTGAGCCAAAGGCAGACACTTAACCATCTGAGCCACCCAGGCGCCCTAGTATGTTTTTAATATTGGATGTAAACCACTAAATTTATTTCACTACCCACAATTAATTTGGCGAAAGTCTTCCAATATAACAACCCAACTTTTTTTTTAAGATTTTATTTATTTGAGAAGGAGCGAAAGTGAGATCAGAGGGAGTGGGAGAAGCAGACTCCCCGCTGAGCAGAGAGCCAGATGCGGGACTTGATCCCAGAACCCTGGGATCATGACCTGAGCCAAAGGCAGACGCTTAACTGACTGAGCCACCCAGGCGCCCCAACAACCCAGCTTTTAAATTTAAAGCTCATTCCCCTAGCCCCTTTCTGTTATTTCCATTATATAGATTGACCTGTGTATGACCTAAGGTTAAATAAGCATTAGTCAGAAAAGAATGATCAGGGGCGCATAGGTGGCTCAGTCGTCGTTAAGCGTCTGCCTTCTGCTCAGGTCATGATCCCAGAGTCCTGGGATCGAGCCCCACATCGGGTTCTCTACTAGGCAGGAAAAGTCTGCTTCTCCCTCTACCACTCCCCAGCTATGTTCTGTCAAATAAATAAAAATCTTTTTAAAAAAAAACAAAAAATGGGGCGCCTGGGTGGCTCAGTCGTTAAGCGTCCGCCTTCGGCTCAGGTCATGATCCCAGGGTCCTGGGATCGAGTCCCACATCGGGCTCCCTGCTCCGCGGGAAGCCTGCTTCTCCCTCTCCCACTCCCCCTGCTTGTGTTCCTGCTCTCGCTGTGTCTCTCTCTGTCAAATAAATAAATAAATAATCTTAAAAACAAACAAACAAACAAAAATGCAAAGTATGCAAGTTCAAAGATGGTATTAAAAGGCAAGAGATGGGAAATAAGCTTAGTAGAAAATGATTTGAAAAATAAAAGCCTTATTAGATACTATAGAGTATAAAATAAACATAAAGCATAGAGAAAATAGGCTAGAGGAAATAAAAATGGAAAATAATAAACTTAAAAGCTACAAAGATAAAACAATTGAAATCCTAAATATGCATAATTCACATTCCTGATGAAGAGAATTGAGTACATTAAATGTCCAGATACAAGAAAATTTTCTTGAAATAATAAAGAGTAATCAAGAAATATCCTGATGAATTTAAGACATAAAGGGTTAATAGGGACATCTAAGCAGAGAAATCAAGTCCTATATAATGAGGGGGGGGGAATCAGGCTGGTCTCATAGCAAACTTCATAAGGCAGTGAAGCAAAAGGCTCTAGAGGTCTGCGGAAAATAAAGAGTGACAGGAATTTCATACCTAGGCAAAGCTGTTTTCTTTAAAATGTAAAGAGAACAGGCATTCTATTCACTTGGGAAAAAACTGCCTGATAATGAAGTTATCCAACAAGAGATTAAATTAAGGACTTCGAAAAAAGCAGTAAAAGGAGTGGTACCAAACATTTTAAAGACTAAATAATGGGAAATAATTTTAGGGCTCAACTTATATGTGAACATTGTCTATGTAAGAAGTAATATAACCCAGAAGTAGAGGAACTGTTAAGTGTGCTGATTTCATTTTTCATAACAGGAGTCATACCTGGTTTCTAATTAAAACATATGTGAGAACTAGGAAAAAATAACTCTAGCCTCTTTAATGTTTTCTGTAATTGTCCTTAATTTTAAGAGGAATCTTTTAGAACTACCATAGAAAAAGCTTTTTTTAAAGTTGAGCATTTCTTCCACATTTTTTCTTTTGTTAGATCCAAGTAAAATTAATTTGCTATATTTAGTAAATATAGCATATGAGCCCACTTTTGTAAAACTCTTTGTAGGTATGTATATGTTTAAGAAAGATAGCTGGGGGTGGAGAGAGACGCCTGGCTGGCTCAGTTGGAAGAGCGTGTGGCTCTTGATCTCAGTCATGAGTTTGAACCCCACGTTGGGTGTAAAGATTACTTAAATAAATAAAAGAGAGAGGTGGAACGAATGAAGTTCATTAGCTCTTAATAGTATTTATTTCTGGTTGATGATGGACTTTTGGGTGGTTTTTATACTTTGTTCTTTAATGTTCCTTTCTTACACACATTTAAATTATCCTTTACAAGGGAAAAAAATGAATTGTTTGGACTTTAAAGCTATTTTATAAGCTTACCAACACATTTTATATATTGTTTGTTGGGACCACAAAATGGTAACCACTTTCCTGGAGGGCAATTTAGTAATATATAGCAGGAACCTTAGAACTTGTATCCTTTAACCTAATAATCCCATATATAAATATATAAATTCACCATACTAGAATTATATACACAAAAATAGCTTTATCCCATCACTTTACATATTTTTTATATAGGAGGAAAAAAGCAGAAATGTCCCATCTGTAGGGGACTAAAATAAATGGTACATTATTAATATTCATACTTTTGAATAATCTTTAATGACAATGAAAATATTAATCTCTCCATGTCATTAAACATTATACAAAACATTTCAAAACAATATGATCTTAAATGTCGTGTGTGTGTGTGTACTCTGTAAAATTGATAATTTGGGCACTTCAATTGCTCTACAATGAATCTGAATTCAAAATCAAAAACTATGAGAAGTTTGCAAACTTCTAAAACTGAGATACTACTGTATAAATTATAAACCAAGAGTATTCTATTTTTCCACTTGGTGCAGTTTTGCCATTTATTGAGCACTGGTAATTGCTGAAGGAGGGACAAGTGAGATGCTGAAAGTTACTATGTAGAACACTGTCATATAATTAAAACCTAGGTTACTTTTGCCCCAAAAGTACCTTTTGCCAGGTGGTAAAATGCCTTCCTTTAGAAAGTAAGGCTGAGCTGGGGGCAGTCTCTTGGAGATTTTTTTCCAGTAAAAATTTCAATTTAGACAAAAGAACAGCAAAATGAACATCCTGTACACCTCATCATCTGTTCTCCAAGACTAAATATATGAAAACTAACTTTTTAAAAAAATCCTGAATGCTCCAAGTCATACCAGCATTCCTTGTTCTCCTGCACTTCACTTTATTGCACCTTCACAGATGAAAAAAACAAACCAAAACTCATTAATAAATTGAAGGTTTATGACAACCCTGCATCGAGCAAGTATACTGGTACCTTTTGTCTAATGGCATTTGACAACTTTGTGTCTATCACATTTTGATAATTCTCGCAGTATTTCAAACTTTTTTATTATTATATTTGTCACAGTGATCTGTGCCATGGTTTGGGGTGCCACAAACCATGCCCATATAAGACAGCAAACTTAATAAATGTGTGTATTCTGACTGCTCTACTGACTGGCCATTACCTTGTCTCCCTCTCCTTGGACTTCCCTATTCCCTGAGACACAATACTGAAATTAGGCTAATTTATGACCCTACAATGGCCCTAAGTGTTCAAGTGAAAGGAAAAGTCAATCAATGTGGCAAACTTCACTGTCTTATTTTAAGAAATTGCCACAACCACCCCAACCTTCAGCAACCACCACCCTGATCAGTCAGCACTCATCTACATCAAGTCAAGACCCTCCACCAGCAAAAAGACTACAACTCACTGAAGCTCAGCTGATGGTTAGCATTTTTTTAGCAATAAAAGTAATGTTTTACTTAAGATGTATATTCTTGCACACTTAATCAACTACAGTATAAACATACCTTCAATATGCACTGAGAAAATCAAAAAAGGTGTGTGACTCACTTTATTGTGATACTTTATTGCAGTGATCTAGGACCTAACCTGCAAGACTTCCGAGGTATGCCTATATTTTAACACAAAAATATACACTGGGCCAGCTATCTCATGAAAAAAACAAATGAGTGAACTCCATCATCTAGTAGGATTCTGAGAAATAATGAAGTTTTAATATGAAAAACGAACAGTAAATACACCTGATCTTAACATTTAATAAATACCTTTTCAGGACTGCAAATATGGCAGGAAAGCCCTCAACCTCCCGCAATAGATTTCAAGCATCTTCCAAGCTGGAAAATATGGCAAAAGCCCAGGTAGTCTCCTATTTAAGTAATGCATATCTGAGAAAGCAGAACAAAGATAATACACTGCCCTTAAAATACATTTGTATTTACTTATTCTGCAGATTTCCAAATCTATAGGATCATTTAGTCCAAAATCCCTGGCAAATATATAACTGGGGATTTTAGACAAAATGACCTCAACCTCAATGTACCAAAATACCACCAACAACACAAGTTTTAATTTCAACTATAATCAGTGATTATTGGTAAAAACCATCCTGGCAGGAGTGCATTCTGGGTAGTAAAAGAATTCAAAATGGATAGCCTGGCACATACTGGTACCTCAGTAAATAAGAAATATCTTTCCTCCACTCTAATTGCCAGTATCAGTCTCAGCGTTTAAAAACTCTCCTTCAAAAGATCTGTTTCAATTCTCTTTCCAACATAAAAGTGTGCTACCTTGGATTTCACTTTATTGTTTTGCACCTCAGTTTTCTCAATGATAGAATGGAGATAGCATATGTTTCTGTCAACTTCATTGGGTGTTGTGAAGATCCAGTAAAATAAAAGACCAAAAAAAAGATCCTTGATCTCTAAAACTAAGTCTGTAATTTAGAATACTCTATTCATGGAGAGTAAAACAAATGTCCTAATTGTTACATTATATTTCCATGATCTAACAACCATGTGAATTAACCAAATTTGACTCTTGTCAAAAAGATTTATTAACTTAAAATAGAATTACTTCAAATACAGACAAAAACAACTTTCTGTTCAAGTTTGAGTATTTTCAATATACAAGAATGTAAAAGAAAAAAATTCTGAATCTTCACGTTGTAGTTTTATTTTTTTTTTTACCTTTTAAAAAGTTTTTGGCACTACAAGGTTCTGTAAAGAATAGAAGTGACAAATTTAAAACACATGAAAGTTTTTCCTAATTCTTAAGAACAATATATATAAAGTCTGAAGCAACCAAAGTATGAATACAGCTAATAGAAAATAAAGAATGTAATTTTTAAATTCTCTCTTTATACAATTCATCAAGATTAAACAAAACATAAAATTCCCTTAAAAATAGGGTAATAAAATAGATGAAATTTGTATCACTCAATTTGGTGATACTAGTAAAAACTATAGTTCATATTTATATACAAATAATACAGTCTTAAAAAACAGTCTTAGAATTTAAATAAGCTATCTAAACGTGTTAAAATTTTAAATCAGGACCTGATTTGTTTTGCTTTCCATTAAATGTCACTTTTTCTGCTGAATGTAACTGACATTGAGGTACGGATACCCTTGAGACAGCAGGATTGGCTGGTTGCTGTGCATCGGTAGACCAGCTGAAAGAAAATGGACTCGCATTACTCCGACACGTTTCCTCTTGGTGGGTGGGGACAACGCTCTCTACACCGACGGGTGGCACATCTGTCTGTTGGACACAACACAGACAGGAAACTGAAAGGCTTGTGCCTATTTAACTGACAACCCTTAGAATTTTAACTTGTAGCTAGTTCTTTTTTTCTATTTATACAGTAAAGAGGAGATAAAGCATGTCAAAAACATTTAGCAGGGGAAGGAGGAGGACAGAAGGGAAATGTAGGTATGTGAAAGAAAAGAGAAGTGAAGGGGAGGAAACAAGGGGAACAAATTCACCAGGGAAGAACTTCCCACTCCCCCCACAACCCCACCGAGCCCTAAAAGGGTTTGTATGACCAAAAGTAACTTTCCTCAACCCCAGTTCTTTACTCAAAAGAATAAGCCCACCATACTCAATGTTCTGCCACTCTACAGTACAGGGATGTCCCAGCAGTACATGGGATAGTTTAGGAACGCTTAAATGGAATCAAGTCTGAAACCTGTACCAGGGATTTCCCCTTAAAGTTATCATTTCATTCAGTCAACATTTACTGAGTGCCTTTCTTTAATTTCTTGAACTCCTAGTTTAAGTGTAATAACTTTGACTCTAGTTTTTTAATTCCTAGGTTAACTAAGAGCTGAGGGCCAGACTCAGACTTTCCCTATTAGAACTAAAATACCTTTGAGGCAAGCAGGCTAGATAAAATGCTACAAGTATTCCTTAGTTTATAATATTCATTACTTAGATCAAAGCCATTATTGGTACATTAGCACCAACAAAATATAACGAATTCTAATGTCATTCAAGTCTTAGTTCAACAGAACGAATCTATGTCACTACTCAATTCAAAACTTCTATTAGATCCCCACTATTTACTAAACTGAGTCCCAAAAACTTCTACGTAATATGGCCTCAGCCTACCTTCTCTAACCTCATCACCTACACATCTTTCCCATTTACTTTATACTCTAGCCCTATTATTTTCTTTTTTCTCCTTATGCCAGACAAATATCATTGACTTTGCATATATTATTCCCTCAGCTAAGAACTCTCTTCACCTGTAATCTCTAAAAAATCTCTAGGGAAAAAAAAATCCTGTATCTCTTTCACAATCTAGTTCAAATGTCAAAATCTTGTGTGAATTGATCCTTGGTGTCCCTATCTCCTATTATATCTCTGCTAGGATAACATTAACTGATTCCCTCTAAGCTCCTATCCTTGTTTATTTTACATGTCTGGCTCTCCTAATAAAATGTGCATTAGGTATACAGGTTTTACTTAATTCTTGCTTGAACAACAAGCACCTAGCACAGTGTGATACACAATATGCTCTCTCAATAAATGTTTATCGAATGCATAAAATTTCGCTCCTTGTTCCTGGCCTTCACATAGCTTCCTTGTCCCAGAACTAAACCCACCCAGCCGGTTAATGAATTTGTAAGCAACGGTACCTTGAGTATAGAATGGTTTGTTGGGCTGAAATCTGGCATTTCCCTGATGCATGAAGTTTTGATGCAAACCATAAGGCCACGAAGCTGGGACAAGAGGGAAATGGGGACGTGGTGCATGTTCCCAAGGAATTGGAGGATTTAGTCCTGGAAAGCCTGGCTCTGCATTTCAACAAGACAGGAAAGACATACTTTAAAACATCAGTTTGTTCATTTAAATATTCCTTCATTCCACAAAAATTTATTGAGTACCTACCACTGAACAAGACCAATGCTAAATGCAGAGGATACCAAATTTTTTAAAGAATCAAACACTGTAAATGTGCTCAAATTATTCATAAAAGAGACATACAAGAAGATGACATACAATATGTGGTCACTGCTATACGGGTGGAAGGTGTTCTAAAGAAGGCGCTAACACATTTGATTCAAAGATAGAGATGGTTTTCCTAAGATGATTAACTAAATTGAATTTTAAAGCACAAGGAACAAGTTAGGCAAAATGGGGCAAAGAAGGCACATTTTAGACAGAAGGAATAGCATGTACAACAGCCAGAAACAGGAAAGCACAGCAAGTTTGGGAAGCTGCAAACAATCAGCGATACAGAGAAAGGAGTAAGGTAGGTAGTGATAAGAAAAAAGTCTGGACAGGTAAGGTAGGATTTACATTTCAAAGAACTATAGTACATCAGTAAGGAACTTACATTTTATCCTAAAGACAATGCCAACTATCTTAGAAACAACTCTATCATGGCCTCGAAGGTGATTCTATTAGAAGCTAAAGCACTTGGTGTAATCGTTGAGAACTTGGGCTTTGGAGCCAACCAGGTTGATATTCAAATCCCAGTTTGAAAAATTACTAAGATTCAGTTATGTACCTCTGGCTATTGTGAGGATTAAATTAAATAATAAAAAGTAATGTGGCTTACACAAGTTCTGGTATATTAAGTAGGAACTCAAAAAAATATTAGTGCTATTCTTTCTATGGCAAACCACCCCACAATCTACTTCCCTTTAATATGTATCTGTAATCATGGAACACTACATCAAAAACTAATGATGTAATGTATGGTGATTAACATAACATAATAAAAAAGAAAAAAAAACAATGGGAAATTTGAAAAAAAAAAGATGTATCTGTAAGTACATCTTTCAAAGTACATCTTTTTAAGATTGATTGATTGATTGATTGATTGATTGATTTGACAGAGAGAGAGAGAGAGAGCAGGAACACAAGCAGGGGCAGTGGGAGAGGGAGAAGCAGGCTTCCCACTGAGCAGGGAGCCTGATGTGGGGCTCGATCCCAGGACCCTGAGATCATGTCCTGAGCCGAAGGCAGACGCTTTACAACTGAGCCACCCAGGCGCCGCTCAAATTACATCTTTTCAAAGTACTTACTAAATCCTTTGGATCATTTTTGGTGGTTTTTCTCATTCAGGATCATAATGCGGCAGGAAATAATCTGAAAGACACTGTCCTCATTCACTAAACTTCCTAGCAGGAATGCAAATTAGGAGGTACCAGATAGGGAGGAGTACACAGCAAGAAAACTTAAAACCCATACTAGCCACATTTAACAAGCTCAGTTTTCTCAGGAGGTAACCAGAAAAACAAAGCAGCTGGTTCACTGAAAGTTCGTAAAATCAAGTTACAACTAAGAGCTGAAGCTATACTACAGGGTATATTTTTTTCTTTAAATGAGACTGGGTATACATATTGAGGTCCAGATCAATTGAGAAATGATGTTTGACATAAAAGGGTATTTCTTAGAATATATTCCAATCTCCCTTGGCCATTTTTCACAAACAAATATTTTCATAATACAAACATGGAGGAGAGAAAGGATTGCTAACACAACTGGAGGACAGAATCATTAAGAGTTATGGGCATCCTACAGAAAGTGAGCTAAATTTAAAAATGGGTGAGTTAGCCAAGTTTTGGAGCAAAGCAAAAGGTGAGAGTAGGCAAGAGAGATATAAGGGAGAGGACTTTCCAGGCAGATGAACAAATTAAGTAAACAATTAGGGATAAGAGACAGTATGGTATGTGGGATGTTAATTAGTTCATTAAGGCTGAAAGAGATCAACTAGTGGTGGTACAGGAAGACTAAAACTGTGAAAACTGAGCCACTACACCAAAGGGCAAGACACTGGGTCTGTGTTCATGATTATATAACTCAGTAACGATCATAGTACATGTCATGGCATATATACAATAAACATTTGTTGAATGACAGAAACAGAGATCACGTTAGAACAGCCATGTAATGCCATATATCCTTTGACCTTGGAAATCTAAATGAGTTCCCACATTCTGGCATTTCTGCTCAGCACAATATATTATATTGTTTCAGAAGAGTTCAGAGATACCTCCTCCATCATGGTGCTCTAAAGCAATAGCCTATTTTTGTTTAAAAAGCACTAAATTGGGGCGCCTGGGTGGCTCAGTTGGTTAAGCGACTGCCTTCGGCTCAGGTCATGATCCTGGAGTCCCGGGATCAAGTCCCGCATCAGGCTCCCTGCTCGGCAGGGAGTCTGCTTCTCCCTCTGACCCTCCTCCCTCTCATGCTCTCTGTCTCTCATTCTCTCTCTCGCAAAAAAAAAAAAAAAAGGTACTAAATTGGGTGCCTGGGTGGCTCAGTTGGTTGAGCGACTGCCTTCGGCTCAGGTCATGATCCCAGAGTCCAGGGATCAAGTCCCGCATTGGGCTCGCTGCTCAGCAGGGAGTCTGCTCCTCCCTCTGACCCTACCACTCTTGTGCTCTCTCTCTCTCTCTAATAAAAAAACAAAAATTTTAAAAAAAAAGTACTAAAATTTTTGTGAAAACTGATAAAGGGAAAAGAGTCAAGCTCAGTCTACTTTTCCTATACATACTATATTTCAGGATAATCAAGTAGTTAATAAGGAAAAGTTCTTTATAGAAGAATCACAAATAGTGAATAGAAAATCATTTTACAACCCTTAGTGAACTAATGGTTATCAGCAATAATTATCAACAGCTACGATTATTATGTAAAAATTAATGAACTGTATAATGGATATCCAACTCACTGATCAATCTTAGGTCACTAAAAGATAACAGAAAGTTCTTTTTGAAATAAGGGAACAGGAACGATATAGCACCAACCAAAAAGTAAAATTCTTACTAAAAAAAATAACCTGAATCTAATCCAGACTCTGGACCTAACTAACAATTTACAGAATATATGGGCATAGAGGTACATTTCAAACAATGTCACAAAAATAAAATTCAGCCAACACTAGAATGTAGGAGTTCTATAGTTTCTTTAATAAACAGTTTATATGGGAGAAAAATAATGAGGGGAAACTGTTATAAATTAAAGGAGGCTTAAGAGATATAACAACCGCATATAATGTATGGGGCTTTGAATTCTGATTCAAAAAAAGATCAACAATTTTAGAAAAACAGGTAAAAATGAATAAGGACTGGGTATTAGAGGATCCTGGGTATGGAAACAGTCTTGTTTGTGTAAGAAATACAAACAAGTTTATACAGAAATTTGATCCAATGCCTGAGATTTGATTAAATACTAAAGCCAAGAGCTTTTTTTATTTTTTATTTTTTTTTAAGATTTTATTTATTTATTTGACAGAGAGAGCAGAGAGCACAAGTGGAGGCAATGGCAGAGGGAGAGGGAGAAGCAGGCTCCCCACTGAGCAGGGAGCCTGACATGGGGCTCAATCCCAGGACCCTGCCATCATGACCCGAGCCAAAGGCAGACACTTAACCATCTGAGCCACCCAGGCACCCCCAAAAGTTTTTTTTAAATGAGGAAAAGGAGTGGGTCGCCTGAGTGGCTCAGCCAGTTAAGCATCCAACTCTTGACTTCGGCTCAGGTCATGATCTTGCCGTTGTGGGATCAAGACGCATGTTAGGCCCCATGCTCAGCAGGGAGTCTGCTTGAGATTCTCTCCCTCTCCCTCTGCCTCTAACCCCCTAAAATAAATAAATCTTTAAAAAAACAAAAAATAAAAGTAGTAAAGGAGCCAAGGACTAGCAACTACTGGGAACTGTGAAAAGCTGGGTAATGGGGGATAGGTTCATCATACTCTACTCTCTCTTTTGTATACATTTCAAATTTTCAATAATGGAGTTTTTAAAATAAAAATATTATTGGGGCTCCTGGCTGGGCATCTGCCTCATAGTTTTGGCTCAGGTTGTGATCTAAGAGTCATGAGATCGAGCCCCATGTCAGGCTCCACGCTCAGTGTGGATCTGCTTGAGATTCTCTCTCCCTCTCCCTCTGCCCCTCCTACTCATGCACTTTCTCTCTCTCTTTCTCTCTAAAATAAATAAATCTCTGAAAAAATTACTATCGCTTCTCAGTCTTTTGGCTAAGATCAAGTGTAAAAATTTATCAACTAAAAAGCTGGATATAAAACAAGATTTATGGCTTATAAAATATTTTTATTATGCAAATATTTTTTAAATGACTGGATCATAAGACACCTAAATATTACACGGAGTTATGTCTACGAATTGAGAATATGGATTATATTATTCATATGTTCTATAATGAAAATGTATTTCTATAAATCAGGAAAAAACTAGTATTTTTTAATGCTACAAAGTGCTACTGATATCTTTTTAAAGAATTGCTCCTCTAGGGCAAAGAGCACAGGTTTTGAAGAAAGAAATTGGTTTAAATCCTGGATCTACTATGATTAATTATGAAAGCATGATAATTAAGTTACTTAACCCTGTGATTTCCTCAACTATAAAATTAGTTTTAATAATACCCTACACCGAGCTGGACTGCAGTGAAAATTTAAAGTAACACTTATGTATATTACCTCATTTAATACTCACAACATCCCTGTGCCTTAGAAGCTATTAGTATCGCTATTTTAAGGATGAAACCAATGCACAAAAAGACTTGAGCAACTGCCTCATGCCACATAATAAATGGCAGGGCTAGGATCCAAATCCAGACAGTGTGAATCCACAGCCCATACTCTTTATCTAATCCTATACTGCCCCCATAAGTATTGCTTGCCATTATTTTCCTCATATTTATATCCCCAAGTTCAACCAGTAATACCAATCACCCATTTCTACAGACAGATGCAAAAGAAGAGAAGGAAGGGTTACCCGAATTCCCCACTGTACCATTGTTCACCAGGGAATTTGGAGCCACAGCACGAGGCCAGTGTCCATCATGAGAGGAGCTAGGGATCGCCACAGGTCTGGCAGCAGGCTGTGCAAAGATGATGCTGGGATCGTTCAGGCCAATATTGCTGGGGGCACTGCCTGGTGCAGAGTGGATCACTGGACCATGGATAGGCCAGGATGGGGCAGGGATCTGGAGAGGGTGCATTGGCAACAATCCCATATTGTGCATGGGAGAATACTGAGCTGGTGGTGACTGCGGAAAGTTATACACAGGCATCTGGACCTGATGGGGGGGCTGGGCTCCCTGCTGAGGTGGGCCAAGCTTGGGTTGGGATCCTGGCTGGGATGGAGACTGAGTAATGGCAGCTGACTGGGAAGAGTTCTGTGGAAACGGCTGGGGCTGAGGAGAATAAGATGGTGAATCAGACTGCAAAGAGAAAAAGATAACATTTTAAAATTAATTTAAAAACATGTTAATGTTATAAAAGCAGAGATTATCTAAATACAAAATTATGGAGTTATTTTATTAGGACATTATAAACACAACTCTATGAAGTGAGTAAGAGCCTCATTTTACACGAAAATAGAATTTTCTCTGAGACCCTCAAACCCTCTGACATATACATTACCCTATAAACCTTTTTACTGTCCAAACAAGAAAGAGCCCAGACGTCATTCCCATCATGCAGAACTCATATTCCAACTGTAACTAGAAACTTGTATCTAAATATCTCACAGCCACTTCGATTCAGTCCCTCAACAAGTAACTGAGTGTCAGTTATGTCTGGGCATTGTTCTAGGTATTAAAAATACAATACTAACATGTATGCCCTCATGGAACTTAAAGTTTATGGGGGAAAGGAGAAAGAGCAGATGAAGAAATTACATAAGCAATTACAATCAAATACAACAATTACTATGATAAAGAATGTATGATGTAATGTTATAAGGAAATCCCAGACAGAGCAGGAATACCTCAATGTACTTTGGGAGGAAAAAAAGATAAGATGAATGAAAGTGGAAATCAAGAACAGCATCTCAGAGAAGTGATCTTTAAGTTGAGACACAAGGGTAAACAGCAATCAGTCTGATAAAAGAGGGAAGGGATATGGGAAGGGGAGGAGTATTTCATGCAAAGGGAACAACATGACTGAAGGTCTATAGGCTCATGAACACCTGACTTGTTTAAGTAACTGGATTCTGAAAGCAGTTTATTATTACTGGAGTACAAGGGCAGGGGAATGGCAGATTTGAGGTTGAAGAACCAAAGAGAGACAAGATAATGAAGGGTCCCATAGACCTTATAGTTAAGACTTTATCCTGAGGGCACTGAGAAACCACTGAAGGGTTTCAAACTGGTCAGGAACATGATCAATCTGTATTTTAGAAAAATTATTCTGGCTTAATGGGAATGAAACAGAGAACACGGGAGTGGGGAGGGCGGGGGCAAAAAGACTAATGAGGGTGATTAAAAGGCTAGCCCTGATATGATGGTAACCTAGGCTAGGGAAATACAATATAGGGACAGAGAAGCAAATAGCTGTGAGCTATTTTTTACATGTAGAAATAACAGGAGTTGGTGACTGATTTAGATGTGGGGGTTGAGGGAAAGGGAGTAGTTCTGGAAACCAGAGAGTAGATCATTCAATGAGATGGAGAACACAGGAGCAAGAAGCAGCAAGTCTAGGAATTTGGAGAGAAGTATGTTAAATTCTAGACATGTTGAGGTTAAAGTGCTTTGTGAGACATCAGAACAACAATGTCCATTAGACAGACTCTGACCCAAATCTCAGGTAAGAGAAAATTGAGTGCTAAAGCAAAGGGTAAAAGTTAGAAGCAGCAGAGGAAAATGGTTAGAGCATAGGCTTTGGAGACAGGGCCTGAGGGTTCAAGTTCTAGTTCCAAGTATATGCTGGGCTCAGGTAAGAAACTTAAATCTCAGTTTCTTCACCTGTAATGTATAAATAATAAGCAGAATCTATCTCATAGGTTTTTGTGTAGATTAACTAGGCAATACATGTGGAAAATATAAATACCAAATTCAGGATAGTAGATACATTTTAGTAGCTAGGAAGGGATGGTAGGAAGGTTTTAAGATGGGAACAGCATCCAAGAGGAATGCATAGGGATTACTGACTATGGGTAATTTTTTAATAAAGGTAACACAATGTTAAGAATTGTTAAAGCCTGGTGGTACTACATGGATGTTTATTATTTTCTGTACTTTTTCAATATTTTATTATAAGAAACAATAAAAAAGATATATATGGCATACAGAGATCAACAATGTTAGCTATTATTATTGTTGTTATATTACATTTATGAAGATGTCAGGCCCATAGTATGGATACAAGCATTACAGGTGGGGTTAGTGGGCCTCTAAATGGTGTTCCAAGACTCTCCCTATATTGATCTTCAAATGCTGTAAGAATTTTTTCTAAAACACAGATCATACCAAATTCAGCATGTTTAATAGTTAACAGCTTTGAAGCTACCTAGACCTGGGTTTGAATCTTTTAATTTCTCTTATTCTCAGCTTCCCAATTTGTAAAACTTGATCATACTAATACCTACCACTTCGCATGGCCACCCAAAGGACTAAGTGTGAAGCACCAAAGCACAGTATCAGGTTTAGAGTAAGAAAGCATTCAACTGAAGTGCAAAGTGAATACAGATTTACACAAAGGTTAAGAGCAACTCAGCGAAGTTAATATGAAACTTGTGAATCTGAACTCCAATTTAATACTCTTCTTTCACAGGATGTACTTCACTAGGTATTCATATCAGCTATGAGAAGACACATAAAAGCTTCAAGGAAGTCCAATGCCATGCATATATTGCCCTAACATATTAAACCCCTAACACATCTCCAATTTTTGTGTCTACTTTTATAAATGTTGCTGATAATCTGCCACTAGGCAAAGCCTGAAACCTCAATTACCTTATTTTAACCAATCAACAAATACATTAGGTAGTTGTTACCTTATTTTAACCAATCAACAAATACATTAGGTAGTTGTTACCTTATTTTACAAATAAGAAGGCAGGCTCAATGAAGTTAAGTAGCTTCCCCACAGATAAAAACCCAGATCTGCATTACTCCAAAGGTAATGCTCATTCCACCTCATGTGCCTAGCAGGAACACCTCTACAAAGCACTGTTATCTGGATGACTATATTTGCCAGTCTAAAAGATCAATCCAATCAATCTTTCTACCAAAACTAATCCATTTGCAGGCAGAGTACTTACACATTCTGAGGACTGTCTAGTCCTTATGGACTGATCACCCTGTTGCTGGGCTGAACCAGCCACCTGCTGGGCATTTACAAGGTTGCGGACCAGCTGGGCTGCTAAGAGAAGACATCAGAAAGAAAATCAATAGATAAATAACAGAGAAATGACAATCAATAAACTCCCTTCCTCTGTTAAAGAGTCTCAAATCCCTCTGAGATTTTATAAACTTAAAACTATTATTATGTTTGTGAAGGACTTGTAACAACTAATTTTTTTAAAGCTATTTCTCAATCTTGCAAATCACTAAAAAAATGTACTGGTGGTAGAAACAAGAACGAAAAGACAATTACTCCTTTCTAAAGGAGACGATATATTTAAGAAAATACCTTCTGCAACAAGAATCTGAGTAACTGGAAATCACTTCTAAAATACTCTATTTTTTCTTTCATTTAACTGTCATTTGAGTTTCTAATTCTTAAAATTACAGATCTCCCTCTCACATAAGAGCAATGGGAAGAGATATAATTTCTCCTGTATATGTTTCCAGAAAAAAAAATTAACTTTTATTATCTTTTGATAGTGAAAGAATAAAGAAGGTAACTGAAATCGAAAGAATACTTAAAGGGAGTTTACTGAATACAACAGACTGCTAAGACCTTAACAGTGAACATGAATACTGTTCAAAATAAAAGACTATCTAAATTTTCTCTCTTTAAGAAATTATAAGGTCGAAAATCATATTGCTAAGTTTGGAATAGAGAGGAATCAGAGCCCTTAGAATGACATCAACACAAATGACCTTATTTCTACCAAAAACTATTTTTGGCCTTTTCTATTTACCTGCCACACTGCTATTCCTCTGACGGGCCAGCTTGACCTCTGGGCACTCCCTTCGTACATGTCCTGCATCTCCACATATAAAGCATCTGAGGTCTCTGGGGTCTCTAAACTCTCGAGTGTCGTGGAGGTCTCGGGGGTCAACAAGGTCTCGGGAATCTTTCTCCTCTTCATTCCCATCCTTCTCTTCTTCACTGTCTTTCTTCTTTAGTCTAAACAGTAAACTGCTGATACCAATAATGTGGGGCTAGGGACTTGTAAACTGAATGAATCACAGAACAAACTAAACTATACAAAAGTCTCACAATAAAGGGATTAACATGCCCACTGTATCATGCACCTTTTTTAAGGCAAGGGAACTTCACATTTAGAGTACACCTACTCATATGGCAGAAACTGGGTATTCCAGTAGTTTTATAATACAATAATAAATTAGAAAAAATTTTTAACATTGAATATTTTAATCTTATAACAATCCTTAGAGGTTGGTATTTATTATCTCCCTTCTACAGAGGGAGAAGCTGATGCTTAGACCAAGTGTCTTCTCTAAATTTAAGTCAGTATATAGCACTGATGGAACCTAGGAGTTAGTTCTGTCTGAAAAGTTCTAAGCTCTTCATATTAGGCAAGACTTAATAACTAAAAAAAGGATTTTCCTGGCCTATTAAAGAGACTATATAAAATACAGGAAAGTTTATTTCATAAATATATTTTCAGGGGTGTGGAGATGTATATTCCTCAAGGTATATATTATATACGTATACCTCACAATAAATACGTCAAAGATTCAGTTAATTATATTTTAATTACTGATTTGCAGGACTATGAGGTACTCAGCAAGAACCCCATGACTTGGTCATTTTTTTTCTTGGCTCCTGGCACAGTCCCCAGTAGAATAGGTGTCAATAAATGCTTCTTCATCAATTAAAAAAAACAAACAAAAAAAACTGAATGAATGAATAAGTGAACAAATGAATGATACCAGTGTGCCCCCAAAAAATCTCATTCTATTAACAAAATTCCACTCCGATATACATTTTACCTAATGTCCAATTTAAAGCCCTGAACCTTCTTACTTAAACATATATGAACACAGTTATAGCTACAATTGGCCTCACATTTATTTTCCCTGTAATGTTGATATATAATCATTTGCCAACCTTCTCCTTTTAGGGCAGTCTTTCATGTAGTGGCCTATTTTTCCACACACACGACAACATCGATCATTGGGAGCCAGTTCTCCATCTGTTAATACTCGGGAATCAAAGAAGTACTCCTAGGGAGAAAATAAAACTTTACTAGAAAAAAAAACCCACTATGAATTGTGGAATCCAAATGGAAAGAAGACCAAGATGTAAAAGTGGTTTTAAAAAAAGGAAATGGGGCGCCTGGGTGGCTCAGTCGGTTAAGTGTCTGCCTTCAGCTCAGGTCATAATCCCAGGGTCCTGGGATCGAGCCCCGCCATCAGGCCCTCTGCTCAGTGGAGAGCCAGCTTCTCTCTCTCCTTCTGCTGCTCCCCCTGCTTGTGCGCCCTCTCTCTGTGTCAAATAAATTTTAAAAATCTTAAAAAAAAAAAAAATTATCATCACTGGGGCCCCTGGATGGCTCAGATGGTTGAGGTTCCAGCTCTTGATTTCAGCTTAGGTCATGATCTCAGGGGTCGTGGGATCCAGACTCCAGTCAGGCTCCGCACTCAGCAGGCAGTCTGCTTCTCTCCTCCCTCTCCCTCCACTCCTCCCCCTGCTCTCTCTCTCTCAAATAAATAAAGGGGGAAAAAAAAGAACCATCATTATCAATATCACAGTTGCTAACAGTGCTAACCACTTTACATCCACATTATTTCTTCATTCATCTGTGGCATCTTTGCATAATAACTCAATAGATACTATTTTCATCCTCATATATAGATGAGGAAATAGAGGCTCAGAGAGTTCGAGTCATTTGCCCATAGTAAAAAAGCTGGTTAAGTAAGCAGGATTTAACGCTAAGTTGGTCTGACTACAAATCTCATGCTTTCTGCCTTACCAGGCTATTTCTAGAAAAGAATTATTCTCTTTACAAAAGAGCTCTCTGCCAATAAAGCAATCCTCTGGTTTATTTAAAATATGATTGGATTTGCATATAACATTTCAAGAACATATAACATTTATTATATAAAGCAGGGTATAGCTAAAGAGTAGGTAGAGAACCAATACAAAGTAAATCATTTTCCCAGGTTTTAGAAGTACCAGGATCGGGTGCCTGGGTGGCTCAGTTGATTAAGCAACTGCCTTCGGCTCAGGTCATGATCCTGGAGTCCCGGGATCGAGTCCCGCATCGGGCTCCCTGCTCAGTGGGGAGTCTGCTCCTCCCTCTGACCCTCCCCCCTCTCATGCTCTCTCTCTCTCTCTCATTCTCTCAAATAAATAAAATCTTTAAAAAAAAAAAAAAGAAGTACCAGGATCATTTTTCCTTTATCCTACCAACTAGCGTATTCTTCTAAGCTTTAGCTCAGTTTTGTTTTGCACTATTACAAAGACTAGTTTGTCATAACAGTACCCACATTTCTGGAAGGCAAGAGAACATGTCCACTTAGCACTCTTCAAATCTATCTAAAGTCAAAGATAAAAGTATAAGAGATACACCTACTAGGATGGCTGTCATAAAAAGAGAAAGGATGTAGGGTGCCTGGGTGGCTCAGTTGGTTAAGTGACTGCCTTCGGCTCAGGTCATGATCCTGGAGTCCCTGGATCGAGTCCCGCATCAGGCTCCCTGCTCAGCAGGGAGTCTGCTTCTCCCTCTGACCCTCCCCCCTCTCATGTGCTCTTTCTCTCTTTCAAATAAATAAATAAAATCTTTAAAAAAAAAAAAGAGAGGGGCGCCTGGGTGGCTCAGTTGGTTAAGCGACTGCCTTCGGCTCAGGTCATGATCCTGGAGTCCCGGGATTGAGTCCCACATCGGGCTCCCTGCTCAGCAGGGAGTCTGCTTCTCCCTCTGACCCTCCTCCCTCTCATGCTCTCTGTCTCTCATTGTCTCTCTCGCAAATAAATAAAATCTTAAAAAAAAAAATTTTTTTTTAAAAAGAGAGAGAAAGAATGTAGATGAAATGGAACAGTTTGGCAGGACCTCAGAAAGTTAAACATAAATTTGTCAAAATGAACCGGGAATTGTTAGGTTTGTCAATACCCAAAAGAAATGAAAACACATCCAAAAAAAATTTGTGCAGAAATATTCACAGCAGCATTAGTCATAAGAATGAAAAAGTAGAAACAACTCAAATGTCCAACAAAGGTGATGAATAAATAAAATATGATATATTCCATTTAATGGAATACTGTTCAACCATAAAAGGAATGAAGTGGTGATACATGCTACAACATGAACAAACCCTGAGAACATTAGGCCAAATGAAAGCAGCCGATCACAAAAGGCTACATATTTTATGATTCCATTATATGAAATGTCCACATAGGCAAATCTACAGAAACAAAAAACAGATCAATGGTTTGAAGAGTGGGAGAGAAAAGAAATGTGGAATGACTGCTAATGGGCCCAGTTTCCTTCAGAGAGAAACAAAATGTTCTAAATTAGATTGTGGTGATGGCTGCAGAATCCTGTGAATATACTGTAAACCAGTGAATGAACTGCTCACTGTATATTAGTGAATTTTATTCAATGTAAGTTATATCAATAAAGCTGCATTGTTAAAAAAAGATGAAAGATGTAATTCTTCACATTCATTATTGAAGAAACCAATATAGCTAATTAAAATCCTCATCATCATATTTTCTGCCAAGGCAAAACAAAAGCCTTTGTCAACCTAGGAATCATCCTGAACTTGCTCTCCTTCACCCATCGCCTCTAATTAATCACAAGTTATATCCATTTTCTTCCTGAATCTCTCTTTAATCTACTTTTCTCCATTCTATCATCCCAGTTAAGGTGGCCTAGACCTGAGGGCCAGCAAACTTTTCCTGCAAAGGGCCAGAGAGTAAATATTTTAGGTTGTGACAAAATTGAAGACATTATGTAGTACTTACATAATAAGAGAAAGCAAATTTCCACTAAATTTTTATTGAAGAATTTCAAAATATACTACTACTAATAATTGAGTATAATTTTTTTGTAATGTAAGTTTACTAAATAGAAGAAAGAAATTCTTTTTTTAAGATTTTATTTATTTATTTGACAGAGTGAGAGAGCACAAGCAGGGGGAGCAGCAGAGGGAGAGGGAGAAGCAGACTGCCCAATGAGCAGGGAGCCCAATGTGGGGCTCAATCCCAGGACCCTGGGATCATGACCCAAGTCAAAGGCAGACACTTAACTGACCGACCACCCAGATGCCCCAAGAAGAAAGGAATTCTTTCTGGGAGAGACATTTCACTTAACTGAGGTTCAAAATTAGTGTTCCCTATCATTAAAATCAATAGAAAATGTTCATCTGTTAATGCTAATCTGCACTTACATTTTATATATTTTATCTTTGAAAATGTTTTTCACAGATGAAAAGATTGAAGATTCAAGGTAAAGAATTAGACCTAGAGTGCAAATGAAGGACTAGTCTCTGACAAAGAAAATGTATCTGTAGATGCAGGCAGATTTATAGATTTACAGAAAGTTGAAAGAATACCTGATACTATCTTTGTATCATAGGGAAAACCTCTAAGAGTGAGAAGGGCAGAGGTGAAAGGTGGGACACAAAGTGCAACAGGTATTGAATTTTTAGTACAATAAAATCTGAATTAGTTCTTATCAAATAGGATATAAAGGTAAGTAAAGAAACGTATTAAGAATGTCAGATGGTACTGAAAGTCTAATTTAGGCTGGTAAACACTATAGTTGTATTATATAAATAAAACCACCTAGCTTTAGGACTTTTTTTCATAGTGCTTAGCTGCCAAAGCATAGACAGATGGCAGCTAAGGTGAATTCATGTAAGGTTGAACACATAAGGGTGCAAGAGAAGGACAATGGTACCAAGGAATTTAAAGTATATGCCAGAGAGCACACCAGGAAATCTAAGTTAAATGGGAAGAAAAATGAAGACAGAATATAGCTGACAGAATGCGAGAATAAGGGTCAATATAGTAGAGGACCTAATGATGTAGAATAGTTGAAGAGGGAATATGTGAGTAAGCAAAAAAGATGAATAAATAGAAAATATACTTGTCTTCATTTTCATTAGTGTAGGAATGAAACACATCTATTTTGTATGCCCACAAGCCTAGTTAGTACATAGCAGAGAAATCAGTACAAAGTAGGAATTCAGGGATGCCTAAGTGGCTCAGTCAGTTAAGCATCTGCATTCGGCTCAGGTCATGATCCCAAGGTCCTGGGATCAAGCCCCGCATTGGGCTCTCTGCTCAGCAAGGACTCTGCTTCTCCCTCTGCCTGCCACTCCCTCTGCTTGTGCTCACTCTCTCTCTCTCTGACAAATCTAAAAATAAACAAAAAAATTTAAAAAAAACAAAGAAGGAATTCAATAAATATGTGTTGAAAGAATATACTTTACTATGGAAATTATAAGCATGAAAGACTTTAAAGGATACTTTCTACAATATCAGCTGTAACACTGATATAATAAAAACAATCTAAATGTCCATCAAAGAAGAACAGTTAAATTAGTATAAACAAGCCACAGAATACTATATATTGACTTTTAAAACAGAAAAAAATAGATCAAAAAATGGTTAGCAGACTCATAGTCCCCTTCAGATAGGCCTCAAACTGATGTTTGGTTGATATGCAAGATCAAAGACTGATATCTATTAGTCAATTATATTATTATACTGAGTTATTAAGAGTTACTAAAATTTTGTATTCATAGACTAAAATTAGCACATTTGCAGGTTACTAAGGATTCTAATATTCTACTAAAAAGTCTGACAACATGAAACTGGTAGGTTCCTATAGAACAAATGCACATATACACATTAATAGTTGGAATTCCCACAATTTTCAGGTAAAATGTTTTATCAGTGCATCATCAGATTTGTTTTGATCTGACTATGCTCTCTTCATTTATTTTTTAATTAGTATGTTAGTAAAATCATTGTTGGATTTTCCTTTTGTTTGACATTTTGTTCTTACACAACTTCTGTGTCATTTCAAATTTTACTGTTATTTTCTTTCTCTCCAATATAATCACCCCCCACCCCCAAAGAGGCAGGACAATAAAAAAGGTCAAGAATCAGTGCTACAAGGGAAAAAAGCTGTAGATTTTTCTGCTTTTCTTACCCTACATCCCAAAGAAAAAGTGTGGAAACTGTACTGAACAAGATCAAGGATATTTGTTATGCAATAGTAGAGACACAGTTTCTCTCTTGAGATTGCTTCTCTTGGAAGTTTCTTTCTCTGTGAAATTTGGACCTCCTCCCATTAGAAAGCAAGCAAAAAAGAGAGTGAGACCAAGAGGAATGGGAAATACTATGCCGCCCAGTTCAGGCAAAAGGAATCCTCTCAGCTCCATGCCATCACATTCAGTTACCAGGGCTACACCAAAATTAGAGCAGAAGCCTCAGCAAGTAAGAAAGTATTTCTCTGGTGTCGTCCTCTCTTTATAATTTCATCAAGATTTCTAGGGATGGAAGAGGGGCAGTGGGCAGCACCTCAAATTCAAAATTTAAGGATACTGACTCTTGACTAACTTCATTCATTCAACAAATGCTTATGTGGTACATCCAGTGTGCCATCTTAATAGGTACTGGAGATATGATGGTGAAGAGACATAATAGACCCTTGTCCTCATGGAGCTATAGTCTAATGGGGGAAGACAGAATTAAACAAACAGATACACAAAATTTAGCAAATAGATACCTCATTATGAACTATGATAAGTGCAATAAAAAAAAATACAGAGGGTGTATAATCATCTCTTTCTCCTATTTCTAATACCAACTTGGAAATAGGATAAGGCTTCCTATACCACAAAAAAAGGAGTTCTATATGAAAAAAGATTCAGAATCCAAATTATGTAAACTTACAGCTTCTCTGCCAATGAGTGGATAAAAGGGGGTACCAAAAAGTTTCCTTCCATTGATAAATGCCTTCATGATAAAATTGGTCACTATTGAAAAAAGAAGAAAAAATAAAGATGCAGACCTTAATGTGTAAAAGCTTTAAAAACAGGGGATTTCTATATTTAAAACTTACTTTTTCTAGAAACTCCAGCACCAAGGTTATGATTCAAGTCAAAAGGATCTAGAAAAGAAATATTTATTTTTTTATTTAAAATTCTGTTCACTGTAACAAAATATACATACAAGCCATAACTAGAGAGTAATACTATATAACTCAGACTATTCAAGTCAGCAAATTATTCTTCTAAAATTATAGATTAAAAATGATAGAAATTGGGGGGGAGGGAAAAAATAATAAAAGGACAGAAACATAAAAATCAAGACGAATCTTCCAAATTCTAATGTGCTTTCGGTTTTCCCTTCAATTTCCTTGCCAAATGAAACTGGCTTTTTGTTTTATTTTGTTCCTCTGCTAATGAGTAATGTCATTAGTAATGTCACCTAATGATTACCTTCAATTGCAATGCATTTGGATGTCCACTGCTTCTCAAAAGTTGTCAACAGCTTTTTCTGCCGAATGCTAATTACATATTCCTTGAAATCAAACTCTTCAGTATAGAAGCGAAGCAGTCCCAACCAAAGCTCTCCTAATGTTTCTGTGTTCTTTCCAAGTGAAGGTAAACGTTTTTTCTATAGGTAAGAAAAAAGAGAGAGAGAGAGGTCTATACTTACTCAAAATATGGAACCCAAATATAAGTAAAATTATTAAATTATGCAAATCCTAACACATATCAGTGAGCATTCTATAACATAAAGACTATGAAAAAATTACCAGTTCTTCTGTTTTATCAAAGAAAAATGCATTCCATCCATCAACCATTCTCTGTGGAATCTGTTTTCCATCAAAGATCTGTAAAAACAATTTTATTATTAGATTTTAAGTCCTCTTATGCAAACGCCTAAGTATCCTTATATCATTTTAGAATGTACCTATAAGAGATATTGAGATACTTCTTTCCAAAAGGAACATGTCAGGATAGTCTAATTTGATGCCAAGTTATTAATGAATAAAATGTATCTGGAAGATCAAAGCTGGGAAAGGATATCTTAAGAGCTTGAGACTCTCCAAATGACACATTTGATGTTATCTATTTGGCCTGTCAAAACGCATCCAGCCCAAGACTAATGAAGTAAAACTAAAGGGGAAAAAAAAAAAAAAAAAATGAAAACCACATTTTTATCAATGGATCATAGATGTAGAAATACATAATACCTATTGATTTGTATACCCAAAGGAAATCAATGGAACCGCTTGTTTTGGGGACAGGCTCTAGTACTTTTTTTTTTTTTTAAGGTTTTTTTTATTTATTTATTTACTTATTTGACAGAGAGAGACACAGCGAGAGAGGGAACACAAGCAGGGGGAGTGGGAGAGGGAGAAGCAGGCTTTCCGCTGAGCAGAGAGCCCGACGCGGGGCTCGATCCCAGGACTCTGGGATCATGACCTGAGCCGAAGGCAGACGCTTAACGACTGAGCCACCCAGGTGCCCCCAGGCTCTAGTACTTTTAATCAGTTATCTGTATCAGATGATGCTGAAAAGCCCCTGAGTATTGATTTCTTTAAAGAGAAAATTAGGTAGCTTTTCCTGACATCTTGATAAAAACTGTAAAATCTTCATGATTAATTATGAATAATAATCCACTGTCTTGAAGAAAGGGAGGGGAGAGTAATGCTACTTTACTAGAAGAAAACTATCCCTTAAGATGGGTTCTTTAAAAAAGTAAAAAGTTGCAACAGGTTCAGTGAGCAGACCTCATTTCTAGTCTTAGTCCTGCCTGGTAGTGATTCTAGACAAGACAATTATCCTCCTAAACCCTTCACTGTTTTCCCAATGAAAATGAGAGATTAATTAGGTCAGCTGTTTTCAAATTTCGTTTTTCTTTGAAGCTGTAGAATCCTTTCCTAAAATGGAACCTTCCTGAAGCTTAAAGCAGATAAAGGTAGAGGTACTTTAATAGAATCCTAAGTGGAGAAAACATACCCCATTTTTTCATCTCACTTCTCACACATACACTAATAAGCCCCTAGAGCTTACCAGAAAATACTTTAAAACCATCAGATAAGGTGGTCCCCATCACCCCTTCCATTTTAGATGGCACAGTGATTTACAAAATTAACATTATCTGGCCTCTCTAATTTCATTCGCAGGTTTAAGTTCCTTGTAGGCAAAAACTGTAACTTTAGAGCCAAAAATTCCTACTTATATCAAAGCCTGCTATTTATATAGAGAGAATAAATACTTAATACATGTTTGTTGAATGAATATATTTTATTCTGGAAGCATGTTTACAAAAAGATGAAGTTTCCAGAAACTTAGGCTAAGAAGTTGCCTTTTTTTTTTTTTTTGAAAGAGAGAATGTGCACGCAAGCGCGCATGAAGGAGGAGGGGCAGAGGGAGAGAGGGAGAGACTCTCAAGCAGACTCCCACTAAGCATGGAACCCAATGCACTGCCCGATCTCACAACCCTAAGATCATGACCTGAGCTGAAATCAAGAGTCGGACATTTGACTGAGCCACCCAGATGCCCCAGTTGCTTTTTATATTTATATGTAACTTAAATACAGGTATCACTTATCTACCATAAATTCCGACACTTCATAAAACAAACAAGGGAGAGTATAGGAATTAGATATTGATACCTACAACAAATCTTGCCCTGAAAAAAGAAATGAAGATATTAAAGAAACCAAATTGTAATATTTTACCATTACAGAATATTTTACCCTTATAGATGCTATTATAGATATTACATGGGAATAATATAAGCTATGTCGTTACACCTTGATTCTTTTTAATATAATTCTTATTTTTGATTAACTATGACCCAACTATGTTGGCTGATAACACAGTGAAGTGGACCCTGTGGGCCTTGGAAGGTATTTAATCACTGATTTGCCTTTTTTTTAATGAGCTCTCATATTTCACTTTCTAACTTTCCACTGTTTCAGCCCTTAGAAGGATAAATGCTATCCCCCCGCTTTCTCTTACACACACAATTTCTCTTTCCATTTCTCTCTTCTCTTTCTCTCAACACCAATCATGCTCTACTTGAGCAGTGAGCTCTACTCAGTCCTCCCTGTAAAACCTCATGAACAATCATATTTGTACAAGAAGTGACCCTGTATGTTTTCATATTTACTTTCATATTTAACTGTAATAGTTTAGTATCTGCTGCTATATTTAAACTGCAATATTTAAATTTTTTAGTTGTGGTAAAATACACATAACAAAAATGATTATGATGGTAAATTTTACAAGTGTTCAGTTCAGTGGCATTAAGTACACTCACATTGTTGTGCACCATCATCACCATCCATCCACAGAATTCTTTTCATTTTGCAAAAATGAAACTGACACTATTAAACAATAATTCCCCGTTCCTCCCTCTCCTAGCCCCCGAAAACCACCATTCCACTTTCCATCTCTATGAGTTTGACTACTCTATATAATTGAAATCATATAATATTTAGCCTTTAGTGACTGATTTACTTCACTTATCACTTAGCATACTGCCCTCAAGATTCATCCATTCAGTTGCAATTTTTAAGCTAATATAAGCTAAGAAAACACAGAAGTTCATAATATCAAGTGTAGCTAACACTCCCTAATCCTCTCTTAGTACTTTTACGTGAAAATTTGTTTTTACTTACGATTTTCTAGAATACAGCAAAATTATTCTGCTTAGGAAAGCTCCTTCTGACCTAAAGAACTCTGTATTGTTAACCATGAAAAATACACTTAGCAGTCTTATACCCAGTCACTTCAAGTCTAGGTTCAATTACAAATGGAGTCAAAGATCAACAGCTTCATTAAACATATCCTTACCCTTAAAAGTTGATCGATGTCAATGACCAATACTTAAATGATGCCAGAGCAATGGACAATGGGGTCCCATATGATAAGCAAAAAAGGCCAGAAGCAAAAATCCATATATCATCAGTTCATATGTATCACAAAGCCCCCCACAATCAGAGCTCATTATGATGGAAAACATTCCATGGACTGTCTCTCATTTCATCAAGCACTGTTAAGCAGATAATGGGAGAGTTCTTGAAGTTGGCTACCGCAGTCCTGCCTACATTTTTCCAATAATAATATTAATACAGCTGCTAATGATAGTAGTAGTAATAATAATAATGATAAAGCAAGCACCATTTATGAACACCTACTTTAGCACTTACTATAATTCAAGGGCATTTGATTTCTCTGTTCCTTATATCAACACTGAAATAATACTATTATTACATTATTACTGTTGATGAAACTCAGACTAGTGGCAGTCAGGCATCTTAGTGAAGGCCACAATGTCAGAATTAGAATTCAGACCACATATCTCTAGCTCCAAAATCATGCCCCGCTCTTTCCTGAACGGCTCCTCATTCATGGGTAACAGATTTACCCACAAACCACCATGAAAACAAAATTCGTGTGCCACTTCAGTTAATCATAATATTCTGTCAAAGTCACAGCAAATCATAGTAAATGGCTGCTATGATATTCCTGTGTAATAATGCATTTAAGATACCCAAATTTAAAGTCTTAACAACAGTTAGACTAATACAGAGAATGACCCTGGCCTTGTCAGGCCTCATTAATTCATGTTAAAATTTAAATATCCTACTATATACAACCTTGTTAAAAACCACATCACTCAACGCAGATTCAGCAACTTAAAATTTTCTGCCAGGAAAGGATATTTGAAATTTTTGTTTCTTCTCTACTGTTAATTTAAAAGGGGGAATAAATGCTGCTATAAGTACATGGCATTCATTAGAACTTATTAAAACTTACTAAGGCCATCTGATATCCACCATATGGCTTGCTTATTTTGTGATTTTCTTCTCTGCCAGGACTACTGGTTTGTATAAAGTCAGAATATGTGATTTGCCAAATAATTCTGATGCTTCTCTCTTACCTCAAAATAATCACCTTTCTAAGAAATTAGAACTGGATTCTCCCTAATGCTTGCAAATACACTTTGTGCCAGGAATGAGGAGGAATAGATGGATGATTAAGAACTCCTTTAAACCTATTTCACAGAGTATAAATTGGCTACAAAAAGGGAATCCATGAGTCACCAAATCTGAATGAATAGGAGTATAATGTTTCTTCTGATGTACATTCTCATGCTTAATGCAAGTTAACATGACCTTACAAAAATGAGGAAGAATTTTCTTGGGTTTTCTCTCAACCAAAATTCACAAAGTTGACCAAAGTATACACAAGAATACCAAAGTTCATTGCCAGGCAGGAGCAGGGAGAATACTATGGAGAGAAGAAACTTTATATTTGCATCTGAGAGACTATAATGCATGAGTTCATGGATGGCTATAACACTTTCATAATCACTTGCAGCATTCTAAGACTATGAAATACAAACACATTACAAAAGATATTCAATAGTTTTGTTTATCTAAAATTCCTTTGGTAGTCTATATTCTCCCATAATGAATTTTTCAAAAAGATTCATTATGTGATTATATCATTAAGGGAAGAAGAAAACTTAGGATGTCCATGCTGGAAAAATCCTCATGACCTCATAACTGATCAAGATCTGTGTTTAGATTAATTTTTTCAAAAGAAACTCCTTTACAGTTTTCTTAAACACCTACCTCTTGTAGAACTGGGATAACAGGTGGTTTTCTCTGCTGCAGAAAGTACAGCACCATAAGGATATAAGCATATGAAGATAAACTTCCCCTAGAAGCATCTCCAATGTCACATCGCTAAAGAAACATAACAATGATTGAAAATAAAACTTCAGAATCTTATTCCATGCAGAAGTACTACTTTGAGATACTACTTTTTTTTAACCCATCAAACTGTCAAATATCCAAAAGTTAAATAACAAACTATTATGAGGATGGGTAAACAGGCACTCTCATACATTACAGATGACCATATAAATTAGCATAAAATCTATGAAGAATAATTTGATAATATCAAAATTACAAAAGCATATCTCACTTAACCTAGCAATTTTAAGAATTTATCCTGCAAACACACCAAACACCAAAAAATATGTGAAATAACTAAATAAGAAGTTTTTTAAATCATAGCACTGTTTTAACAGCAAAAAAACCAGAAACTTAAGACTCCTCAAGAAAGCACAGGTTTTAAACAACTGATGACTATCTACACAATTGAACAGGGTGTAGCCATTAAAAAAGAACAAGGAAGCTCTAGTATACTAATAGGAAGTAATTATCAGTATCTACTGATCAGTGAGAAAAGCAAAGTACAAAACAATGTTTTTAGTATATTTATACCCATTATAAAAAGGAGAAAGGAAATTTTTGTATTTGCTTATACTGGTATATTTCTGGGAGGATACAGAGGAACTTTTAATACCAGTTGCCTCTAGCAAGAGGCACTGGTTGGCTAGGAGACAGGTGTGGAAGGGAGATTTTCTACCAGAAATCCCTTCAGACTTTTTGAATTCTGAACCACATGAGTAAGTTGCCTATTCCAAACAAAATTTTTAATTAAAAATAAATCCTAAAAGAATCCTCAGAGGCTTCCCCTGAGTAAGACTTTAGCCGATACTATATAAAGGGGGAGGAATGATTTCTCTGACATGAAAGACTTAGTTTCATTACTACAACTCCACTGAAGTACAGAACCATTATGCTAAAGTTATTCTGTGAGGTGAATCTAGAAAAACAGCCATATCAAATACAACTTGAGGATGTGGCTAAACGCCACTCTTTTCTAAGATGACCTCTGTCCACAAAGACATGTATAGGAATATCTAAACAAGTACGTCTCCCTGTTTTGGAAGAGTGGATTTAGTGAAATGAAAATGCAACCAAATCATTCAGCTACTAGAAACCTTCTACCAACACATTGAAAAATTAACTGTTTATTGAGCAGCTACCATAAGGCAGGTACACTAAATTGGGGATACAGGTCTCCATCTTCATTGAGTTTACTCACTTAGCTAAAAAAAGAAAACAGAATTCAGTATTATAAGTGTTATAATAGGAGAAACACAAGGTTTTATTGGGATTGTTTTGTTTTCTTGGCCAAAAAAAACTTATGACTGAACCCAAATTTCAGATGTCCTAACCCAGAGATTCTTAATTAGGATGATATGCCAAATTCCCATACCTGGGGCTGAAAATCATTATTGCATTGAGTAATTTTACTACTGAGAATTTAGTTAAGTGTTACACATGGGAATAAAACACATACAGGAAAAAACTAAGACACTAATAAGTATAAACTTAAATCATTTACTATTGAGTGCTTCCTTTAAAAGCTCAGATAAACAAAACTGAGATTGTCACAAGTATGACATCAGTATATTTCACTTTAACTACTGTATTATAACAAAGGAGATCATTAACTATTTTATAAATACCTTTGCAAACACCTTCATAGTATATCCCAAGTACTGTACTCTAGGATCAATAGCTGCATAAGTAGCTAGCATTCTTGTGTTATGTTGAGCCTGAAAAAAATTACATATTCGAAACCATTTCAAATTTATTAAAATTAAACTTATAAATCAGATAAAAAGATATACTCCAAATATAATATATAATTGTAAAACTTAGAATAACTGCAAATGAGTCAAAAACTTATCTTCAATCTGAAGGAAATATCAAGATGGTTCCCTAAAAATATTTTTGTCTTACAATGCTCACATTTGAAATATTTAAACATAAATGTATAGTCAGTGATCTGTAAACTTTTCATTTTTTATCTATAAACTTTTAAAATGACAAGTGTAAACATACCTAGGTCTATACAGAAAGAAACACTTACCAAGGTATTATATAAACTGATATCACCTTCTAAACCACTTCGTCTATGTTCAAATTTTACTATAGGCACTTTGGCAGTAGTTATAGGCAAAATGTTCCTTAAACCTGATTTAAAACAAACAAATACAAAAACTTCATTAGGTTAAATAATTTTCATAAAGCTAAAAAATATTTTGTTGTTTTAAAGCTGTAACTTAAGATTCATACCTGGATGTCTCTTAAGAATTTTTGCCAAATTTTCAATTATTTCTTTACAGTTTAATTTCTAAAAAACAAAAGAAACAAATAATAAAGTTTGTCTAAGTCAATTTGGCCTTGTGCAAATTCACTTCAATGAGGCATTTAATACTAGCACTGAAAATCTCCAGCTATGAAACAACTCAAAGTATAGTCTAGAGACCTGCAGTATCGCCATCATCTGGAAATTTGATAGAAATGCAGAATCTCAGGCCCCACCCCAGTCTACTGAATCACAATCTACATTTTAACAAGATTCCCAGGTAATTCACATCCACATTAAAGTGTGAGGCACACAAAAACAGGAGAATAATGTTTTCAAATATGTGAAATACATAACTAGAGATGGATCTGGTGAAGGCAAAACAGTATAGTGTTTAAGAACATAGGCTCTGAATTTAGACAAACCTGGATTCAATCTTCAACTAAGTATTATTAATAAGCTGCGTGACTTTGACCAGACCCTTAACACCCTGGAGCCTCATACTACTATTCTATAAAACCAAGATAATTATAAACTCCTGCCCTATCAAGTAGTTGGAAGGATTACATGAGACATGTACGTAAAGCATTCAACAGCATGCTTGGCACAAAATAAGCACTTTAAATCTGTGAGCTATTTATTGTCATTATCTTGATGAGGAAAAGTAATCCAATTATTACCAGTACCTACTTCTTCAAGAAAATTCTTACCTCTACAAATTTAAATACGTTGATTTTTTTAAAAATCAGAGACAGCAGAGTTGATATGGTAACAATAACCATGATACAAGGAATAGGGAAGATAATGGCATTATAAATTAACTAGATTAAGCTAAACGGTATATACATCAGTGCCCACACTTACTACTAAAAGCACTTTTGTATATTCCCAACATGTTCTTTTTAGCCACTAGAGAGCAATAATCATTGTGGCTTAACCTGAGGATTTCAAGGGAATCTACAGTTCCTAATTAACACATAATAAAATTTATTATGCAAGGATACAATTTATGCTAAACTATGTTTCAACAATGTCTCATCTGGAAGAAAATGTGTTCTTTTTCATTGCTTCAACTTTCCAGTGTGAATGGCACAGATGATATATAACAGACAAACCCTTAGTGATTAGAAATCCGATTATTAAATTTTACATAGAAGGTATCTAAACCCTAACCTCCACCCCTGGGTAAAATCATTTCCTATTCCCTCAATTCTTGCTCTTCAAAATAGAGAGAGGCAGCCTCTTTCCAGTAGATGGCACTGAGTAGAAGTTAGTTAAGAAGAATTAAAATATTTACAATTTCTCAATTTTTTTAAAAGATAAAATGTTAATACTAGAAATAATTTCTTAGGGCCAGAAATAAGGATCTACCAGACATCTGTACTCTGCCATCATTACTCTGATTCTAACAATTTAAAAGCCACCTTTTGAAAAAAATTCAGAAACGCATAGGTACACTATTCTGCTGAATTCTTTTAAAGTACAACAGAGGCTATACTGACACCACTACAGATGCCAGAAGCTTGGCCACACCCCAATCTTGCAAGCAGTCCCTGATTTTGAGACAGAAATTCCAACAGTTATGTTGGTAAAGGAAGGAGCAACTATAGGGATCCCCTCCTTTCTAGTTGCTGCTAGGAAGGCCTGGGATACTTCCCTGTCCAATCAGTCCCTTTCTTTACTGGAGCTTGGACAATCTTGTTTCCACTGCTGATGGTACACAAAGAGAGAAAGCATAAGTACCCACTCTCACTGCTGAGACTGCTCTGGGGGAAGGTCTGCTCCTGGCATCTCACACTGAAACTCCAAAAGTAGTGGTTAGGTTCTACAGTACTATTAGTACTATATTTCAGCTACATTATGGGTTAAATAAATTACAGGGAAGCAGTGAGATACAATGGAAAGAGCATGAACTGTGGAGTCAGACAGACCTGGGTACGAATCCCGGCTCCAACATTTACTAGCTGTGTGAACTTGGGCAAGTCAGTTTATCACTCAAAGCCTCAGTTTCCTCATCTGTAAAATGGGGGAAATCATCTACCTCAAAGGTGGTTGTAAGAATGAAATGAGGCCTCAATAAATGTTAGTTCCCCTCCCCACCCAAAATTAGTTTCTAAAAGCTATCCTAGAACATGACATTTGTAACACTGCTTTACAGAAAAAAATGTGTTCTAAGTGCCCCCAAATTACAATTAACTCGTACAACACAATCCATTTATAAATTAGATGTTCTTTTATTTTCTATCTTTAGTGATACAAAGATATCACCTAATGGAAGAGATATGAAAAGACAGAGGAAATGAGATCAGTGTTCACTACAGTAGCATCAGCTTCACATTGGTTCCAATGAAAAAAACTGCAACTCTATATTAACTTTTTCCAAAAATTCATTACAAAGCACTTTTAACTCTTAGTGACATGGTTTTTGTGTTACAAAATTACTGAATTTTGGGGTGCCTGGGTGGCTCAGTTGGTTAAGCGACTACCTTTGGCTCAGGTCATGATCCTTGAATCCCTGGATGGAGTCCCGCATTGGGCTGGCTCCCTGCTCGGCAGGGAGCCTGCTTCTCCCTCTGACCCTCCCCCATCTCATGTGCTCTCCCTCTCTCATTCTCTCTGTCTCAAATAAACAAATAAAATCTTTAAAAAAAAAATAAAATAAAATTACTGAATTTTAAGTAAATTTACTTACTTAGACATTTGAATGTCTTCTAAAATGGTAGTGCTAAATGCTTTTACATTTCAAATACTACTACTGCTACTACATTTACACGAAGAATGACACCATATTTCTATCAATACTACATACATAATTTAAAATACATTCACCACTGGAAGAAAATAAACTTCTACATCTCTTTTCAAACACTAACTCTTACCTCTGCATTTTCGTGGCCTTCCAGGGTCATACAAATATCCAGATCACTATCACGAAATCCAAATCCATTCTTAGAAGAGCCAAATAAGCACAATCTTGCCTTTTCTAAGTAAAGGAAAAAAAAAGTCAAAAGTTTCATAATTAGCATGAAAGAGGTGCCTTCTATTACCCACTAATGGACTAACAAGAGATGATCTTATCTACTTCTATGGCTTAAATACCTTCCGTTGCCAGATATACTGAGAAATTCCAAAATATTCATCTAAAGCCCAGATCTCTTGCCTAAGTTCTCACAATCCTTGTTTCTAACTGCTTTTTCCATTTTTCTACAGACATTATAAAATCAAAAAGTCAAAACTAAGCCTTCAGCTTTTACCTCAAACCTACTATTGCTCCTATAATCCCTATTCTCAGCAAACAGTATCTTTATCTACTCAACTGCCAACGTCAGAAATACATGTGTAGTTCTTAACACCCCTCTCAGCTTCTACATCCAAACAATCACCAAGTCCATTAATTTCTTTCAACTTAACTATCTCATAAGTTCATCTACTTTTCTTCATTCTCCACATCACTACCAATAGTAAAGTTCAATATTTAGAGATTTATCTTTTGGAAATAAAAGAGTTTTTTCAGGCACAATTCAAGTAGTTTTATAAATATCACCTTAGTACATAGAATTAGTTCTCCCAAAATGAGTGATTAATCCATTTGATATAAATTATGATAGAGTTATCCTTTCATATTTAGTGTCATTCAGTAACAGGTACCACTTCAAGCAAGCTGTTGTTTAACTGGATTGGGTTTCTCTCGCTATTAATTCTTCACATTATATATTTAGATAAGAAATTCTGTATTTTCAAAACCTAATTCTCTAATTCAGTTCTGATGTCCAACTTGAAATTTCAATGGCAACTGAGAGACATAAAAGAAGCTATGTTCATCAGCAAACAAAAATGTGCATGGGTTTAATATAACAGCCTTAGATTTGGTCAGTATTTTCCATACTAACAAATATAACAGAAAATGGAATCCTATAGTATATAACAGATTATCTTTTACAAGTACAAATTCATTCTGATTATAAATCAATTCTTTATCCTTTTCTAAAATATTTGGCCATAAAACTTTAGATTTTTCACCCCTGTACCCCAAATCTGCTCCTTCTGCTATTTTGCTATTTCAGTTAAATAATATCACACAACTACTAAAAGCCTTGAAACCATCCTTGACTCCTTTTTTCCCCTCATATCTACCATGTAAAGCGTGAGTAAATCCTATTGGCTCTACATTCAAAATATATCCTCTGTCTGACCACTTCTCATCGACTCTTCCAGAACATTATTATGTCTCACCTAAACTTATGCATCAGCCTCCTAAATTGCTCCTCCTGCTTCTATTCTTATAGACCTATACTCTATTCTCTCAGATCATGTCACTTAAGTGTTAAAACCTTCCTGAAGCTTCTCATTAGACACTCAAAATTCAAAACCCTTCTACCAATATCTATAAGGCTCTAATGATTCAATCTCTAGGCTACCTCTCAGACTTCATCTATTACAGTCTACCTCACACATTCCACTACGGCCACACTGATGTCCTGCATGGCCTTCAAACACGACAAACATAATTCAATCTAGGGGTATATGTACTTGCTATTCTTTCTCTCTAGAATGTTCTCTCCTTGGATATTCATATAACTTGCTCCCTCACATTATTCATGGCTCTCTTCAAACGTCACTTTATCAGAGCAAACTACCCTAATAGTAGAGAGAACTACCCCCATCACTATCCTTTTAACTCCTACACTTTAGTAGCATTTATTATTTCCTGATATTACATTATATACCTTTTTGGTAGTTGAATATCTGTCTACCCTTCTTAATATAAGCTTTCCGAAAGCAGGTTTCACCTTTTGTATTGGTACTGTATTCCCAGCACCTAGAATAGCACCTAAAACATAACATTCAATGAACACTTTAAAAATAAACAGAACTCAGACTAGGTGGCTATAATAACAAAAACAATCAATTTTTAATGTATGACATACCATCATATTCTTTTTGAATAAACTTTTCCAAGCCAATTAAAATTTGCTCCCTGTTGTGTTGTTCAGAAAAGGGTGGTGATAACTCATCTAAGTTAAAAAAAAAAAAAGAAAAAGGAAAAAGGAAAAAGAAAAGTAAGGAAAATGGAATCTGAAAAGGTATTCAATTTTTTACCCTAAACTCTTTACTTAAAATTTCATTATTTGTTAACTTCTCTGACTTTAAAATCATAAATGTTACTGGGGAAGGAAGGGGCAGGGGGACAGCAGAAAAATAATATATTTATAGGTTTATGTATGTTTCACATGATCATTTTCCCTATGAAATGCCTACAAAATATATTTACCTCTAAAAATTCTTTAATATTGTTTTCTTCAGACATTCTGCTCTTTTCCCATATACATGCTTGTTTTTCCTACCTGTAAGTCTATACTCAATATTGTTATGTAAGGCACCTGACCCATTCAAACCTAAGTTCCCTCAAATGTCTGGTCAAGATTCATATCTTCCCTATAAGATGCTTCCAGACACAGCCTTCAACGACTTCTTAAGTGAATTTCCTTATTCCCTAAACCACTTGCAGTTTATAGTGACTAGTAACAATTTTATAGTTATTTCATTTAAATTCATATTATTTTTCCAAATAAGACCACATAGTCTTAAGAACAGTCTTTTTTCTATCTCCTCCTCTAGACTCATCCCCAAGAGTTAATACAGTAATAGGAACAAAGCAGTAATTTACAGTAATGACTTAAACTAATATTCAGCTTTTGAAAAACAAATGTAGCATCTGTGGTTGCAAGTTGAATACAGGCATACCTCATACCTCATTTTATTGCACTTCACTTTTTTGCTCCAGATACTGTGGTTTTCACAAATTGAAGTTTTGTGGCGACCCTGCACTGAGCAGGTCTATCAAGCACCTTTTCTCCACCAGCATTTGCTCACCTTATGTCTGTGTCACATTTTGGTAATTCTCACGCTATTTCAAACTTTTTCATTATTATTGTACTTGTTATGATGATCTGTGATCAGTGACCTTTGATGTTACTACTATAACTGTTTTGGGGTGTCACAAACTGTACCCAAATAAGATGACAAATTTAATCGATAAATGTTGTATGTGTTCTGAATGCTCCCTGACTGGCCATTCTCCCCATCTCTCTCCCTCTCCTCAGACCTCTCTATTCTGAGACACAAAAATATTGAAATTAGGCCAATTAATAACCTTACAATGGCCTCTAACTATTCAAGTAGAAAAAAAAAAATCACATGTCTCTCACTTTATAGCAAAAGCTAGAAATTATTAAGCTTAGTGAGGAAAGCATGTCAAAAGTCAAGACAGGCTGAAAGCTAGGCCTCTTGCACCAAACAGCCAAGCTGTGAATGCAAAGGAAAAGTTCTTAAAGGAAATTAAAAGTGCTACTTCAGTGAACACAGGAACGAGGGGCACCTGAGTGGCTCAGTCGGTTAAATGTCTACCTTAGGCTCAGGTCATAATCTCAGGGTCCTGAGATCAAGCCCGGCATTGGATTCCCTACTCAAGGGGGAGACTGCTTCTCCCTCTCCCTCTGCAGCTTCCCCTGCTTGTGCTCTCTCTCTCTCTCAAATAAATAAATAAAATCTTTAAGAAAAAAAAAAAAAAGAATGTGAAACAGCCTTATTGCTGATATGGAGAAAGTGTGAGTGGTCTCAATAGAAGCTCAAACCAGCCACAACACTTGCATAAGCCAAAGCCTAATTCAGAGCAAGGCCCTAACTTTCTTCAATTCTATGAAGGCTAAGAGAGGTGAGGACGCTGCAGAAGAAAAAGTCTGAAGCTAGCAGAAGTGGGCTCATGAGGTTTAAGGAAAGAAACCATTTGCATAACATAAAACTGCAATGTGAAGCAGCAAGTGACCCAGTAGATCACTAGCTGAGATAATTAATGAAGGTGGCCACACTAAACAACAGATTTTCAATGTAGACAAAACAGCCTTACATTGGAAGATACCATCTAGGACTTTTATAGCTAGACAGGAAAAATCAATGCCTGTCTTCAAAGCTTCAAAGAACAGGCTGACCCTCTTGTTAGGGGCTAATGTAGCTGGAGTCTTTAAGCTGAAACCAATGCTCATTTACCAATCCGAAAATCCTAGAACCATTAGGAATTATACTTAATCTACTATGCCTGTGTTTTATAAATGAACAAAGCCTGGTTGACAGCACAACTGTGTGCAACATGGTTTACTGAATATTTTAAGACCACTGCTGAGACCTATTGCAGAAAAAAAGATTCAACATTACTGTTCACTAACATTGCACTTGGGCACCCAAGAGCTCTGGCAGAGATCTACATTAAGATTAAGGTTGTTTTCATGCCTGCTAACCCAACATCCATTTATTCCACAGCCCATGGATCAAGGAGTCATTTTGACTTTCATGTCCTATTAAGAAATACATTTTGTAAGGTTATAGCTGCCTCTTATGGATCTGTGCAAAGGAAACTGAAAATCTTTTGGAAAAGGAGTCACCATTCTAGATGCCATTAAGAACATCTGTGATTCATGGGAAGAAGTCAAAATAGCAACATAAACAGGAGGAGTTTAGAAGAAGTCGATTCCAACCCTCACGGATGACTCTGAGGGGTTCAAGACTTCAATGGAGGAAGTAACTACAGATGTGGTGCAGACAGCAAGAGAACCAGAATAAAAAATGGAGCCTGAAGATGTGACTGAATTACCGTAATCTCATGATATAACTTGAACGGATGAGGGGCTGCTTTTAATGAATGATCACAGAAAGTGGTTTCTTGAGATAAACTCTACTCCTGAAGATACCATGAAGATTGTTGAAATGACAACAAAGGATTTAGAATATTACATAAACTTAGTTGATAAAGTTGATAAACATAGTTGATAAAACTGACTCCAATTTTGTTCTTTTGTTTTTTTGGGTTTTTTTAAGATTTTATTTATTTGACAGAGAGAGACACAGTGAGAGAGGGAACACAAGCAGGGGGAGTGGGAAAGGGAGAAGCAGGCTTCCCACGGAGCAGGGAGCCCGATGTGGGGCTCAATCCCAGGACCCTGGGATCATGATCTGAGCCGAAGGCAGACGCTTAATGACTGAGCCACCCAGGCACCCCAAAACTGACTCTAATTTTCAAAGAAGTTTTACTGCGGATAAAATAGCTATCTAACAGCATCACATGCTACAGAAATCATACATGACAGGAAGAGTCAATCAATGTGGCAAACGTCATTGTTATCTTAAGAAATTGCCAGAGCCACCCCGATCAGTCAGCAGTCATCAATACTGAGGAAAGACCCTCTACAAGCAAAAAGATTACAATTCACTAAAAGCTCAGATGATGGTTAACATTTTTTAGCAATAAGGTATTTTTTAATTAAGGTATATTGTTTTTCTTTAGATATAATACTACTGCACACTTAATAGATGTCAGTATAGTGTAAACATAACTTTTATATGCACTGGGAAACAAAAAAATTCATCTGACTCCCTTTATTGCAACACTCACTTTATTGTGGTGGTCTGGAACCCAACCCACAATATCTCCAAGGTACACCTGTAGCTGAATTACAGGTGATTTTTTATTATTATTATTAAAGAGGTGAAACTATTCTGTATCATACTATAATGGTAATACATAACAAAATGCACTTGTCAAAATTCACAGAACTGTGCACCACAAAGAGTCAACTTTACAGTATGCAAATTTTAAAAAATCATCTAGGAGGTTGGGGAATCTTAGGATGGAATGCAGGCTGTAACAAAAGAATCATGTGTAAGACATGTAAGACAACTTTACTCATGGGAGTGAGGGAAAAGGTAATAACCTAAATAACTATGAAAATGAGTGGAGTTTGTAAGACTAAGGGCAAAAGGAATACACATAAGTACTGTACTCTAATTGATAAAGTTATTTCCCACAGGGGTATTAGATAATAGTTCCGATAATGTTATACATGTGTACTTAAATGGGACAATTAAATAAATGGGTAGCAGATGATGAGAGCCAGGTTTCTCATTGTTGGGAGTGGGAAATTTACAGATAAGCAGAAAGAAGAGTCTTGAATGAGCCATATGGTAATACATTCAAGTTGGAGCCATCAGTACAAAGTCATGTTTAATTTAAGATGGTCACATATAGAAATTTTTACAGATATGAACATATAACTAAGTTAGTATATATACATAATTTTCTCGCTCAGAGAGGGCCTAAAAGCAACACCACCCAATAATAATAAGTACCCTAGCTTCCAGATCCTGGTTTCTAATACCATTCTCCAATAAAAGGAACCAGGGCTCTTCAGAGAAATTTCTAATTCTAGGACGGGGGTGGAAAATATACATGATGAGCCTGGAGCATCTTGTGGTGCCAGAAAGTAAGGAAGTGCTAAAAAAAAAAATGAACAAATAAACAAAAAAAACCCACACACTGATGGGGGTATATTAAAGAGTCAAAGGAACCAACTGAAAGAGTTCCCAATAGCCAAATCTGGAACAATATGAGCAACAAAGTAGTATTGGATCATAACCCAAAGTATAAAATATCCATGAGTTCATATAAATGAATGAATAAATAAAAACAAATGTAATGTATTATATCTTAATAAAGCTGCTGGGAGAGAAAATGTGCCACAATCCAGCTATTCGACTCCTAGGTATGACCCAAGAGAAATTAAAGCATATATCCATACCCAGACCCACATACAAATGTACAGAGCAAATTTATTTGTAACAACCAAAATTTGGAAACAAGTCAACAGGTGAATGGTAAACAAATTGTGGCACATCCATATAATGAAACACAGCTCAGCAATAAAAACGAATGAAACATTTACACACATCACAACATGGATGGATCTCAAAATAATTATGCTAAATGAAAGAAGCCAGAACCCCACCTCAGAAAAAAAGAGTACATTCTATATAATTCTATTTATATAGAACTCTAGAAAATGCAAACTAACTTATAGTGACTAAAAGCAATTAACTGGTTGCCTGGCAAGAGACTGGGATAGGGATAGGGAAGTCTAGGGGGGGAAGTATTACGATGGGGAACTAAATGTTATGACATCAGAAATTTTATTTTATCTGGAACCCAGAAAGTTATTTAAAAAAAATGTTTGCTGAGTGAAGGTTTACCCCAGGTACACCATAAATGTTGAATAAAGGTATGTAAGACTCTTCCCAAAATATTATAGCCTTATCTCCCTCTATTATCTTTCTTTTATTCTACCAAATCCAAGGCAATTCTTCTCCCAAAGAAATTATACACCCTATACTTTTGTGCATAATCTCCTAGATCTGAAAAAGCAGTTCAAGGTCCATCTCAAATGCCTCATCATTAATTCCAATTCCTCTGATCCACCCCAGTTAAAATTGTGTTTGCACTTCATTTTGTTTACCACTACTACAGCATATAATATATTCTGCTTCCAATTATGGAAAATTTCACACATATCATATACCCGTCTAGAGAAGAACTGTGCAAGAGCATTGCAATGATGAAAATGTTTTCTATCTGGACTGTCCAATTCAGCAGCCACATGTAACTACTCAGTACTTGAGATGTGTAAAAATGAGGAACTTAGTTTTTAATTTTATTTTAATTAAATTTAAATAATGGCTACCATATTAAACAGCACAGATCCAGAGTCTAAGCTCTTTAAAAGCAACACATAATATGGACCCTGTATTCCCGTTGGCATTTACCACAGTGCTGTGCATTTAGTAGGCATTTAGTGTCTGTTGTTGGGTCTCTAAACTATTAAAAAAAACCTCTACCAAAACAAGCTGTAAGCAAACTGTTTTCAAATAAGAAAACAAATATTTAAAACCTAGGAAAGAATCTACTCAGAATAGCTCTAGTAATAAAAGACTTACCAAAACATCTTTTACATACTAAATCAAGTATTTCCCGAAATCGATTTGTCATTGGTGGTAGAGGTTTTAGATCAATTTTCCTGAAGTCCTCTGGACAATCATTTTTTGAATGGCCATCTTTTTTGCAGATGCTGCATACTATCGTTGGTGGCTATACAAAGGTAAAAAAATAATCTAATAATCTAATAAACTATTGAGGGACTCATCATCACTTAGAAAGCAGGTCCAAAAAGACTCTTTTACGTATCAATTCTGATAACCTGTGCTTCCAGGAGGTTTAAAAAAAAAATAAAAAAGTATTAATTAAATACAGTGTTAAATGTAAAAACCATATTTTAAGTTAACCAATTAACTCTTCCTCCCCACTAAAATGATATTATCAAGATCAGATTTACCCAGAGATGTGCAATACAGGAAATCCTAGAAGATGCAATATGTATGGGTTAATGCAAACATTTCAGTCAACTCCCTAGATGAAATACGTGCATTAATTTAACCTACTGAGATCTTTAACAAAGTAGATTATAAAGATTATAAAGAAATTTCAAGTGGCACCTTTCATTTCACTCCAAACATCTTCTATCTTCATAGTCAATCAATTATAAAACCCTCACTTGGCTAGTTGGTTCAATTTATTACATTAACATGGTACTCAAGAAACCAACTGTAGGGCTGAACTCAAAAAATAACTTCACTTTATACAAGGAATAACTCTTATGCAATAGCCACAAAGTTAATTGCAAACCCTATACCACCATTTAAAATGTATTCCAATGGACGACCAGCCAGGTAGTTAAAACAGTAAAAATGTATCCCAACTAGCTGAAAAAAACATACGGTGAAGGAAGAGCATCATTCTTTTCTTTATTATAAAATGCCTAGATCCCAGAGAGCCTCTTCCTCCAGGATTAGCTTGAACATTTACCTAGCCATGAACTCTGATGTAAATTATATACAGAAACCTCTACTTGTGGGAATGCTGTGCTATGAGCTAATTAACAATACCACTGGAATTTTCATTAGCTTTTCAAAACTTTTTTTTAAATGACATATTTAAATTCTAGAAAAGGAATTTCTAGGGGGAACAAGTGCAGAAAACAAAAAATGTACACTGCAGTTATATAATTATGAGGCTTTTCTAAAAACCTGCCATTTAATTCATCCTTTCAACAGTCCATATGTCCTAAATACTGCAACCCCCCCCAAAAAAAAAAGGGCAATAGATGTATCCTTACAAAGAATGAAGAAACACAGATTACTAATTAGGTTAAAAATTTTAAAGCTTGTCAATAACTAATTATTGATAAAATAATAAAACTGGGTAACTTTCTAGGTTTTTAAAAAAATATTCTACTTGGTTTACACATGATCTATATAATCTTTTTTTTATCTTGGGTGCTGATATATCAATTATGTACACTGCATTTGAAGCAATGTGACTTAGTTAGAACTTTCTTTATTAACAAAGTAGTTACTGCTTATTTTCTGTTACTGGGGTATTTTATTTTCCATAATTTATCAAGTTAAAGTTTAGACTATACCACTTTAAAAGTAGAAAAGTTAAGACTCCATTAATTTATAAAGGATATGCCAATATCCAAAGAAAAGCTCAATGGCAGAGACAGAATCTGGATTCTTCATATTTTTGGTTCCTGATCTCAGTTTCTGCTCATCTATCTTTATTAAATTTATATTCACTCACCCCATGTCAAAAAAACAAACAAAACTTTAAAGTAGAATACTATTAGAATTTACAAACCTTGTATTCTTCTTTGTAAAAGAAAAAATAAACATAAAGTTTAAAATATTTGCTGCCTTTGCCAAACTGATTTTCATAAAATATATGATGAATCCTTTATATGAGAAAGTGAAATAAACCAACTAGTAATAGAGTGCTGAAACCTTTTGAGGTTTTATATACACTCTTTAAAGACAAGTACAGGAAAAAACGTAAAAAGAAAAAGTGAAAATATATACCAAAATATAAAAGTCTACCATCACAGAAGCTATTTTTACATTTCTGAATCTAAAAGCTCTAAATAGTCATTTAAAAAACCCATAAAATCTTAAAGATTGTTTACAAAATGTATCCTACCTTGCCAGAGGTTAAAATAAACTTATCAAACACATAATATAATTCCTGGGTGGGGTGGTTATCATCATCATTAAGGTCAGAAGCATCTTCTGTAGCTTTGCAGTTGCAAGAGGTAGCAGATGTGTCAGTGCTCACAATCTGATGTGAACTTTCTGTTTCTATATTTGACCTGCAGTCTGTACCAACAGATTCATCTGGGTCAGGGGATTTATAATCAATGCAATTACATTGGCTGAGTTTCTTTTTTAAACAAGTTTCTGAAGGTGCTAAATCATCTTGTTTCTTATTTGATTTTGGCTCTAATTCACTGTCTTCACTGGTAGAAAGACAGGAAGATTCCTGTTCGAGTTCAGCCAAATCTAGTTCATTTACCAACAAACTGTCATCTTCAGTAATACATCTCTGTGATGTACATTCCATTTCATCATATTTATCAGGCTGACCTCTTTCTGCATTTATTTTTTCTGTGCTTTCTCCAAGTAGAATGCAACAATTGGATGCCATATTGTCAGACTTCACTGGTTTCTTATTGCTTATTTTCCCCTTCTCTTTTTTCATAGAATCCACTGTAGATTTATTTCCACCCTTCCTCTGAGGACAGGCAAAATACCGATAAGCTGCCCTGAATCTCTCCACAACATATTCATAAACAAGCTGGCTGTTTAAGCTCCGTGCAACATTCCTCTTGACTGAAAATGGATCTAGGAAAAAAGGAAATGGTCAATTGCTAAGTATCTACTAACAAATTACAATTCCAAGTTTACCCAAAAGATCTGAACTGCTATACTGTCAGTAGAGTACATTTTCCCAAAGCTTTCCTAACCTAAGGTCTAAGTGGGAATTCCTATAAACTGAGTAGGGGAACTACAATAGCAACATCTTTGTTTCTGTCATAAAATAAAAATGTTAAGGGGAAAAGAGAGAAAAGAATAATAATCAGGATAATTAATGAGAGGTTGGCCGAAGAAACCAACTCAGTAATTACAAAATTTCAATGATAAAATTGGTAGATAAAGGCATACCGTTATGCCTTCCTATACTGTCATTAGATGAATTTTTCAAACCTCTAGGACCCATTCATAATTTTCATCTCTTGTCACAATATTCTTAGGTACATACTCCTTGCAATTTAAGCAAATAAAATATAACTAAAACTCTCAAAACTTCAAGTTAAAAAATATGATTTTAACATTTAACTTCAGTGAAATCAGAAAATTTAAGGAGAAATAAAAAAGTAGGAAAAAAGAGATCTAAGAAAGTAAAAATCAAACTGAAATTTAAATTTTGGTCCAGTCTAAAGTGGGTATGCTGAAAAGGCTTATATCAACTACATCCTCGTTATTAAGAAAATATAAAAGACCTCGAAAATGCGTATTGAGTTTTTGGATTTTATAAGCCTTAAATACAAATACGCCCCAGGAAAAAGGAACAAATGGATGACATCCAAAAGACAATACACATTTTCTCCACTACTGAAGATCACTAAGTAAAAGGATTAACATGCAAGCTTCAGATTGTTAACGTTTGGGCATCTGTTAGTTTTTGCTGTTATCTAAGTCCACAGGCTGTTCTCTAAACCCAAAAGCTTTTCCTCTCCTTCTAGAAGAAGAAAAAAAAAAAGACAAGAAGACAAATTATGATAGCTACAAGCTTTAGAGCTCATTTATTTACTTTATGTAAGTGTACAAGATATAAGTACATGCTTGAGTGTATAAGAATATCTGTGGATCTAGAGAAGGCCAACAGAGGACAGGCAACAAAAGAATGTATTGTCTAAACAGACTAAAATGATGGACAGAAATTCAATTCCTTATCTATAAAAAGTGAGTGAAATGCTGCATGATTTAAATTTTCTAGAAACCATTCTATTAATTTGCATTCTAAAGATCTTAATAGTCTCAGGATTTGATGTAAAACTTTTTTGTCAGGCGCCTGGGTGGCTCAGTTCGTTAAGCGACTGCCTTCGGCTCAGGTCATGATCCTGGAGTCCCGGGATCAAGTCCCACATCGGGTTCCCTGCTCAGCAGGGAGTCTGCTTCTCCCTCTGCCCTCTTCCTTCTCGTGCTGTCTCTCATTCTCTCTCTCAAATAAATAAATAAAATCTTAAAAAAAAAAAACAAAACTTTTTTGTCAACATCAATTTTTTTTCTTTTTCTCAAATCAATCTTTTTTCTCTTTAGCTTAGCCACATTTAACAACTGAGGTACTCTTTTTTTAAATGTTTTTGAAGTATAGCTGACATACAATGTTACATTATAGTTTTAGGTGTACAACATAGTGATTCAACAACTCTGCAGTTATGCTATGCTCACCACAAGTGTAGCTACCATCTGTCACCATACAATGCTATTACAACACCACTGATTATATTCTCTATATATACTCTGGTGAGTTACACATTCCATAGAGATGAGGTACTTTAGAAAAGACAATGGAAAAACTGGATTTTCAAATTCTATTTTAACATAATTTTGTGACAGAAACTTACAGGAATACTCTAAGATTGTTTTGAATAGCTTTTCTGTTTTTCTATATTTTTGAAATTTTTCAAAAGAATTAAGAAATAAAAATAAAGGCATGTAATAAGCTAATAACCCTAACCAATATATTTATAGATTTGAAACTTTAAAATTAGTATTAATTCTATAAAACTATCATGGACTTGATAAAGAATTTACCTGACATATATAATGACAACCTAGTGGCATATATAGTGCTGCAAAGCCAAGGGATATAATTTATTAACACTGTATTAGAAACAAATGATGAGTGGCACACAAAAACATATTCTCCAAATGAAATATCATCACCTCACCTTCAATGGCTATTCGCCTTTTAGGCCAGTTTTTGTTTTCTCTTGTTAAAATATCTTGTATCCGTACACATATGACATATTCTTCCAAAGCAAAATCCAGTGTGTAAAATTTTAGCAGCTCTAACCACAACTGTCCCAGGGATACCTGATTTGGTGTTCCCAATGTTAAAGGAGACTGGAAAAGAAAAAATACTTTTAAGTTCCACAAAACTACAGAATCATTGAATTTTCAGTTTAAAAAGACCTTAGAGATTACCTTTACAAAAACTGAGGCATAAAGAAGTAACTTGCCAAGAAGCAGTTTGTGACACAGCTGGAAACACAGTCCTAGTTTACTGACTCCTAGAATTTTTTGTTCTTCCCACTAAACCAGTGATTCTCAACCTTGGCTGCACATCAGATCACATTGGGAGCATTAGAATACACTAATACCTGAGGCTCCATACCATTCCTACTCTCATACCTTTCCCAAGATTCGATTTAACTGACCTGGGCAATGGACCGGGCAATGGGATTTTTAAAACCCCCTAAGTGATTCTCATGTGCAGCCAAGGTTGCAACCCACTACACAACAATTACTACAGTTCCTTATTGTAGTAATTACTTTAAAAATCTAAGTAAATGCCCTGGGCTTTCAAAAGCTAATTCCTTCATTCAGCGAACATTTATTTAGAACCTACTATGTCCCTGGCACTGTGCTGGGGATATAAAAAAAATAATGAGCACACACGCTTAAACATAATGGTCACTATGCATCATTCACTCTTTTTAAGTGTTCCACATATAGTAACTATTAATTCTAACAACTCTATGAAGTAGATACTACAGGGCAAGGATTTGACTCAGGACCACCTGGCTACTGAATTTATGTTGCTAATCACTGTACCTACCATACTGCCACTCAAATAAGCTAAGGTCCTACCTTCACATAGTATTAGGAGAGGAAGAAACAATTTAACAATTACAGTAAACACTATGTGCTAAAATGGGCCTCTAAATTAGGAGGGTTTTAACAGAAGAGGTAATACCTGTATTCTAAAGGAATTAGCTAGATAAAGACTGGCTAAAAGTGACCACTAAGATAAAGACATGAAACAGTCATCCACTCATTCAATTCTACAACTATTTATTGAGTGCCTACTATGTGCCAGGCACTTAGGATATATCCGTGAAAAAAACCTCAAGATCTTGCCTTAGTGGATCTTACTTTCCAGGGGAAGAAAATAACAAAAAACAAGTAAATTACATAGCAAGTTAGAAAAAGCAAAGTACTGTGGAAATAAAAAAAATTTTTTGAGTAGAAGAATGGGAGTATGGGAGTATGACATGGTTTCATTGTTAAATAGCGTGGTCAGGATAGGTCTTGTTAAAAAGGTATGATTTGAAGAAGAGGGAAAAGTGTTCTAGGAATAGGAACAGATAGAGCAAACACAATAAATAGAAGTGTGACTAGCTTTAAAAAGAAAATCAAGAAAGCTAGTGTAGTAGAGAAAGGGTAAGAAGAGAAGAGAAAAACAAAGGGCTAGTCAGTAAGAACTCCTCAGCTTTTATTCTAAATTAAATGAGGAGCAACTGAAGCATTCTGAGTGTGGAGAAGAGGAAGGACATGATATGACTTAAGTTTTTGAAGAACCATTTTGATTGTTGTGCTGAGAACAGACTATAGTTGACTCTTGAACAACATAGGGGTTAGGGACACACCAACCCCTATGAGGTCAAAATCTGCATATAACTTTTGACTCCCTCAAAACTTAACCACTAACAGCATGCTGTTGACCAAAAGGCTTACTGATAACATAGTCTACTAATACATATTTTATATATTTATTATGTACTGTATTCTCACAATAAAGTAAGCTAGAGAAAAGAAAATGTTAAGAAAATTATAAGAGAAAAATATTTACAGTAATATGCTATATTGAAAAAAAATTCACGTAAGTGGACCTGCACAGTCCATGTTATTCAAGGGTCAACTGTATAAAGAAAAATGGTAGATATAGGGAAACTCATTATGAGGCTATGGTAGTAATCCAAGCCAAAGATGATGGTGGCTAGCTCGGACCTGCATGTTAACGGTGCAGGTGGTGAGAAGTGGTCAAATATATTTTGAAATAGAAATGACAGGATTTCCTGACAGATTTGATACAGGGTATAAAAGAGGGAAGTAAAGGATGATTCCAAGGCTTCTGACTGAGCAACTGAAAGGATGAAGTGCCATCAACTTAGATGTGAACACTGCCATGTGGAGAAAGAGGAAGACCAGAAGTCCAGATTTAGCCATGTTAAGTTTAAGATCTCTATTAGACATCTAAGTAGAGACATTAAATAGGCAGCTGGATACAACTATAGAATTCAGGAGTGTGGTATGGCCGAAGATTTAAATTTGGGAGTATCATACAGATGGTATGTAAAACCCATACAACTGGATAAGATCACCAAGGGAGTGTAGATACAGAAGAAAGGGGAGGGGATCAGCGATTGAGCTCTGGAGCATGCCAACATTAAGAGACTAAAGAGGAAAGGAGAAACCAGGGAAGGAGATTGAGAAGAAATAATCAGCCATGGGTGTGCTATCCTGAAAGTCAAGTTAAGAAATTTTTCAGAGAAGAAAATAATCCACTGGCAAATATTGCTGATACATCAAAAATATAAAAATTGAAAAGTGACAATTGGATTTAGCAATATGGAAGATAATGATATTGATGTACAAGTTTTGGTAGGTTGATGAGGGTCAAAGCCTGACTACACTGAGTTAAGAGGAAACAGGTATCAGAAATAGTGAATATGGACAATTCTTTCAAGAAGTTTTATTGCAAAAGGATGCAAAGGAATAGCTGGGAAGGGAAATGATGTCCATATTTTTATTTAAAATGGGAGAAATAAAAGCATGTTTGCTTACTGAATGAAAAATTGCTAACTTAGGAAGGATAAAGAAGAATTGCTGGAGCAGTGTTCTAGAATAAACAAGAAGGGATGGGAGTAAATACACAAGTGGAGAAAATTAGATAGCAACATGGGAAGTTCCTTTACAAAAGCAGGCATGAAGGCAGACTATGTGAGTGCAGACAGCAGCAGGTGGTGGTAGAAGTTCTCTTTTGACTTCTTCAGTTTTCTCAGTGAAGTAATAAGCAAAATCATTAGCTGAGTATTGGTGGTTTGAGAGGAGAGGAGAAAGAAGTCTAGGAAAGTGGGAGAGTTAAAGGGACTAAGAACAACTGTTCAGGGAACTACATATAATTCAATATAGCTAGAGCAATCACTTCAGTAATGCTTTCATTTCTATAATAATATATCTGTCTATTTCAGAAGACTACATACTTCTGGAGTACACAATCCATGAATATTCATCTTTGGTCCCCTAGCCCTCAAAATAATGTCTGGCACATAGCAGGTCCTTAATAAAAGAATGTTGAATGATTAAATAAGCAAGCCACCCCCTAATGGAGGAAAGAGCCTTTATTTTTCCACCAATCTGGCAACATAATTTCCATATGTTAAAGTTTTGATCACAGCCCAACTCCTGAAGGAAATTTTCCTTGTCTAAATGAAAAAGATACAAAGAATTACCATGACATGATTCAAACAATATACATTTTCCAAAAGGAGGTATAAATCCATTAGGGAATCATAAGCACTGAAAAACTAAACCAGATCAACCCCTCACTTCACAGATGAGGAAAATGAGGCCAAGAGGCTTATGCAAAGTCAGTCAATCTACTATTAAAGAGCTTCAATCGAAGGCATCACAAATTCTACAGATAGAAAAGCCAAAAACAAAAACAAAAAAAAGCTTACTTTGCCATGTTTTTCCTTCATGGCATTACTTTGGTTGTCTGTTTCTGTCTTCTTGGTATCATCTTTTGGTTGGTCTGCCTTAGCTTTGTTTTCCTCAGCAATTGAGTTTTTCTCAGTTGCACTACTTGAATTATATTCCCACTTCACAAACTTCTCTTCTACTATGCCCTTCAGCTGAAAGTCATCCATTCTTTTTGGGTCAAAGCCTTCAATCTATATAAAAAGGCATTCCAAATTGGTAGTGGAAAAATTATTAAAAAAAAAAACAAAAACAAAAAGGTGGACAAACAAACAAACCAGAATTCCAGCTTAAAATGTTTGAACAGAGCACTCTGTAAGAGCAAACTACATATATACATGCACATATGTCACAAATTCGTGCTTACCCAACTTCCAAGTAAGCAAGGAAGAAGAGGGGGTTTTCTTTGTTGTAGAAAAAACATCACCATTAAAGCAAAACAGTAAGAAGGGATTCCACCATCAGTTTGGGAGTCAATATAGCATAACTGCAAAACAAAGGGGGAGAAATTACTGCCATCAGCTTTAATTTTCTTTGTTCCCCTCATAATATAGATTTTTTTTTCCTACTATGATCATTGTAAAACGTTTAAACAACGAAAATTATAAGGAATGACCTGAAATCTCACCACCCTGAAATAACTATTAACACATTGGTGACAATCTTTCCATTCATTTCTTTATTGCATATAAAGTCATATATATATTTTAGTTAAATGGAACATCATACATAGTGCTTTTACTCTGTACACATTTTTAAAATATTATTTTCTTACCTTGCTTCTTCTACTGCCTCAATGTTAACAATCGTCTATAAACTTTCATGCCTTTTTCTATACTCTAATAACCATATACAAATGTATTCCTATATATTTCTATTTTCTGTATAAATGCAGGAAGGATTTTGTTTTATGTCATTCTCTTACCAAAATTGTGTATTATACACATCTGTGTATTATTCTTCTCCCTTAACAATATACTAACAAAGTTCCTCTAAGTCAATTAGTACAGATCTAACATATTTATTTATTTTCCTAACATTCTTTTAAATGCTTAAATTATAGTCTATGATCTGGATGGCTACTAGTAATCTCCCTACCCAAGGACATTCACATTCTGTTCCCAATTTTTGCCACTTTAAGCAATGCTGTTTCATCTTTATATATATTTCCTAATTACTGGTGCTTATTTATATGAACTATTTTCCCAAGATGTGTTTGCTGGATTTAAAAATGTGTGATAGAGGGGTGCCTGAGTGGCACAATCAGTTAAGCATCCATCTCTTGGTTCCAGCTCAGGTCGAGGTCTAAGGGTCATGGGATCAAGTCCCATGTTGGGGTCTGTGCTTAGCGCTGAGTCTGCTTGGGTTTCTCTCTCCCTCTCTGCTTCCTCCACCCCCACGCTCGCTTGCACTCTAATAAATAAATCTTTAAAAATAAGTAAATAAATAAAAAAATATGTGATATATTTGAATTCTAATAAGATTTTCCAAAATCACTAAAAAATTCCTCTTTTCACCAGTAACATGAGTGTACACATAACACTTTCCAACATTAAGTATTACCACTTAAAAAAAATGCCAATGGAAGGTGCTGGGTGGCTCAGTTGGTTAAGCGACTGCCTTTGGCTCACGTCATGATCCCAGGGTCCTATGATTGGCCCGCATCGGGGTCCCTGCTCACATCAGGTTCCCTGTGGGGAGCCTGCTTCTCCCTCTCCCTCTGCCACTCCCCCTGACTGTGTTCTCCTGCTCTGTCAAATAAATAAATTTTAAAAATCTTAAAAAAAAAAAAAAATGCCAATGGGGTGTGTGAGATATAATTATCTAATAATTATTCAATTTGAATTTCCTCAGTGTTAAGAGATTACACAATTTTCATGTTTACTAACCATTCAGACTTGCTCTTTGCTGAACTGCCTATTGAATCTTTTGCCAATTTTTCTATTTGTATACATTGCATATCAATTTACATTACAGTTAATAATCCTTTAAATCTGATACATGCACTAGAACAATGGTATTTTTCCCAACCTGTTTTTATTTTGACCGTTATCATATAAAATACATTAATGTATATATAGTTAAATATGCTTTTGCTATATAGCTTCTAGGTTTCCTATCATGGTAAAAAAGTTTCCCCAAACCACAGTACAGATACATACTCTTAAACTTTCTCCTAAAATCTTGATTTTTCATTTAAGTAGAATTTATTTTTGCATTTAGTGTCCTAAGGATCCAACATTATTTTCTTCAAGAAATATACAGTTGTTCACTGAACTCTACCTATGAAACTAATAATACACTACATGTTAATTAATTGAATTTAAAAAACACAAAATTAAATTTTAAAAAAATACAGTGAAAAAAATAAAATAAAAAATAAAAAATATACAGTTGTGACAGCACCACTTATCAAGTCATTGTTTTATCACTGAAATGAAGTATTTTATTTTTTTCATATATTAAAATTTCATTTACACTAGGATCTACTTCTGGGCCTCCTATTCTGTTCCACAAATCTATTTGTCTATTCCTATGCCAAAGGCATATACTTGAGTAAGCAGTTTTATAGTGGTAAAGTAGGTCCCCTTCATTAGTGTTCTCCTTCTGAATTCTTTTGGCTATTCTTAAACATTCTTCCATACTAATTTTAAGACCATTTTATCAAATTTTTAAAAACTCTTGGTAATTCTAATTGAAATTACTGTACATCTGAAAATTAAATTAAGATGATTTTACATTTTAGGGGTACTATCTCCTTATCTAAGAACTTTGTATCTTTGCATTTTCCAAAAATTCAGTTCTCATCAATTACTCACTTCCCCTAAACTCTCATAACCAAAACCTTTACAAGTCTTACCTCCAAAACTTATCCCAAATCTGTCTACTATGCTTTATATCCATTCTAACCTAGCACAGACCATTATCACCTCTGGCTGATCTACTACAGCAGCCTGATTAATGGGCTCCCTCCTTGTATTCTTTATCCCAGAAAGATCTTTTCAAAGTATAAATCACATCAAGCCATATACCACTTTTAAAACTGCTTTCTCACTGCAATTAAAATCCAAATTCCCAGGATGCCTGGGTGGCTCAGTTGGTTTAGCGGCTGCCTTCAGCTCAGGTCATGATCCCAGGGTACTGGGATTGAGTCCCGCATCGGGCTCCTTGCTCAGCGGGGGAGTCTGCCTCTCCCTCTGCTCCTCCCCCTCTGCTCAAGCTCCCTCTCTCTCTCGGACAAATAAATAAAATCTTGAAAAAAAAAAAAAAAATCCAAATGCCTTACCACAGAAACATTCACTCTCACTTCATTCCAGCCACTCCTGCCTTCCTTTCTGTTCCTCACAAGCTCTTTCGTACCTTAGAAGCTTTGTACTACCTATTTGTTGGATGCTATTCCCTGAGACTTTCAAGTAGCTGGTTGCTGCTGGTCTGAGTTTAAATACCAATTCCTCAAAGAGACCTTCCCTAACCATCTGGTGTAATGTCACCCTCTTATCACATCATCTCATTTTTATAGCTAAAATCTATCAGATACTGTGTTACTTATATATTTATTTACTGGCTGATTCTTCCACAAGTATGCAAGCTTTGTGACAGTAAGACTCCGTATGTCTTGTTAGATATTTCAAGCACCTAGAACAGTGTCTGGGACATAGGAAGCATTTAACAAATGTTTGCTGAATAAACGAATTTGTTCAGATTTCATTTTTACCTTTCAATAATATAAGATTCTCTACCTTTATTAAATTTATTCCTTAATATTTTATAATTTGTGTCACTAAGGAATATTTTTCCATTTCCACTCTACCAGGTTATTTCCATGACAAAGAAAACCTACTGATTATTTTATGTTTATATTGTAATTTGTCATCTTACAAATTTTTTTTAACAAATTCTCTTATTAATCCCAACAGTTTTCTTACTAAAGTTGTATAGATATACAATCATATCTTCAAAGAAATTTTATTATTTCTTCAATATTTACATTATTTCATTTTCTTATTGCATGTTTAAATCTCCCAAAACAATGTACGACATTACTGGTGAACACCTCTGTAATACTCCTAATTCTAAACATATTGCTTGAGTAATTCACTGTTTAGAATGATGTTTGTTATTTTTTTTTAGTAAAAAGTCTTCATCAATTTCCTTTACTAGTTTAAGAGGGTTTTTTAAATGAAAAACATGCCTTTTTCAGCATCCATGTTTTTTCTGCTTCAAATTGTTAATATAATAAATTATGTTAACAGATTTCATGAAATTAAACCATTCTTATACTCCTGAAATAAATCCTGTATAGTCATGGCATATAACCTTTTGATACACTAATATATTCCACTTGTTTATATTTCATTTAGACTTTTGCATTTACGTAAGTAAGACTGGTCTTATACTTAGATTTTTTTTTAATTTTTGTTTTTATTTTTTATTTAAATAATAAAGATAATAATCACTAAAGTTTAATGCCTTGGCAAATTTAAGAATACAGGGGCTCCTGGTTGGCTCAGTCAATAGAACATGACTCTTGTACTTGGGGTCATGAGTTCAAGCCCCACGTTGGGCATACACCTTACTTGAAAAAAAAAAAAAAAAGAATACAATTTAAAATGAAAGGATAAAAAACACTTATAAAAAGAGCTTCAATTTTTCCACTAGAATAAATTCCCTTTTATCCCTGGAGTCCTAGGACAGGAGGTATGCTGCCTAATGACTAAGTCAAGTTAATTAGAAACTTTTCGGTAACTGTAAGGAACTGTTCATGTATGCTGTTAACATTACTAGACATCTCACAGAGTAATAACATTTAGGGAGTTTACAAGAGAGCTCTTCAAACACAGGGAGGGATCTTATAGCCAAGCTGTGGAAACAACCTAAATGTCTATCAACAGATAAAAAAAAAGTCGGTATACACATACAATGGAATCTTATTCAGCCTTAAAAAAGAGAATTCTCCCGTTTGCAATAACATGGATGGACCTAGGGGACATTTTGCTAAGTGAAAGAAAAAAGACACAGTAAGACAAATGCTAATCTCCGTTATGTAGAATCTAAAATAGTCAAACTCATAGGAGCAGAGGTTAAAATGGTGGTTACCAGAAGCTGGGAGAGAGAAATGAAGAGATTTTGGTCAAGGGATACAAAATTTCAGTTATATAAAATGAGTAAGTTCTGGTGATCTAATGTATATAGCATGGTGACTATAGGTAACACTACTATACTATATACCTAAAATTTGCTAAGAAGGTACATCCCAAGTGTTCTCACCACACACACAATAAAGGTAACTACGTGAGGTAACAGGTTGGTAATCACTTCACAATTAATACATATATCAAATTATCAAGTTGTACATTGTATTTTTTTTTTTTTTTAAGATTTTATTTGTCAGAGGGCGACTGGGTGGCTCAGTCGTTAAGCGTCTGCCTTTGGCTCAGGTCATGATCCCAGGGTCCTGGGATTGAATCCTGCATCGGGCTCCCTGCTCAGTGGGGAGCCTGCTTCTCCCACTCCCACTCCCCCTGCCTGTGTTCCCTCTCTCACTGTGTCTCTCTCTGTCAAGTAAATAAATAAAATCTTTAAAAAAAAAAAAAAGATTTTATTTGTCAGAGAAAGAGCACAAGCAGGGCGAGTGGCAGGCAGAGAGAGAAGCAGGCTCCCCACTGAGCAAGGAGCCCTATGCAGGACTCGATCCCAAGACCCTGGGGATCATGGATGAGCCAAAGGCAGATGCTTAACCAACTGAGCCACCCAGGCATCCCAAGTTGTATTTATACATAGAATAAAAAATAAAAATTTAAAAACCCAGGGAGCTCTTTTTTACTTGTAGATTATTTTTTTTATTACCTGTCAGTTGGTCCTCAGTACCTTTTTAATTTAAGTATAATTGACATACAATGTTACATTAGTTTCAGGTATACAACATAATGATTCAACAACTCTGTATGTCATGCTATGCTCACAAGTATATCTACCATCTGTTACCACCAATACTATTTTTTAAGATTTTATTTATTTATTTGAGAGAGAGAGAATGAGATAGAGAGAGCATGAGAGGGGGGAGGGTCAGAGGGAGAAGCAGACTCCCTGCTGAGCAGGGAGCCCGATGTGGGACTCAATCCCAGGACTCCAAGATCATAACCTGAGTTGAAGGCAGTCGCTTAACCAACTGAGCCACCCAGGCGCCCCACCAATGCTATCATAATACCACTGACTATATTCCTTATGCTATACCTTTCAGTCATGAAACTTATTCATTCCATACCAGAAACCTGTATCTCCCATTCCTCTTCACCCATTTTCTGCCCATCATCCTACCCTCCTCTCCTCTGGCAACCACCAGTTTGTTCTCTGCTATTTTGTTTTTTAGATTCCACGTAAGTGAAATCATATTGTGTTTGTCTTTCTCTAACTTATTTCACTTAGCATAATACCCTCTATGTCCACCCATGTTGTTGCAAATAGCAAGATTTATATATACACACACACACAAACACACACACACACCTTCTTTATACATGCATTTATCAATAGACACTTGGGTCACTTGCATATCTTGGCTATTATAAATAATGTTGCATAAACATAGGGATGCATACATCTTTTCAAATTAGTGTTTTCTTTTTCTCTGGGTAAATACCCAGTAGTGGAATCACTGAATCGAATGTTATTTCTAATGTTAATTTTCTGAGGAACCTCCATACAATTTTCCACAGTGGCTGCACCAATTTACATTCCTACTAATAAGAGGGTCCCTTTTACTCCACATCCTCGCCAACACCTGTTATTTCTTATCTTTTTGGTAATAGCCATTCTGACTCGGTGTAAGGTGCTATCTCATTGTGGTTATTTTTTTAATTTTTTTTAATATTTTATTTATTTATTTGAGAGAGAGAGAGAGAGAGACAGCAAGAGAGGGAACACAAGCAGGGGGAATGGGAGAGGAAGAAGCAGGCTTCCCGCTGAGCAGGGAGCCTGATGCGGGGCTCAATCCCAGGACGCTGAGATCATGACCTGAGCTGAAGGCAGACGCTTAACCATCTGAGCCACCCAGGCACCCTGAGCACTCTTTTCTAAGAGCCACTTTAGGAAAGAAAGTTTATAGACCACATTTTTTTTTCCCAAGTGAAAATAACTTATTTGGGGGCGCCTGGGTAGCTCAATGGGCTGAGCCACATTGGGCTCCCAGCTCAGCGGGGGGCCTGCTTCTCCCTCTGACCCTCTCCCCTCTCATGCTGTTTCTCACTCTTTAAAAAAAAAAAAAGAACTTATTTGAATATCATTTACATTCTTCTAACACAGTCTACTTACTTGAATTAAAAAATATGAGAAAACTGACACTATTTTATGATTACTAGAAAATTAGGGCATAATTAAGAAATACCATCCAAGGGGCAACTGTTTATTCTTTCATCCATTATGAAACCAATAACCTTCCCAGAGTTGATACACTGAGTTTCCTGAATGACAGCTGTATTTCATATACCAGTCTCATCTCACACTCTGAGAAACTTTGAGTTTTTGCACCAGTTCTTTTTTTTTTTTTTAAGATTTTATTTATTTATTTGAGAGAGAGAGTGAGAGAGAGAGAGAGCACAAGAGGGAGGAGCGGGAGAGGGAGTAGCAGACTCCCTGCTGAGCAGGGAGCCCGATGCGGGACTCAATCCCGGGACTCCAGGATCACGACCTGAGCCGAAGGCAGGCGCTTAACTGACTGAGCCACCCAGGCACCCTGCACCAGTTCTTATTCCTGTTGACTTACTGTTGTTTAAATAGTCTCAGTTGCCAATTAAAAAAAGTGTCTAGCATTTTAGAGTTCAAAGTACATTCTCATGCAGTATCTCATATCACCTTTGACATAATCTCTCCAGATGGAAAAACTAAGGCTCAAGTGAAATGTCTTGCTCAAAAATCACATAAATACTTATAAAAACTAGAGTTGGAATTGGTTTATTCCATCTCACAGCACTAAATTTCTATAGTATGCTAGGCACAAGGGATAATGAAATAAACAAGGAGAGGTACTCACTCTCCCTCAGTCTGGTTCAGTGCTCCCAGTCACTTCCAAGGGTTAAAAATCCCCTTTCTGAAGAAACTGGGCCATGCATGTATTCAATAAATACTTATTAAATGCATACTAAGTGCTGGCATAGTTAAATAAGCAGCACTGGGACCATCGGTGAATAAATAAAACAGAGTTTTCCTCACTAAGTTCACAATTTTCATGGAAGAAAATTAAGAAAAATAAATATATGTATGTCAAATGCTATGAAAAAAATAAAGCAGGGTAAAAGCAGGGAGAATGATGAAGGCAATGTTATTTTATATAAGGTGATTAAGGGAACTCTGACAAGGTGAAATTTGAGCACAAACTTGAAGGAAGTAAAAAAGTGACCATGCTGGAAATGTGGGATAAGAACATTCTAGATGAAGGGAACAGCAAACGCAAAGGCCTTGAGTTGAAACAGCACCAACCTTAGGATTTCTGACTGTTATTTACTTTTCAAGCTGTTCCTTACTCAACCAACCAGGTTGGGTCTGCCCCAAACCCTGAGTTCAATCCTCTTATCAGAGTCCAAACAAAAAATTCCAAAAAGAATTCTCTAGCAGTTTTTGCTCTCATTTATCATTCCACCACTATCCCCTTAATCCATCTTCTTTGTACAAGACTGAAAATTTGCTCATCACTAATATAACAAGACATGAATACTACACTAATTAAGAACATACACAGAAAAGCTATACTCTCTCTAGTCATTTGGACTGATAACGGTAATTACTTTATTACTCCTCCTTACCTCCATACCAAAGAAATGACTATAAAGGGAACCATAGCCTTTAATAATTAATTCTAATTTAGGAAACAACTGATTCTCAGCAGTTACCCAGTCAGAAAGTGCTGTAGGTTATCAATAATTTAAAGGAAAGAGAATAATGTTTTAAGGCAGAGATGGGAAAAAAAGATGCTAACAAAAAAACCTTGTAAACCTATGCATTAACTTATATCTTATAATTTTAACTCACATTAAGAGTGAAAACTTGAGCCTCATTTACTATGTGAAAGAGAACATTTCTGTACTACATAAAAGGAGAATAACAAATCAATTACTCTATGTCTGTGAGACTGTTTTATTTTCACGTCCATAATCAGAACCTGCCACATCACTTTCCATCTAGCACGGATAACCACTTTATCCCCAATATTAAGATTTATGTTACATGTTAGTGCAGGAAAAAGCCTGAGTTACTTCAAGACAGATACTTTTTTCTTCTGCTTCACTTACCTTAGCCCAGTAGCGAAAGGCTAACACCAAGGGAGTAAAGACAGGTTCCAACTTGCCAAGAGCAGCAAGTAAATCAGTAGTGAGGCATGCCATATCATTTCCTGCACTCACTCTACAAAGCAAACCACTGTGAATGAGGAAGAAACAAATTTCACTGTATTAATACCTTAATAATACCTTAAAAACCAGAATATTCCAAATCCTATGGCTATACTTTCTAGTCACCATAATTTTTTTTGTTTTTATTATTATGTTCAATTAGCCAGCATTATAGTACATCATTAGTTTTTTATGTAGTGTTCAATGATGCATTAGTTGAGTACAGCACGCAGTGCTCATCACCACACGTGCCCTGCTTAATACCCATCACCTGGTTACCCCATCCCCCACCGTCTCCCTTCTGTAACCCTCAGTTTGGTTCTTGCAGTCCAGAGTCTCTCATGGTTTTCTTAGTCACCATATTTTAATACCTAGGAAGTCATAATAAAAATAAGAATTTCAATAAACTGAGAGCTAGCTGAAAACTAAAAATCATTTCCATCACTAAAGTTCCATATAAAGATGTTTTAAATATTCATTTGTACGTCACAAATTTCAACCTTATTTAGTATTTAAATTCATCAGAAATTACAAAATTAGTTTTACATCAAAGACATTGATTTTATCAATGTCAAGTGGTACAACATATCTTCCCAGTTTATTCTTTTTGCTTTGCACAGGATAAAAAGAAAAAAATGAAATGCTGAACTGACTAGCTATACTTCTTGACCCTAATTTTTCCTATCCAACTTTTCATGATTTTATTGCTACTTTCAGATTAGAAAGGATGTATGTATTAACCCGTAGGTAATGCTTATGTGTAAATGAAAATAGGAGCTACCTTAAAGGGGTGACAGAATTATAGCAGAGATATTTTGGTGGCAGGGAGAAGAATGTATCTGAGGTTCCACAAACAGGCAATTTGACACAATGTGGTTACAAAACAAAAAAACAAAAAACACTAGAAGTTAGAAGTCAGAATACTTCCATTCCCATTTTACTCTAAATGATGTGAATTTGGTCAAATCATTTAATTTCTCCAGGTCTCAATTTTCTAATTAGAAAACAACAAAGTTGAATTAGATCTCCATAGATCCTTATAACTTTGAATAAGAAAATACAGTACTCTTAAAATTTAAGATATATAGGTTACTTTTCAATAAAAGAACCTTTAATTATTTCTGTATTGCTTCCATGTCTCCCACATTGATCTCAAATAGGATTATTTCAGTTTCCTTTTTCACAGGCACATTGCTGAGTCCTATAGACATCTGACTAGAAAGGCAAGATTAGTCTTCAGTGACTCTTTTTCAGTGAACTAAAAACTAGATTCTAAAAAACTGTGAGCTCCTTGAGAAGAATGGCTATTTCTTATTTATGTTTGTATCCCTACAGCAAAGTAGTACCTAACATACAGTAAATGTTCAATACTGTTGGGTGAATGAACTTGAGGAAAAAAATGAAAAGTTTTGCCTTACTGTGTTTTGTTTTTAACTGGTAATTCTATTTCTTGTTCACATACTTTTAGTAAGCTTTTATTTTTAATAACTAGAAATTAGCTTAGTTATATTAATCCAAAGAGAAATCTAAAACAAAATTTTCTGTCTTGGAAACGTTCACTGCATACTTGGTTATTGTTGTTATTTCAAAAAATATTTTCTATTCATTGTTACCAACCTTTTCCGATCTTTGCACACCACAACAGGAACTTTGGCGTGAAAATCAGATTCCACATCTATATATAATACTAATAAAGAAAAAAATAAATAAACCAAGTAAGATAATATCAACATCTCTCAAATATTTACTCTAGGATAAAGATTAAGCAATAGTATCCTTCTAAAAATCACTCGCATTGCTTCTGTGATAACACACACTTCTCATTATGAGCATCAACCCAACAGAATCTCTTACCTCTCTTGGTATCATTTGCTGTATATCACAAACCACAGGCATAGTCCAAAATATTGTCCAAAAATTATAATCACCTTAAGAAAGGACTTAACATCTCTAAAAGTTTGAATATTTCCTAATAAGTATATAATCTAGTCAGTTATTAAACCTTCAAAAAAATATGGCAAACAACAAACACCACTTACTTCTATTTCCGAAGAAGTCATGAAATGAGAACCTACAATTCTCTGACAATTTAATTCTTTTAAATCATCCATGCAAGTAAAAGGCTAACTCTGCTGGCCCCATTTCCTATTAATATATGAAGAGTCTGCCAAATCAAAGCTCTTAAGGAAGAAGATTTGGTAAAGCACACTTCCACTCTGAAGTCTTTCTCTGCATCTCCCAGGTAGGCCCCATGTCATAAATGTTTAGTCTAATGAAATGTTTTAATACTATTTCATTTGAGGTTTAAAGAATATCTCTTAGTAGTACTTGTTGGAATTATTAATTTATTAAAAAATCATGTGCTGGAAATCTATATGCCAGGAATTGCATTATGTGTGGTAGATATGACAATGAATAAGACACAAAGAGCTCAATTATGGGTTTGGAATAAAAATATAGAAACAAATCAATCCTGTAGATGACAAGATAGAAGTCTTGAGTACAATGAAGGCATAGAGGTGGCTGAATAGTATTCCATTGTGTGTGTGTGTGTGTGTATATGTACACACACACACACATATATATATACAACTTCTTTATCCATTCATCTGTCGATGGACATCTTAAGGAGAGCACATGATGTAATGAGCACTGGGTATGATATGAGACTGATGAATCACTGAACTCTACCTCTGAAACTAAAAATACACCGTATGTTAATTAATTGAATTTAAATTAAAAAATAAACTAAAAAAAATTTTTTTAAAAGGTGCTAATAATTTTTTAATCAAAATGTATTTTGTAGGGTGCCTGGGTGGCTCAGTTGGTTAAGCGACTGCCTTTGGCTCAGGTCATGATCCTGGAGTCCCTGGATGGAGTCCCTGGATGGAGTCCCGCATCGGGCTCCCTGCTCGGCAGGGAGTCTGCTTCTCCCTCTGACCCTACCCCCTCTCATGTGCTTGCTCTCTCTCATTCTCTCTCTCTCAAATAAATAAATAAAATCTTTAAAAAAAAAAAGTATTTTGTAAGCCTATGTTATGTGACTTAAGATGATCTAGTCATATATTTAAAATACATTTGCAGGATGCCTGGGTGGGTCAGTCAGTTAAACATCTGCCTTCGGCTCAGGTCATGATCCCAAAGTCCTGGGATCCAGTCCCGCATCCAGCTCCTTGCTCAGCAGGGAGCCTGTTTCTCCCTCTGCCTGCCACTCCCCGTTTGTGCTCTCTCTCAATCTCTCTTTCTGACAAATAAATAAAATCTTTAAAAAATAAATACGTTTGCTAGGTTGATACTGTCCACTGATTCTAAAGAAGTAAAAGCTCTATGTCCATCTCTTATCTGTAATATGCTTTAGAGTTTTTTGCAATAAGAAACAAATATTAAGAAAAAAATGATACTAAAATCCCTTTACAAGATTAACTGGACCAAATTATTCCCCTAAAAACTAAGGAAAATGGCCAACAAGAAGCTGACAAATAATCAAAAACTGACATGGAAGAGAGAGAGAAAGGAAGTTTAGAACTGACTATGAAGTCAATGAAAGGGTAAGGCTAAGGTCAGTAAGCTATCTCTTCTAAGCCAAACTGCAAATATTTTTGCCAGGTACTTATGATTCAAAAAATTTAAGATGACAATAATAATAACAATCACACAGCAAGACTTTAATAAGAAGTTACTATAAACTAAGCACTTCTAAGCTGTGGCTTAGCCCATTTCATTCTCACAACAATCTTCTCATCAAAAGATAATAAAAAATATATATACATATATAGCCATTTTACAGATGAGAATACTGAAACATTAACACTTAAATAATTTGTCAAAGGATATAACCAATAAGTGGCAGAACTAAAATTTGAGCCCAGAAAATCTGGCTCCAGATCCTGAGCTCTTAAGCATTTACTTTTAACAAGAAAAGCAGTAAATAAAAAAACAAGAAAATGATATTCCATATTGTACTACATGACCTAGGGCCTGGTTTAACACAGCTGGAATTTTAAAAAATTTTATTTTAAGATGTATTTTTACCTATATGAATGTCCATTTTACACCCGAAGCAATCCAGACAAGGCAGATATGAAAAACATTTAATAGGTATGATTTGGTTGATGTAATATAAATGATTAGTTTAATATTAAGTGGAAAAAAAATAATGCATGCACACATTTTTCCCCACATCTCTCCCTAAATCATCCTTCATCAAACAACCTCCTAATGATTATAGGTTTTCTGCCTTTTACACAAGGAATGCCCATAATATTCAAAGCTAACATTTTTAAAATTACCCAAAAGGCAGTACTTTTTTACATATCAACTTTAAATATACTTTTGATCTAATGACATATAAATTTTGTAGCACACCTATTCAACAAATACATAAGTATATGTATTATAATGACCCAAATATGCTATGAGCGTTACTTTACCTTGGTTAGCCATATATAAACAACACATTGCATGTACCCTTAAAGAATTTTCTTTAGAAAGACAAATTAAAAAAGAAACTCACCACTTTTTTTTAAAATCCCAAGCACTTGTATCAGTAGATCTGGATGATTCATCTAAAAGATTTCAAATTAAATCAATATACTACTTTCATAGTTCAAGTTGCGTATTTTAGAGAGAATTCAATTTCATTAAATATTTAAATAAAATCATGCTCTGTATCTTAAAATAATGAAAAAAATAGTTTTACTTTTAACAAATCTTGTTCATAGAAGTAGAATCTAATAAATAATGTAGTGCTATTATTCCAGTAATATTCCTAGAATTAATAAATTCTCAGTATGAGAAAAGATTCTGGAATTTCACAGCAAAACAAATGGGAAAAAAATCAGTTTACCAAAAAACTGTTAAAGAGAAGTTGTTGAGATAGGAAATTTAAGAGGTACTGATACTGGCAGTATGGTCAAAAAGCTTAGATTAAATACTACTTTAACAAGCTTGTCAAAGCTTAGTTTAATATGTACTTCACTATTTTAAAGTATTTAATAATCATATGCTAATTGTAAGTAAATGATTATATCAAATGAGAAATAAAACATCAAACTTTCACCTAAATTGAACCGCTTTGAGCATTAAAATTATTTTAAAAAATCAATAATACATGTAAATCGATCATTTTAAATGTTTCATAGGTCAATAAATAAGTAATGTTAGCAATGTTAGTTACTACTTATTTAAAAAGTACCCACAATGTACCAGACACACTACCCAAAAATGCCTGGTATACAGCATCTCATGTAATATAAAGTTATTATCCCTGTTTTGGAAATTAAAAAACTGAGTCTCAGAAAGGTCAAGTAACTTCCTCGTTGCAGCCAAGATTTGAACACAGATGTATGATTTCAAAGCTCTTTTCACTTTCTATACTGCCTACTACAAGCAGTAACTATTCAACATAATCAAATATGTATAAGCATTTTCCTTTGTTTTTTACTGCATTCCTCTGCTTTCTTCTTCCTCTCCCTTATTTCTTTATTCCACCTATGTCTAACACCTAATAGTTTCCAAAAGCAACCTTTAATTACGATAGTAACACTCTACAAACCAGAGTTTTATAGTCCCCTACATCTTCTCTAAAAAGATAATTAAAAAAATACCAAGTACTAGTTAAGAATCACATAGAAAAAGGTTTTTCTAATTACTTACCCTGGGAGGAAATTTTATATCTATATTAACATCACTATTTTTCAGAGCAAACTTAGTCAGAGATGAGCCATACAACCTAAGTGAACACTCTGGAAATAAAGGAAAAAATATCAAAGCATGAAACAGAGTGCAAATAGGGGAAAATTAAAAAAACAATGGTAGAAAAATGCATATATTTTAATTGTGTCTTCCAATTCTAATTATAACATTTATAGAAGAATGACATCCTTTCTAACCTATCTAACAAAATAATAAAAATGTTTCTCAATTATGGGGTTCAGGGACAAAGGAAGAAATTACTTATAAAAGTCCAGTGTTTAAACAAAATTTTAGAATAGTTCATTTAGGAATGACTAGAAGTATGTTTAACATTTAATCTGTAACAGTAAAGAATGTACTAACCTAGGTACAGCTATTGTCATAAACTACATTTATTTATTTTTAGATATTTATATTTATGTAAGAGAGAGCACTAAAATGGTGAATGGATCACAGACATTCAATGCCAATGCTCTTTAAAAATACAAAGAGAAGCCTAGTCACCTGAACAAAGAAACAAAATCCTGTGGCTTTGAAGGGTTCACAAAACAAAATATATAGGAATAGTAAGATACAACCTACATCTTTTTCAGACTATTAAATATGTTATTTCAAAAATCATAATAAGGCGGGGCGCCTGGGTGGCTCAGTCGTTAAGCGTCTGCCTTCGGCTCAGGTCATGATCCCAGGGTCCTGGGATCGAGCCCCGCATCGGGCTCCCTGCTCAGCAGGAAGCCTGCTTCTCCTCTCCCACTCCCCCTGCTTGTGTTCCCTCTCTCGCTGTGTCTCTCTCTGTCAAATAAATAAATAAAATCTTAAAAAAAAAAAAAATCATAATAAGGCAAATTTTAAAAGGATCTCACCAGAGGGCAAGTTGAAAAATAACATGATTGGAACTACTCAGGCAGGCCAGGTGCAGTTTCTTAGAAAATGTGAGCTCATACTCATTCATATATATATAAGTCTACTTTTCAAGCTCACAAAATGTCTGAAAGTCACTGAAGTCATTAAGATCATAAAAATTTCATTTCTATTCTTAAAATAGTAAATTATTTCTTTTTTTTAAAGCATCTTTTTTTTTTAAGTTATTTAAGTAATCTCTACACCCCATGTGCGGCTCTAATCCACAACCTGAAGATCCAAGAGTCACACGTTCTTCCAACTGAGCCAGCCAGGTGCCCAATAGTAAATTATTTCTGTATACAATTTATATTAGTACTCAATGTTTTTTCATAGAAAACCGCATTATTACAGAAGTAATAAAGAGAAATCAAATTGTTTTCCATTTTTAAATTTCAATTTTACATTCTTATAAATCTCACAATGGCTCTATATAAAACTATAATTTGTCAACTGTTCAATACCCTTTGGTGGTGAGAAATAAGTCTTATTTAATAGACATAAATTAAATACTGATGCAAAAAAAATAGCAGGAGCTAAACAAATATAATCTTTATATAAATGTCTACAATAAACCTGGCACAACTCGTGCTTACACCAAAAACATAAGCTTTCTGTAAAGAAAGAGCAGAATCAAAAAGAAATAAAAGTGCAGATTTTACTTCTAATGACCTCACTTAAACAAATTAATTTTTCCCCAACATCAGGCCAACAGGAATCTTATTAAGTGACTGGCTGGAATGTATATACTGAAAATAATATAACTAAAATGTCCACTCAGAAGTCAAAGATACTATAATTTTAATAATATTAATAATATAATTTAATATAATATTAAATATATGACCTTTAAGAAATTTTCCTGTATCTGACATTTTAAAAATTTTATTACAAAAATTGTGCTATGTCATAACTCATTTTCCTTTCCTGAAATATTTCCCCCAAAAAATCACTTTTAAAATAATTAAATTCATCTGCTTTTAAGATAGAGAAACAGAAATGAAAACATTAAGAAATTTACACTAAGTTCAACAGGAAGCAAGGGGAAGAGTTGTACTATTTTAAATATTAAACATAAAGTATATTTTTACCTGGTAAAAATGTTGTTATCACCTTTGACATTTCCTCCACAATTTCCTGACGGACTCTGAGGTCATCATCTTTTATTCCATGTTCTTTTGCTAATTCAATAACTGCAACACTTAAAGCAGCCAGGTGGGCAGGGGTAGGAGGTGGCAGAGAACGAAGCTCACTTTCTTCCTGTTTTTCCTATTAGTGTAACATTTAACAACAACGTAAACATTTTTTTCTATTTTAATGTCCTTACATTTAGGATAGAAAGACTATACAAATGTATTAACTCAACAAATATTCACCTTCTATGTGCCTGATTCAAGACACCTAGGATATGGAAGAGAACAAGACAAAAATCCCTTCCTTTGTAAGTATTGGAAGATGGAGGGGTCCTTTGGGGCAGGTTCCTATTAAACATTAAGAAAATAAAATTTGGGGCACCTGGGTGGCTCAGATGGTTAAGCGTCTGCCTTCGGCTCAGGTCATGATCCCAGGGTCCTGGGATCGAGTCCCGCATCAGGCTCCCTGCTCCTTGGGAGTCTGCTTCTCCCTCTCTCTCTCTGTCTATCATGAATAAATAAATAAAATCTAAAAAAAAAAAAAAGAAAAGAAAAGAAAATTTGTTCTACTTTACTGTCTGCATAAATTCTGAAATGCTACATCAAAGCCAAAATATTTTAAGTACAGCACTTAGCTGATAATTTTGTGGATAATTTTGTTATAGCAAAGAGATTGTTTTAGATGTAGCAGAAAGTCTTAAATCCTCTCTGATCTGTGTTTTAAATGGTCACAGGAAAACATCCTAGATCACCATCATCACATTTGTTATACTGCCTACCATTTACAATTGATTTCTGTCATTTTATCCAATGCTAAGCCAAATGTGCTTAAATATTAAGCATATATTTAGCATATATAGAATCAAAACCCTTGATTCTACTAAAAGTTTGAAACCCAATTTAAACCCAAATCTAAAGAGGGACGAACTATATTATATATACACAATGATTTTTTTTTTAAGATTTTATTTATTTGACAGAGAGAGACAAAGCAAGAGAGGGAACACAAGCAGGGGGAGTGGGAGAGGGAGAAGTAGGCTTCCCCGTGGAGCAGGGAGCCCGATGCGGGGCTCGATCCCAGAACCCTGGGATCATGACCTGAGCCGAAGGCAAACACTTAACGGCTGAGCCACCCAGGCGCCCCACACAATGATTTTTAAAGATTAATTTTTTTATTCTGATTTTTAAAAAAAATACATGCTAATTGCAAAAGCTACATAAAACACAGAAAATACAAAGAAAATCATCCATGATCTAACATCATACTATTTCCTTTCCTTTTTTTTTTTTTTTTAAGATTTTATTTATTCATTTGAGAGAGAGTGAGCAAGAGAGGGGTAAGGGCAGAGGGAGAAAGACTCCCTGGAGCCTGAGGTGGGACTCAGTCCCAGGACCCTGAGATCATAACCTGAGCCAAAATCAAAAGTCAGACACTTAACCAACTGAGCCATTCAGGAGCCCCTTCCTTTATTTTTTTTACCATAACTGAGACCATACCATTTCTTTAATGTTATAATAATGGCATTTTCTATCCCCACATTTCAGTCAAGAGACATTCTCTTATTTTTTGAGACATGTAGCTCCCAACAGATCTAAAAATCAAAAGTAGTTTATTCTCTCTTCTCTACCCCCCACAATATAGTTAAACAAAGACTTTGGTCTATTTCTACTTTTATTCATTGTTACCATATTCAGTCTCAACATAAAGTTTACCTGTATCTTAGGTAACATGGGGGTAAGACAACCTCATTTTTATAAGTTTCTGTGAATATTTCTGCAATCTTAATTATAATCTAAATCTTGAATGTCTAAAGTTTTCAGGTATATTTTTTTAGGATTCATCCAAGGTATTAATAGCTACACACTTAATTAAAAATTAAAAAAATTATATAAGATTAACAAGCAACACAACTATTTTATATATGCAGAACTACCAAAAAATTCTCTGAACTATATTGCTAGATTGTTATGGAAATAAAAAGATAAGAAACAATAAATGAACATAGTCCTCTACCTACATTATTAATAAGCCTATCCTACTTCCTTTAGAATACTGTTCCATCTAACAATCTCACTGATATCCTCCTATCATTGATCATCCTCATACATCCTATCGTAAGTATGACAGAGATAATAGACAACAGATAAATAAATGTATACTATCAGGTCAGGTAAAGCTATGAAAAAAATCAAACAGGGTAAGACTTCAGACTGATGGGCAAGGGTTATTATTTTAGAATACAGTGGACAAAGAAGGCCCCTCTAAACAAGTAATGTTTAGCAGAAACCTAAAAATGAAAGAGAGAGACATTTAAATTTCTGGGGGAAGAGCATTCCAGAGACAGAGAACAGTAAATGCAGAGACTTGGGAGGCAAGAAAGTACCTAATGTTATTTGAAGAGATCAGTGTGGCTAAAGGGTTAACAAAGGGGTGATTGGAAGATGATGAGGTTGAAAAGTTAACTAGAAGCCAAATATCGTATGACCTTATGAAACTTGATAAGGACTTACATTTTATTCTAAGTTGGGAAGCCAAAGAAGGGCTATGAGCAGAAAGTAACATGATATGACATATTTTAAAAGAGCAATCCTGGCTGATAAATGAAGAATAATAGACTGTATGGGGGCAGGAAGGAGGGCTAAGGTGGAAGTAGTCCAGGTGAAAGACGGTGGTAGCATAGACTAAAACAGAAAGAGTAGGAGTGCTTGGTTGGCTCAGTCAGTAGAGCATGCAACTCGGACCTCAAGGTCATAAGTTTGAGCCCCACATTGGGCGTAAAGATTACCAAAAAAAAAAAAAAAAAAAAAAAAAACCAGAAAGAGCCGAGTGTATGACAAATGACTAAATTTGGAATACACAATGTTTTTGTTTGTTTGTTTGTTTGTTAAGATTTTATTTATTTATTTGACAGAGAAAGACACAGCAAGAGAGGGAACACAAGTAGGGGGAGTGGGAGAGGGAGAAGCAGGCTTCCCGCCGATCAGGGAGCCCAATGCAGGGCTCAATCCCAGGATCCTGGGATCATGACCTGAGCCGAAGGCAGACACTTAACAACTGAGCCACCCAGGCGCCCCGGAATACAAAATGTTTTGAAAGTAAATTCTATAGAATTTATTAATAGTTTGAATGTGGGGTGTAAATGAGAGGGATAAATCAAAGGTGCTTGTCCTAGACAACTGAGTAAATAAATGGTGGTGCCTTCTGCTGAGATGAGGTAAGTTCTGGAAAGTTCTGGAAAGAATCAGTTTAGGCTAGGAAAACGTGCCCAAGAAGCAAGAGTCTCCTAATGAGTCTCCTATTTCCAGCCTTTGGTCCTTTTTCCTATTCCCCTTACTTCCACCAGTTAGTCTCCTACTTTAAAACTTTCAATAAATCCTCAACAGAATACCAGCAAACCAAATTCGGCAAAATATTAAATAGATTATACACCATGACAAGTACAATTTATTCCTGGAATGCAAGAATGGTTCAACATACAATAATCAATCAATGTAATCACCTTAACAAAATGAGAGAAAAAAAATGACTTGATTATCTTGATCAATGCATAAAAAGTATTCAACAAAATTTAACACCCTTTTGTGGTAAAAAAAACAAAACAAAACAAAAAACAAACAAACAAAAACACTCACCAACTAGGAATAAAAAGAAACTACCTCCAGATAATAAAGACCTATTTGAAAAACCCACAGCTAACATTATACTCAGTGGTTAAAGGCTGAAAGCTTTTTCTCTAAGATCAGTAAAACAAGTCAAGAATGCCCATTTTCACCACTTCTATTCAACATATTAGAAGTGTTAGCCAGAAAAAGAAATAAAAGGCAATTAACCTGGACAGGAAGAAATAAAATTATCTCTATTCACAGATAATAATCTAACATGTAAAAAAACCCTGAAGATGCAAAAAAACTGTTAGAACTAATGAACAAATTCAGTAAAGTAGCAGGATACACATCAACAAACAAAAATCAGTTGCATTTCTATACACTAACAACAAACAATCTAAATAAAATACTTAGAAATTAACTTAATCAAAGAGATGAATGACTTGTACACTGAAAACAGAACACTGCTTAAAGAAATGAAAGAAGACATGAATAAACAGAAAGACATCCCATGTTCATGGATTGGCAGGCTTAATATTGTTAAGATGTCAATACTACTCAAAGGAATCCACAGGTTCAAAGCAATCCCATCAAAATCCCTTTAATTTTTTTGCAGAAATAGGAAAACTGATCCTAAAATTCACATGGAATCTCAAGGAACCCAAAATAACCAAAACAATCTTGAAAAAGAACAGTTAGAAATTCACATTTCCTGGTTTTGAAACTTACTATGCAGAGCCACAGTAATCAAGACAGTATGGTACTAGCATAAAGACAGATGTACAGGCCAACAGAATAAAACACATAACCAAGAAACAGACACTCATATATATGGTCAAATGATTTTTAATAAGGGTGTCAAAACCATTCAATGGCAAATGGACTGTCTTTTCAACAAATGGTGCTAGGAAAACTGGATACCCATATGCAAAATGGACCCTTATCTTACACCATATATAAAAATTAACTCAAAATGGATCAAAGACCTAAATGTAAGAGAAGAATTATAAAACTCTTAGAAGAAAACAGAAGAGAAAATCATTGGCAATGACTTCTTGCGTACGAAACAAAAAAAAACCACAGACAACAAAAGAAAAATCACACAAATTGGAATTTATGAAAATTAAACTTCTGGGTGGCTCAGGTGGTTAAGCATCCAACTCTTGATTTCGGCTCAGATCATGATCTCAGGGTCATGGGATCGAGCCCCACATCAGGCTCCAAGCTCAGCTCAGAGTCTGCTTGAGATTCTCTTTCCCTCTTTCCCTTCCCCTACTCATGCTTGCTCGTGCTGTCTCACTAATAATAAATAAATAAAATCTTAAAAAAAATTAGACTCCCATGCATCAAACAACACTACTAACAGAGTAAAAAGGCAACCCACAGAATAGGAGAAAATATTTGCAAATCGCATATAGGATAAGGGATTAGTATCCAGAACATAAAAAAAACTCCTCTAAAACTGTGAACAAGAAAACCCAATTCAAAAGTGGTCAAAGGACTTGAAAAGACATTTCTCCAAATACAAATGGGCAGTTAAGTACATGAAAAGGTACTCAACCTCACTAATCACTGGGAAAATACAAATCAAAAGGACAATGAGATACCAATTCACATTAAGATAACTATTATCAAAACAAAACAAAAGAAAAATGCAAGAGTTTTTATAAATGTGGAGAAACTGAACCCTTGTGCATTGCTAGTGGGAATGTAAAACGATGTAGCCACTGTGGAAAATAGCATGGCAATTCCTCAAAAAATGTAACATATATTTACCATTTGGTCCAGCAATTCCACTTCTGGGTTTATACACAAAAGAAATGAAAGCAGAAAATCGAACAAGTATTTCCTCTACCAATGTTGATACCAACATCATTCACAATACCCAAAAAGTAGAAACAACCTAAATATGAATGGATGGATGGATAAATGGATACACAAAACTTGGTATATACATAAAATGAGCTATTATTCAACATTAAAAGGAAGGGAATTCTGATACATACTATAATATGGTTGAACTCTTGATCTTAGCTCAGGTCTTGATCTCAGGGTCGTGAGTTCAAGCCCCATGTTGGACTCCACACTCAGAGTGGAGCCTAGTTAAAAAAAAAAAGCTTTTTCAGCATCTACTGAAAGTATTTTTTGGTTTGTTAATATGATAAATTACAGTGATTGGTTTTCTAAACCAACACTGCCCTCCTGGAATAAAGCCCCACTTGATCATAATGTATTTCTTCCTTAATTTTATTGTTAGATTCAATTTGCTAAAATAATGTATAGAATTTTTGCATTAAAATTCATGAGAAATATAGCCTGAAGTTTTCCTTTATTGTATTGTCTTTTTCTGGTTTTGGTATCAGAGTAATGTGGGACTCATGGACTGAAATTAGGAAGCATTCCTCCTCTTCAGTGTCCTGGAAGATGTGTAGAACTGGTACATATTATCAAGTATCCCAGAGATCAAAAGTAACCTTTTCTTTCTTTTTTTTTTCCAAGTTCTTTTTTTCTTTCCGTCTCATTTTGGATGGTTTCCATTGCTATATGTTCAAGTTCACTAACCTTTTCTTTTGTAAGGTCTGATCTACCATTAGTCCTACTCAGTGTATTTTTCATTTTAGATACTGTAGTTTTCATTCCTGTAAGTTCAGTTTTAATCTTTTTTATAACTTCCATGTCTCTATTTGATTTTTGGAATATCAGGAATATAAATAAAAAAAAAAAAAAAAGGAATATCAGGAATATAGTTAACTGCCTTGATGTCCTCCTCTGCTAATTCTCTTGTGTCAATTCAAGGTAGTTTTGATTGGCTGATTTTTCTCCTCATCGTGGTATGTATTTTCCTGCTTTGTTGTATGCCTTATAATCTTTGAATGCCAGACAATGTGAACCTTTTTGTGGTGATAGATATTTTGTATTTCTATAAATACCCTCAAGCTTTGTTCTGTAACAACATTAAACCCTGAAAACTGTCCTTTTGGGTCTTGCCTTTACAATTCTTTAGTTGGGGGTAGCCTGGGTGGCTCAATCAGTTAAGCTTCTGCCTTTGGCTCAGGTCATGATCTCAGGGTCCTGGTATTGGGCCCTATGTCAGGTTCCCTGCTCAGCAGGGAGTCTGCTTTTCCCACTCCCTCTGTCCCTCTCCCCCTCCCCATTCATGCTCTCTCTCTCTCCCCCTCTCAAATAAAATCCTTTTAAAAAATCTTTAGCTGGGATCAGACTGCATTTAGTTTCTATATATTCCCCACTCTTAAAACAAGATCCTTCTGGGTACTCTATCCAATGCCCATGAAGTATGAGTTTTCTAGTCTGAATAGTGGTAAACTACTATTCTCAGCCCTATGTAAGCATCAAGCACTATTCTAATTCCTTAGATGATTCTCTCCCTGGCTTCAGGCAGCTTCCTCGCATGCATGTACCAATCAGTACTGTGCTGAATACTCTGAGGGAGCTGTCTATGGATTTCTTTCTGTATAGCTTTCTCTTTTTTGTTATTCTGTCCTACAAACTCTAGACACCCTGGATTCCCTGGACTCAAGTTCATCTCCTCAACTCTGGGAGTGCACTGGTCTCCCCTTCCTATAATGCAGTATGGAAACTCTCAAACTAGAGTCATCATTGAGCTAATCTCATTTGATTTCCATTCGCTGCCTCAAAACCATTGTTAGCTATTTTTATCCTTTTTTTTTCCTTTGGTTTACTCAAGAGTAAGGGTAAATCTAGTCCTTATTATTACAACTTCAACAAAAGCAGAAATCTAATACAGCTGCTTTTAAGTTTTTTTGTTAGTTTTTTTGTAATGTCCTAAAATTTCCTTAAAATGTATATAATGTCTTTGGTTTTCTTTGTAAGTTTCCTGTTTGGAATTCCCTGAGCTTCCTGGAATTAATGATTAGCATCATTCAAAATTTCTTGAAATATCTCAGTTATTATCTCATAAACTACCAACTCTATCTTTGTTCTATTAAATCTTCTGAAGTTCTAATTAAATCGAAATAACATGCTGACAAAATTTTAATTTCTCTTCCTTCTGAGTTCCTGATTTTCTTCAATGCATTCATTTTTTTCAAGTAAGACATATTGAGCACCTACTGTGTGTCAGACACTGTCCTAACCAATACAGAAACAAAAATAAATAAGAAATAAAACCTGCCCTCTAGAATACTGAAGTCTAGAAGAGGAGAGAAAGCAGAAATGCACAATACAATATATCCAGTTTTCTGATCAAGCAGCTCTGCAAGCACAGAGAAGGAATACCTAATCCAGACTTGTTGGGAAGGTCTGGTAAAAGAATATTTCTCAGAGAAAATGCAGACACTTAGACATAAGCAGAAGATTATATAGTATTACTATTATCACTTTGAGGGGTGCCTAGGTGGCACACTCGGTTGAGCATCCGACTCTCGGTTTTGGCTCAGGTTGTGATCTTGGGGTTGTGGGACAGACCTCTGCACTCAGCACGGAGTCTGCTTGGGATTCTCTCTCCCTCTCCCTCTCCCTCTGCCCCTCCCACTTGTGCTCTCTCTCTCTAAAATAAATAAACACATCTTTAAAATATATATATATTACCACTTTGGAAAAGAAAAACTTAAATAGCTAAAATAGTAATAATTTTTTTAAAACACATTATTCAGGGGCGCCTGAGTGGCTCAGTCATTAAGCATCTGCCTTCGGCTCAGGTCATGATCCCAGGGTCCTGGGATCGAGCCCCACATCAGGCTCCCTGCTCCATGGGAAACCTGCTTCTCCCTCTCGTACTCCCCTTGCTTGTGTTCCCTCTCTGTGTCTCTCTGTCAAATAAATAAATAAAATCTTTTTTAAAAATTATTCATATCTATGTCTATGAAATGTTCTAATAAAAATAACTGAAAAATTATGAATTCCCAAAGTCTAGATTATAAGGTCCTGCATGGTCTGGACTTCTATAGCTTTATCTCACATCATTTTCCTCCTATCTCTCTTTGCCCCAGTCATAATAGACTCTTTCTGTTCCTCATATGCCATGTCATCATTCACCTTTTTGCCTTTTTTTTTTTTTTTTAAAGATCCACCTATTCATTTTGAGAGAGCACAAAAGCACAAGTGGGGTGAGGGACAGGGGGAGAAACTTTCAAGCAGATTCCCTGCTGAGCTCAGAACTGACTCGCGCTCAGTTACATGACCCATAAGATCATGACCTAAGCCGAAACCAAGAGCCAGATGTTCAATTGACTGAGCCACTCAGGCACCTTTTTGCCTTAATTTTAAACTACTACTTCAAAGTTCAGCTCAAATGTCACTTTCTCAGAGAAATGTCTTTGTTGCAGATTAAGTAAAATATCCTTGTACACTTCCTTAGCACATTTCTCCCTTTAATAAAACTCAATATACTTAAGTTCTTTTTCAGTGTATACCTTCACCAATACTTTAGAAACTCTGAGGGTAGGAACCACAACTATCTTATTCACCACTGACTAGATCTAGCACATAAAAACTCAATAAATACCAGTTGGACTAATTGTATTTAACAGTTTCTTTTTTTTAATTAAGATTTTATTTTTAAGTAATCTCTACACCCAACATGGGGCTTGAACTTACAACCCAGAGATCAAGAATCACATGTTCTACCAACTGAGCCGGCCAGGCACCACTATCTGACAGTTTTAAGTTTAAGAATCAACATACTTTAATATGAACAGACTGGTCTCTGAAAAAGTTCCCCTCCTGACCACCTAAGATAAGAAAGGCAATCACAGCTTTTAATGCTATCACTTCAGTTACTAATGTTAAGACAGGACAAATAACCCATTTTTGTTTCATAAATAAATATTTCATATAGTTTTACCATTCGAAAAATAAAATATTTTGTAAAAAGAACTCACCAAAATATTTTTCTTATGTCGTTTCTCCTTTATATGTTTATGAGCTCCCTGGATGTTTTCAATGTGAATTAAGCAAAGTTTGCATAGATATCGGCAATTGGTATATTCTGGTGAGCGCTGAAAAGTTAAAAAAAATGCATTTTTTCAGAAAACAGAGAAGTAAATATATGACTATATATGTGACTGACATAATTACATAAATGTAAGAAACAAAAACAAGCATTAAAGGAATAAATTTTTAATAAACAATCAGTACTTATATCCCCAAAAGATAATTGTCCTTTTCAAAATAGACACCACAGAAGATCATATACTCATTTCAAACACCACCATTATAATGTTAAATGTTTGGTACTTATCTAATATAATACAGTCCTTAGAATCCAATGTAGGATAAGAAAGGCAGTCTTATTACTTAGTCTTATTCCAATGCTCTCCCCAAAACCGGCTTCAAACTTTGTCTTTTTGATTACTATAAAAAATAAAATCCACCCTCAAAAAGATTTTAAAAGAATATGAGTTGAGAATATGGAAGAAAATTCCAAAAGCTGAGTTCTGAAAACATACTCAATCACAATCTCATGGGAATAAATGGATAATCTCTTGAAGTAACTATTATAAAGGAAACAATTCTGACACACAAGAATTATCATAGTACTTTAGTCATACTTTATAAATCTGTTCTTGAGTGCTCGCTTCGGCAGCACATATACTATAAATCTGTTCTTGAAATAAAAAAAAAAAAAAAAAAAAACCTTACTATTTCCAAAGTGCCTGTTAGGTGCTAGGCACTATGTTAGGTGCTTCATATACAATGTCATTTTAATACCTTTAATAATCCAATTAGATTGCTATTATTTTCATTCTCTAGATGTGAAAACAAAAGCTCATACAGCCTATAACTTTCACAAAGATATAATATTAAGTAGGAGATGCTGAATTTAAATTCATGTATATCTGAATCCAAAGCCAACTCTACCCATATGATTACACAATGAAAAATTACAGAAACACAATAAATACACATTGAATTTTCAAACATGATTTCTAGTGCATTATACTGCAATTTCTGAAATTACAGCAATGCTTAAATTTTTATTTCAGATTGATCTTCAATAGCCTGCAACTCTTGACAAAAAGATTCTCTAACTTCATAATACTATGATTTTCTTTAAATGGAAACATGCCCCAAATTTAGCAACAGTCCTACCACAGACTAAAAATAAATATAGCCATTATTTATAAAGTATGTATAACCTTACAACCTATAATGATTCCCTATTTTACTGGCAAAGCAACTAAATCTCAAAAATTAAATAATTGTCCAAAACAACAAGCAAAAAGGAAAATTCAGTTCAATCCAGTCATTTCAATTTGTAGTATAAAAATTCTTTCACCATTTGCAATGACGTGGATGGAGCTAGAGAATATTACGCTAAGCGAAAGAGGTCAAAGACAAATATCGTATGATATCACTCATATGCGGAACTTAAGAAACAAAACAAATAAGCAAAGGAAAAAAAGAGAAAGAGGCAAACTAAGAAGCCAAATTTATCAAGAGAACAAACTGACTGTTACCAGAAGATAGGTGGGTGAGGGGCTGGGTTAAATAGGTGATGGGGATCAAGGAGTACACTTGTGATAAGCACCTGGTGGTATATGGAAGTGCTGAATGGTTCTATGGTACACCTGAAACTAATATTACACTGTATATTAAACTAACTGGAATTTAAATAAAAACTTAAAAAACAAAAAACCATAAAAAACTCTTTCAAATCTCTCCTTATTGGGGAATGAATTTAAGCCCTTGCAGAGACTCCTACCTCTTAGTTTCCAACCACAACTAGTACTTAATTCCCTAAATATTTTCTGAGCTCATAACGTATGTCAAACATTTGTCTAGAAGTAGGGATATATAGCATAAACAAAACAAACAATCTACTTCCTCACAATCTACTTCTAGTATACAGAGACATGTAATAAATAAAGAAATGCACAAATAAATACGAATAGGGTGCAGGGGTGTTAACTACTTTTTAAAAAAGGATCATCACTTAAGACCTTACTGATAAAATAATTTAAAGGAAGTGAAGGATTAAGCTAAGTGGGTATTTGGGAAGAGACATTCCAAGTAGAAGGAAATGTTAATGCTAAGGCCCTGAGGCAGGAATATGCTAATATGTCTGAGAAACTGCAAAAAGTCTAATATATGACTGGCACTGAGTGGTAAAGAGGGCCAGGTCGCAGGGCCCCTTAAAAGAACTCTGGTTTTTATTCCAAGTGTGAGGGGAAGACACTAAAGGTTTTTGAGCAGAGAATTAAGTTTTAATCTATATTTTAAAAGGATTGCTTGCCTTCCTAATTCCTTTAAGAATAGAAGCAGAAAGAGCTTATTGCCATTATGAGCATACTGCAATGATCTAGAAAAGAGATGATGTTGGCCTGGTTCAAGAAGAGTGGTGAAAGTAGCAAGGTTCGGATTCAGGAGTTGAAAACATAAATACACAACACCTAAAGCTATGCATATTGATGAGGTCGCTAAAGGAGTCAAGAAATCACTCATCATACAAGTTTTTCAATTGTAAAATATTAGCAGACAAGGATTGTCTAGATTCTTTCTGTAAGAAAAGTTTGTTTTAACATGAATGGGGAGTGAGAAGGCTTGAGATGACATCTCAATTGACCTTGGATTAAATCTCTAACACTGAAAACTGCTTCTATAACCTTAAAATGAAATAATAAAAATTGCTCTACCTGGTAAAATAATTCAATTCTACAAGTAGCTGATCTTTACCACTTAATATACACCAGACACTATGCAAAAACTTTTACTTGTATTATTGTATTTAATCCTTGTAACAGTCAATGAGCTAGGTGTTATTTTTATCAACTCAATTATAATGATGAAGAAACTGAGGTTTAAAGAGTTATTAAATAACTTATCTAATGTTATCCAACCAGTAAGTGGCAGAGGTAGACCCACTGACTCCAAAACCTACACACTTAACCACTAAGCAAACTACCTCTAATTATTAACCAACTACTACGTGCAAGGTACTATATTAAGCACAATAGCAAATAGGACAAAAATGTTCTCATGACATCATAAAGCTTCTAGTTTCACAGAAGAGACACATGAAAAGTGTTTTAAAATTCCTTCATTATATAGTTGTATTTTATTTTACTATTAAAACACACACACTAATAAACCTTCTTTAAAGTTTCTGCAAACCAGCCAGAATAAAGATTGCTGGGCACAGAAATTCTAAGTATTTCCTAGTCAATATTTAACACTAACTATAGGGAAATTTATCCTTCTGATCTAATAGCTTGGATTCAGTCCTTCTTTGGTACAGTTTAAAAATCTACATCTTTACTCATCAGTCAGATAATCTATGGGTACACTGTGAACCCAAGGACTGAAAAAAATCAAAAGCAAGTAGTTAAGAATATTCTTAATGAATGTCTAATAAGTTGGTAAAGAAAAATGTTAATTAAGAGTACACTAAACTGAAAATAAGAGGTTTTGGAGGACATAAGAAACAAAGAAGTGCCAGAAAGAAAAGAGATTATAGACATCTATGCTAGTACTGGCACACTCATTTTATATCATTGCTGCTTAAATTCAAATAAATTCAAACAGCAAAATGTTTTCCATGCTTCTAAAGCTTTTCTTTTACCCCTGGCCATTCTTTCCTACCACCATCAAATATCCGTTCCACCCTAATTTCTTTCTTCTCCCAAGAACTGATCTTTCCTGCTTCATATCCTATCCCATCCTGTCCCCTTATTTTTTTAAAACACATTTTTTCACATTTCCTTTATACATGCCATATAATTCACCTGTACCAGACTTCCCCAATTCACCTAGTCAACTCCTACAGCTACTCCTTCAGACTCAGTTCCAATGTCACCTCCTTATAAAGCATTCTCCAAATTGATGCCTCTATAACCCCACTCAAGTTGGTCACTTTTTTGTCTAAAATTTCAAACAATACTGTTATTATTACTGTTGTTTGCTTACATGCTTTTCTCTAATTAGTAAACTCCTAGAAAAGCAGTAACATGTTTTTAATAATGCCACACATGCCCCAATTCAACTTCTTATCACCAGATCATGGCACACGAAAAGCATTCAATATTTATCTTAACAGATCCAGAATAGCTACTAATTCCAGACTTAGGGAAGAGAAAGGGAGGAAAGTGAAAACTAAGTAAAAGAGCAAATTGCAAAAAAGACTTCCTTCTAACTAGAACCTTGGGAGACTAGCTACACAACCTAAATTCTCTCTACCTCTTGATATTCCTTTCTATTTTAATAGGGTGACTACTCTGTCGTAAGTTCTATTAATAACTCAGGATTGCCTCTTAAATTTAGATATTACCTCATTTTTCTAAACTCTACAAAATTATACCATTTCTTTCTTCCTTTCTTATTTATCAAGAATGATGACCTATATTTCCTTGTATACATGCTCACAAATATCCCAAGTATCTATTTGTAAACAGATTGATTTATGAGTCATTCCTTCAATATCTAGCAATGTTTTTATTAAGGCTAGGAATGTGTATTTCTAGGTTAAGAATTTAATTAGCACACAGGAATAAGATACTAACAGCTAAAACAATTCTTAATACATAGGAGATACTCAGTAAATATGGGAGACAGAAGAGGAAAGGGTAGGAGAAAACCAAGGAGAAAAGGAGAAAGTGTAGTATATCACATAATATTTGCTAATTTGTCACTCCGAATGGACTTCTAATTCACCAACTGCCATTTTCATCAATATATCCCAGTGCCAATCATAGTACCTAGAACATAACAGGCACTCAGTATCTATTGATGAGTGAATAAATCAGAGGTCAGCAAACTTCTGTAAAGGGACAAAGTAATATTTGGGTAAATATCTTATGCTTTGGTAGTAAACAGTAAATATTTTATGCTTTGCAAGCTATAATGTTCTCTGGAGCAACTAATTACTCAATTCAACTCTGCCGTGGTAGCATAAAAGCAGCCATAGACAATAGGTAAACAAATGGGCATGGCTATATACCGATACAATTTTGCTTACAAAACAAGGGGCTAGGTTTATTTTACACAATTTTAAAAACACAAAGCACACATACAAAAGGCAAAAACAAGACGGTAGGCCATAGTTTCTTGACCCTGGAATGAATGAACAAAGTCAGACTCACAGATGTAAGGATTTGCTGAACAAAGGGAGAGAAGAAAGGAAAGAGGGAAATTAGGAAAAATGAATGCTATCTCTGCCTTAGCAATAAAAAAAGATAAAAAGAGCTGTGCTTGGCAAAGAAAAGTTATGACACATGCATCTTCCTCCACATAACTAAAATGACATAGTATACTTTTTCAAGTCGAAAGATGTGATCTCTTTCTAAGCGTTCTTCTGCTTGTTTCAAGCCTAGCCTCTGCTCAGGTGTCAATGCAGATTCATCTATCACAGTAGCATTTTCTAAATAGTCCATCTCTGAAGAATTTTCTTTATTAGAGTCATCATTCTTCATTTTACCTAGAAAAGGAAGCAATCAGTTACCATGAGCAGAACTGATAAATTAAAAAAAAATTTTAATGGAAAACAGACATCAATTTATACACATACAGGAAAAATATTCTTTCCTTATACTTTCCTTAGTTGTACAAGTTGGTATACTTATTTAAAATACAAGTAAGAGATATACACGGTATCAGAATTCACAAAGAAAAATCTATTTCATGGGTCAAATGCCTATCTTGTTCTTCCAACCTATCAAGAGATAAATATGACTGAGACTCACTACACAAGGCTAACACAACATAACCATCTTGTAAAATCTCTGAACTATGAAATGTGATAAAAAGCTATTTTAAGTCCCAAAGATTAGTCACTAAAGTCACTTTAATGACTTCATCACTATACACGAGCAGCTAAAAGAACATATATCCTCTAGACCACAAGCTCCTCCCTCTTTGCTTTCACTGAACTCATGGATATCCCTACCACATCAATATTTTTTCTTTGCTTCTCTGCCTAACTGGATTTTAATCTTTTCAAGGCACAGACTGTGTGCTATCATCTTTTCATTTCCAGCACCTAGCATTATACACCTGGCATACAGTAGGTTCCACTATCAGTGTGATTTTTTTAAAATACAAATTCAATCAAATTATTCTCTTGCTTAAAATACCTAAAGGCTTTCAAAGAGTTCAGGATAAAGTTTAAACTCTCTAGCCTAATACATGCCATCCTTGCCTTCATAAAGGCAGTAAACAGAATAATAATTCCAAGTTACAGTAAGTGCTGTAAAGGAAAAAAGCAAGTAACTCAGAAGGAGACTAACTTTAGATATGGGAGTCAGGGAAGACTTCTCTTCAGATTTTAAATCAAGACCTTAAGAAAGAGAGCTAAGGTGTCTGTATCTCTAACCTTATATCCTACCTTAACACTTTTCACTTCATTCATACCAAATGTGCTAGATAGAATGGATCATTGCTACTTCAAGTCTCAATGCCTTTTTTTTTTCATTTTTTTTTATGATGTTATGTTAATCACCATACATTACATCATTAGTTTTTGATGTAGTGTTTCATGATTCATTATTTGCGTATAAAACCCAGTGCTCCATGCAGAACGTGTCCTCTTTAATACCCATCACCAGGCTAACCCATCCTCCCACACCCCTCCCCTCTAGGACCCTCAGTTTGTTTTTCAGAGTCCATCATCTCTCATGGTTCATCTCCCCCTCCAATTTCCCCCCGTTCATTCTTCCCCTCCTGCTATCTTCTTCTCTTTTTTTAACATAATGTATTATTTGTTTCAGAGGTACAGATCTGTGAGGGATGGGGCGGCTGGCTGTTGAATCAATGCCTTTTACATATGCTGTTCCTTCCACGATCAAGGCCATCCTCACTTCAGCTAGTAATGTTTACCTGTCCTGCAAAATTCAGCTTAAGCCTACACTGTTTCAGAAGACAGTCCGATATTCTTTATACAGTTGACACTTGAATAATATTGGGGCTTGGGATGCCAAAATCTGCGTATAACTTTTTACTGCCCCAAATCTTAACTATTAATAGCCTATTGTTGACCTTAATAATAACAAACAGTTGACAGACACATATTTTGTACGTTATATATATATTATATATTGTATTCTTAAAGTAAGCTAGAAAAAAGAAATTCGTATTAAGAAAATCATAAGAGGGGTGCCTGGGTGGCTCCGTCAGTTAAGTGTCCAACTCTTGATTTCAGTTCAGGTCATGATCTCAGGGTCTTGAGATCGAGCCTTCTGTTGGGCTCTGCACTGGGCATGGAGCCTGCTTAAGGTTCTCTCCATCCCTCCCTCCCTCCCTCTCTGCCCCCTCTCCCGAACAGAAGGAAGGAAGGAAGGAAGGAAGGAAGGAAGGGAGGGAGGGAGGGAGGGAGGGAGGGAGGGAGGAAAGAAGGAAAGAAGGAAAGAAGGAAAGAAGGAAATCATAAGAAAATACATTTATATTACTATACTGTATTTATTTAAAAAAAAAAAATTGGGCTCCTGGCTGGCTCAGTCTGTAGTGTATGACTCTTGATCTCAGGGGTTTTTGTTTTGTTTTTTAAAGATTTTATTTATTTATTTGACAGAGAGAGAGACAGTGAGAGAGGGAACACAAGCAGGGGGAGTGGGAGAGTTCGGAGAAGCAGGCTCCCCGCCGAGCAGGGAGCCCGAAGCAGGGCTCAATCCCAGGACCCTGGGATCACGACCGGGCTGAAGGCAGACACTTAACGACTGAGCCACCCAGGCACCCCTGATCTCAGGGTTTTAAGTTTGAGCCCCACACTGGGTATAGAGATTACTTAAAAAAAATATAAAAAGATTTTTTTAATTTTTATTTTCTTACCCCACTGCCCTTTTTAAAATTTTTTAGAAATTAAAAAAAAATCCACACACACACAAAAATCCACATAAGTGTACCTGTGCAGTTCAAAACTGTGTTGTTCAACTATACAACTGTATTCTCATAGCACTTGCTATTATCTCTCACATTACTGTATAATAATGTAATTTGTATTCATTTATCTATCTCCTACTTTAGACAATGGATTCCTTAATGCTAATGACTAGGTTTTATTTAACCTTTTTACTTTCATATTTTAATACCTAGACCAGAGGTGAGACTTAATAAAAGTGTGAATAAAATAATTTGTATGTATCTAAAAACACTGCTTAAAGTAAATGCTCATAGACAACCAAAAGATCTCTCACTCTACCCTCAAAACCAAACTAACTACATACCATCTATAAGAACCATGACAGTCAGTTCTACCTTTTGATAGCACTAATTTTTCAAACAAAGAAGAAATGGTATGCCTCTGAAGTCTCTAGAATCAGATGGCAAACTCTTAAACAAAAAATGTTTGAATCACATCAGAATTATGGCTAGGTTAGCTAACTGATTTTTAAATTACAGTCGGAAACACTGATGCACAATGAGCAATTTGCAATTATGTCCTAGTATTTGGAAAAATAATTAGGTTCTTATGTAACCATTTTTATGATGGAAATGTAAAAGAAAAGGCAAAATCCTAGTTTTATTTCTACATTTTATGATAAAGAACAGTAGCAAGAAAACAATATTCTAACCTTCTCTTTTTTGCATGTACAATTTGCCCAGCACAACAAGGCAACTAACATCAACAAATCCTGTAATACTGTCATTTCTGCCAATATAAATAATTATAGAAAGCTACGTATCTTTCTTTAAAAGTCAGAAATAAATGGGATTATTTAATTTTCTGAAATCAACATCAATATAAAATAACATCAGACAGAATTTCCCAAACTTTTTTCCATAGAACTCTAGCCCCATGAGATATTAATACTCTCACAAAACAAGAGTTGAAAACAAGTATTCAAACAAAAACCTGTACATGAATATTCAGAGCAGCACCATTCACAACAAAGATGGAAAAGACCCAAATGTCCATTCACTGATAAACAGATAAACGGAATGTGGCATATCCATATAGTAGAATATTAATTCAGCTGTCTTAGCTCAAGTTGCCATAACAAAATACCATAGACTGGGTGGCTTAAACAACAGGAATTTATTTTCTCACAGTTCTGGAAGCAGAAAAGTCCAAGATCAAGGTGCCAGCAGGGTCGTTTTCTGATTAGAGCTGTCTCTGGATTGCAGCTTGCTGTGTCTTTCTGAGGCCATTCCTTGGTTAGTGCATACAGAGAGAGACAGATCTCTCCCTCTTCTTTTTTTTTTTTTTTTTTTTTTTTTAAGATTTTATTTATTTATTTGAGAGAGAGAGAATGAGAGACAGAGAGCATGAGAGGGAGGAGGGTCAGAGGGAGAAGCAGACTCCCTGCCGAGCAGGGAGCCCGATGCGGGACTCGATCCTGGGACTCCAGGATCATGACCTGAGCCGAAGCAGTCGCTTAACCAACTGAGCCACCCAGGCGCCCCTCTCCCTCTTCTTATAAGGCTTCAATCCTATTGGATTAGGACCCCCCTTAGGACCTCATTTAATCTTAATTACCTCCTAAAAGCTCATCTCCAAATGCAATCACACTGGGAGTTAAGGCTTCAGCATAGATATTTTAAGGGGATACAATTCAGTCTACAGCATCAGCCTTAAAATGAAAGAAGTACTGATGGATATATACTATAACATGAATGAACCTTGGAAACATGATGCTTAATGAAGGAAGCCAGACACAAAAAGATCACATATTATATGATTCCATTTCTATGAGATACCCAGAATAGGCAAATATATAGAAAAAGAATGCATATTAGTGGTTTTCAGACGATGACAGAGGGAGGGAGAATGGGAGTGAATCTTTTTTTTCCCCAAGACCTGAGTTGAGATCAAGAGTCAGACCCTTAACCAAATGAACCACCCAGGTGCCCCAAGGGGAGTGAATCTTAATGGGTACAGGGTTTCCTTTTGTGTGATGAAAAAGTTCTGCAATTAAATAGTGGTGTGGTTGTGTAACACAACAAATGTACTTAATGCCATTGAATTATATACTTTTTTTTAAAGATTTTACTTATTTGAGAGAGAAAGAGAGAGCATAAGCAGGGGGAGGGGCAGAGGGAGAGGGAGAAGCAGACTCCCCGCTGAGCAGGGAGCCTGATGCAAGGCTCAATCCCAGAACCCTGAGATCATGACCTGAGCCAAAGGCAGACACTTAACCGACTGAGCCACCTAGGCGCCCCAAATTATATACTTTAAAATGGTTAAGATAGTAGTTCCTATATGATTCAGCAATTCCACTCCTACACATATATCAAGGACAAGTGAAAACATACATCCACATAAAAACGTTTAAATAAATGTTCACAGCAGCATTATTCATAATAAACAAAAGATGGAAACAATTCAAACATCTCTCAACTGATAAAAGGATAAATAAAATGTGGTATATCCATACAATGGAATTTAGCAATAAAAAGGAATAAGGTACTGATATATGCTTCAACATGGATGAATCTTGAAAACATTGTCCTGAGGTGCCTGCATGGCTCAGTTGGTTAAGCAAC